TTGTATACAAAGAAAAAACTGCCGAATAACTACAAGCCGTGTGTGGCAGCATTGGATGAGGTCGTATCGGCAAATCCCATGGGAAGTTGGTACAATGCAGTTCGATACATTGCCTCAAATGAAGTTAGACTACAAGGATCGAAATTGTTCATGAGAGAAATACAGTATTAAAATCATAGAAGCGCAATGTTTGAGGGGTGTTGTAGGCACGGACAGGCCGTAGATAGAGTAGAGATGATGGTATGCGAAGTACGTAGTAGAGTTGAGCTTGTCTGCAACAAAGGTCCGTGCACTACGTTATGCCGGCAGTAGCGATGAACCATAATGCAGCACGTTTCCATTGCCTGGTACTACATAGACTTCACTGTATGGTGGGCGCTTGGGATCAAAGTGGCACATAATTGGATTATTTCTTTCATTTATTAAGGACATGACTACAAAATACAAAACGGGAACTGTTCCGCTCGCCACATGTCCACATCCAATCATAACAATTTCATCCTAATACTATTTCATGTGGAAGCACCTAAGATGACTTCCAGAACTCACCGCCCAACCACCTGTTGAGCATCTCAAGAGAGGCCTCGGGTTGGTCGTAGGGGACCATGTGGCCACCAGCGTGAAGCTTCAAGAAGGTGAAGTTACCGCTGGACTTGACCTGGCCAACAGTCTTGCCATCACCGTCAATCTTGAAGTCCTTCATCTCGGCCTTGTTGTAGTCCTTAGCACCGGGCCACTCAAGAGCCTCAGTCCAGGCCTTGTTACCAAGCCAGTTGCAGATGTAGTCAGCATCACCGGCATAGATGAGGACAGGGATCTCGGCAAGGATACCAGGAACAACGCGGTGGAATGGCTTCATCCAGTCACCCTGGAGCAAGAAGTTGCGGTTGATGTCGAAGTTGCAAGATTCGTAGCCAGAGACCTCAGCACCGACGGCCTTCATGACCTCCTTCTTGTTGAGGTAGCCCTGAATCCAGTCAAGCTCATCGTAGCAGAGCGAGTTGCTGCCGCATGGCTTGCGAACATCGTAGACGTTCTGGCCAGTGCGCTGGTAGGGACCAATCATGGCGTTGTTGCAGTAGATGGAAGCAGGAACACAGGACCAGACAGACTCAGAGTTGTAGCAGTTCTCAATGAGGCTGGCGCAGCGGGGGTAGGCGTTGTCCATAGCCTGGCACTGAGACTCGTCAAGGACGGCAGGCCAGCCACCCTCACCGCAGGCCATGGGACGGTAGTACTCGTACTGAGTAAGACCATCAGTCAGACCGTTACCGATGAGAACGGACTGAAGGTTGATGTTGCGCTTCTTGTGGGAAAGAATCTCGGAGGCAAAGACAGGGATGTAGTGACCAGCATATGACTCACCAGAGATGTGGAAGCTCTGGTGGGAGTACTCAGGGAACTGCTTGAAGAAGAGGGTGAGCAGGGCGTAGATGTCCTTGCCAGCAGCAACAGTGTTGCTAACTGAGCCGCTCGAGTATGAGTATCCGACGTTGACGGGCTGGTCGAGGAAGATGACGGAAGCATTGCTGTTCCACGAGTATGGGTTGTTCTTGATCTTCTGGTCCTTGGTGATGGATGCGGGACCGAGCTCCATGAACAGACCGGTCAGCGAGGAGCAGCCGGGTCCGCCATTGAGCCAGAGGACAACGGGGTCGTTCTTGGGGTCATTGCGCGACTCAAAGAACCCTGCGATGCATTAGATACACGAAGTGGCGATGGCGGGTGTTCATTGGGGTACTCACAGTAGAACAGGTGCTTGTCCTCCTCCTCATCGTCGAGGTAACCAGAGTACTGCTTGACCTTGTCGACGCCGAGAACGCTGGGGTCGACCTTCTTGGCCCTCAAGCTGTACTGCTCGAGCTTGCCGTCGATCTCGCGCTCCTTCTCGCCGTTCTTGTTCTCAACCCAGACGCTCTGGATGTCAGCGCCCTTGATGATGTGGTCCCACTCGCTGTCGGGCTTGCGAGTGTGTGGCTTGGGCTGGGAGAAGAAGGCGGCCTTCTCGAAGCTCTCAGGGAACATCATGGCGACCTCGTCCCAGACGGCGCGCGCCTCGCCGGTGAGCGACTTGAGGCTTTCCTCGAGGTTGTGCATGCCCTTGGCCCACGAAGATTCCTTGAGCTCGCTGAAGGAGCTGGGGAACTTGAGGACCTGCTGCTGCTGTGGCGCAACAGCAGCGGCCGCTCCAACGAGCAGCGCCGAGGTGGCTACCTTCATGGTGGCGGGTATGCTAAGCTTCCAGAGCCGTAGCTATATGTGATTGCAGAATAAGAAGAGCTTCTACCAGTGATGGAAGAAGCAGCTGATGATGGATTGGGGGAGAGGGGGATGGAATGTGGAGTGAGAGAGGGTGAGGGAAGGTTAAGAAGGAGGAGGTGAGATGGAGGTGTGGGATAGCTCGTGCGGAGGAGCCGCTTGTCCAGGCAACGGACCATGACGCGCACCCCCGAAGCTTATCAGAGAGGCTGGCGCGTCCAAGCTCGAGCATCACATGGGCTTAGCGTTTCACGATAACTGACCGGCCCATGTGTGAGGACGGGACTCCAGACGGCCCTGGCCGACACGTCAGGAACAAGACCGTCACCGTTTGTTCTGCTGCAGGTGTTGGGGGCGCGTTCTCTGCGAAGCGCCTGCGCCCGACAGCTGGAGCAGCTAGAGAGCTCGACTAGGCGTGCAAGTGCAGCAGAGTACCGCGGGACCTGCATGTGCCCCATCTGGCCTAGCGCCCTTTGAATCATTCTGAGTGAACCGGCTGGTGCTATGTCATCCGCTGCGGGCAATGCCCCCACCAAAAATGCCATCCAACTTTTATATCGCGCGCCCGGCACCAGCACCTCGACCACAACTTACCCCCACAGAGCCCCCATAGATCGCCAACATGCCTGTCGGGATCATCAAACCGTCGAACCAGATCAAGCTGACCAACGTGTCGCTGGTGCGCATGAAGAAGGGTGCGAAGACCCCGCCAAGCCCTCTGCCTATTCTGATTCTGCATTCCACTTACACGCCGCAGGCAAGAAGCGCTTCGAAATCGCGTGCTACAAGAACAAAGTCCTCGAGTGGCGCAACAAGGTCGAAAAGGATCTTTCCAACGTCCTGCAAATCGAAAACGTCTTCCTCAACGTCTCCAAGGGTCAAGTCGCCCCCAAGACCGATCTCGAAAAAGCCTTTCCCAAGAAGTCGCTCGAGGAAATCATCATAGATATACTTGACCACGGTGAGCTGCAAGTAGGCGAGAAGGAGCGCAATGCCGAGCTCGAGAGAACCAAGAATGAGGTCATCGATATCGTATCCGGAAAGCTGGTGGATCCCAAGACGAAGCGCGTGTACACGACAGGCATGATTGAGAAGGCGCTGGATCAGCTGAGTTCTGCTGCAGCGTCGCAGCAGAGTGAAAAGGAAAAGGGCGAGGCCAAGGAAGATGGTGACGAAAAGGCAAAGGCAAAGGAGCTACCAAAGTGGACTGGCGTCGTCACCAACAAGTCGGCCAAATCGCAAGCCCTGTTTGCCATGAAGGCGCTCATTGCTCATCAGCCAATACCCGTCGCTCGCATGCAAATGAAGCTGCGCATTACGTGTCCAACTTCTGTCCTCAAACAGAGCATCAAGACTGCGCCAAAGGCCCAAGCGGGTGCCGAAGACAAGGGCACAGTAGGCACCGTCAAGGATGCTATACTCGGCCTCATGGAAAAGGTCGAGAGCCAAGACACCGTGGGCGCAGAGTGGGAGGCAGTGGGCCTCATCGAGCCCGGTGCGTTCAAGGGTCTTAACGAGCTGATCGAGGGCCAAACAAAAGGAAGGGGCAACGTCGAAGTGCTTGAAATGGCGGTTGGCGCTGATGATTGATCGAGTGAGTGGAGACACGTCTTTTCAGCACGCGTCGCGTGTTGCTCTCGCTCTCACGTGCTGGTATTCCACTGCCAGAAGAGGAAATAGCCTGCGTAAGGGACGGTGGGCCCTTTCGTATGGTGCCTCTGGAGTAAAATGCATGGACTTATACGGTCTGCAAGGGCAACATGGCAAACATACTCCACCGCTCCTTTGCTTGCCTCACTCTGCAACATAGTCATGCGAGCACATACCCCGAACCATACACAGCTTCCGTGCACGGGTTCTGCCGCAGTCGGGCCTTTGCGGCACAGCGGTAAGCACCGCACAGTGCGCACGTGACTCTTTCACATGCTGTTCTAGCCCTCGTGTATCGAAAGTTTGCATGATGAGAAAATGATGGCTTGGATGGCTGCAATTCATTCATTGGTTAAATCCACGATAATAGAGCAATCCAATATACATAAATTTGTTCTATCACATGTTTTCTGTCTCGTTACATCCTCGCATAACGCCATGTGCCCCCACGATTGGTACATTCTGTACAACAGACGGGTCTCCGTTTGACCACCCTCTCATCCCGAACTAATGCAGTAATACCCGCAACCAGGATTGATTGCATGGGGCCAAGAAACCACTCGTCGTGGGACAACTGTTCCTCACCCCCTCCATCCCGCATGCTTCTCAGCTCGTCATCCCCCACGTAGACAGACAGTGTGGGGGCTGAGAGTGAATATTCTGTCCATCCCTTTTTCCCAAAATCATCTCCTGTACTCAAGGTGAAGTCTGCAGGTGAGAACCACCAAATTGAAGAATTGCATAGTACTCAATATTCTTGTTACAAAAGAATCCTATAAATGCTATCCCAAAATCCAACTCCGCAATCTGCAATGTTAACGCAACGCCCCCCCCCTGATAACCTTTTTTTTAATCTCTCTCACTTCAATTCTGCATATGTGTCACAATGTGTCGTAACGTCGTAACTACCGTTCCTAGAGCAAACCCATAAAAACAAAAGAGACAAAGGAAAAGTCCATAACCCAACCCATGCAAGTTCATAAATCATAACAAATGAAAGAGAACCACGAAGTGGACAATCAATGACGTAAAAGACAAAAGGAAGAAGGATTAAAAAAAAAGAGGACAAGTATACCCAAGGACAACGAATCTCAGTCCCACCAGCGCCGCCGCATCACCCGCCCGTTGTCACTCAAGATACCGAGTACATCGGCGCTGCTAGTCCGTACGCCCCACACCCGTTCAATCGGGTCCGCAATTGACGTCCAGTCCAACCGGTGCACGTCGTGCATGTCGAGGACTGCGCAGACGAGCCACGGCGAGTACATGGGACAGCTGGTATCTTGGTACAGAAAGGGGGACAGGGGGCTCAGCGCCGTGTCCTTGTCCTTTTCCGAGGAGGAGGTGGTGTTTGTAGTGTTTTGAGTAAATGTCAAAGAATGGGGTCGCTGGTGCTGGTGCTGGTGATGATAATGATGATGATGCTGTTGTTCGTGTTCGTGTTCTTGTTCTTCTTCGTCGTCGTCTTCCGACGCAATTGACTCGTCGTCTTCGTCGTCGAGTTCCATGCTGCTCTCTGAGCTGGTTGAAGACGTGGTGACGGACGAAGAGCTGGCACTCGATGCTTCTGACAGCATCGATTCGTCGCTCATCTTGGTCTTCAGTAGAGGCAGCGTACTCGCAGACCTGAACACTCCCGCTGCAACGCTCTCCTCCATGTCATCGTAGCCCGCCAGTGTCTCCAGTGCCCCGGTCGACTTTGAAAATGATGATTCTTCGACGGGCGTGACGCTGATGCGGAGAAATGGCGAGTCGAATGACTGAGATCGTATCCGTACTTTCGGGGAGGAGGGGGTCTGCGGTGCAACGGCAACAGTCGCCATATTGTAGCGGCTAGGGCGCGAAAATCCGTCTATGTGGCAATCATAGAAAAAACAAAGAATCGAAAGGACCACTGGTATATAAACTATCAAGGTAGGCTACTCATCCCTCACTAAGGCTTATATCAATCATAGTTCCCTCGTACATGCATCCACCCGGCTCGCTGGCCCTGCACCACGAATCTGTGACCACGCCACAACGTTTGTAACCAGACGAGGCTGCAGTGCTTCAGAGGACCGTTTTTCGGACGAGACGCACATGGCGGGGGAGGGGATGGAGTTAGTGGGTGGAATATCATAACACTGCGTAAGCCGAGAGCTGCGACGGGTTGGTGCACCATGCATGGGAGACAGCGCACTCCACACTTGGCGGTTAGTCCTCCAATCGCCATGAATCGATGAACACCAAGGTACAGGGATCGAGAAAGGTATCACGAGCCTAGGACTTACTGCTTCTTTGTTTCAAGTGTACCCGCTACGGTAATGCTGTTCGCAATGCTGTCGATATCTCATTAGTAGCCTGCGACCACATTTCATCATACAGTGGAGTAACATTTCTGGATACGAGCAACACATAGTCGCGACTCCTTCCTTGATTTTTAAAAAAGACCCATTCTGGGAGGACAACGATGCACCACGATGGACTTGATAAGCATAAGTGTTGTGTGACGTGGTGGACATAGTATGGCTACACTGCCGACGATGGCCTTCATTTGTCAACAACTGAGCGGGCCGAGCGCCGCAAAGCAACCATCGTGATGCAGAAAAGCATAGGATCTGTCGGTAGTAAAAAACGTCAAGTCATTCGTTGGAACAAGTCGAAATTTGAATGTGTGATTTTGGTACAGGCTGTATTCGGCCAACCCTAACCGTGGCGCATCATTTCACCCCATATCGTGCATTGCCGCATGAAGTGTAAACGTGAAAGCCAATGAAAGCCGTTTGATAAACACCGTAAGTGCACCACCCATTTCGTAAAGGCATGTCCCAGCCCCAGCTGCCCAGCGCAAGCGAAAACATTTATCCCTTCTTCTTGGAGACACCGACGGTTCGGCCGCGGCGACCGGTGGTCTTGGAGTGCTGACCACGGACACGGAGGCCCCAGTAGTGACGGAGACCACGGTGAGCACGGATCTTCTTCAGGCGCTCAAGGTCTTCACGGAGCTTGGAGGCAACACCGTTGGCGAGGATCTGGCTGTTCTTGCCATCGACGATATCGCGCTGCCTGTTGAGGAACCAGGAAGGAATCTTGTCTATATGTGTGTCAGCGATAGTGCAATGGAGATAACATTGGCCACTGCGTACACTGGAGAGGGTTCTGGATGATGGTGACGATGCGCTCAAGCTCTTCGGAGGTGAGGTCACCGGCACGCTTGTTGAGATCGACATCGGCCTTCTTGCAGACCAAGTTGGAGTAACGGCGACCGACACCAGTGATCTTGGTCAAGGCGTACATGACCTTCTGCTTGCCATCGACGTTCGTGTTCAACAAACGGATGATGTATTGGAAGCTGTCCAAGTCAGCATTGCTCTAACTGTGCGAAAACGAGTCGAAGTCGACGTCGCCCATATGTGTGTGCGCGATTCCATTCTCACAGCCACCAGCTATCGCAATCCGCCTGTCCAGTCCAGCTAGCATGCCTAATTTAGTCCATCTCTTCCAGCCAGATCCTTACTATCCTATCGAACACATCCTGCACACCAGGTTCTATCGTTGCTCTTCTCACTGGCTCTTGCACGACTTTGGACTAGGGAGGCGGGTTGATATAACGGGTAGCTGAGATCGGAGCGGGCATTGCGACAAGACGGAAGCGACGAACGATGCGTGAACTCTCGGGTTGGTGTCTTGACATACTTAGACTTCTCTCCGGAGACGAGCGCTGTGCGATTGTCAGCATGTCTGTACTATGCGTGTCGGGCCCTTCAGCACTGCGACCCTGCCCTCTGCGCGAGCGGAATGATTTTCGCTCGACACACGGGTACAGTCGCAATGATCAAGGGACTTTCAAGTAAGCAGGGCATACTCACACATGATGGCGGCTTGTCGTACGTCGATGTGGTGTTGTCGATGCTCTGTCGAGTGGGTTATCGAAAATCATCAAATTCACCAGCAAGCGAGTGGGAGCCAAGACGACGGCACGTGCGCCAAGCTAGTCCCGTTCCGACACTAGCCCATTCGACACCATCTCTCCAGTTATTGCATGTAAGCCCTTGTGTTGGACTACACTTTTGAGGGCCACTTAAATTTGCTCCCGAATCGTACGGGTTGTATGAATTGAACACTATTTTCTATGACCTTCTGTCCAGGATGTCACCTCACCGCTCTTTCTCGCTCTGTTGCTTGTTCAGTTCAGTAGTGGGCTGTGCAAAACGACCTGATGGTGCTGCCTAGCAATGCGCTCACAGCATTTGATCCATCTCAACTTACAACACAAAACAGTAGATCAAGGCACGAGACTAGCCATGTGAGCAAATTCACGTCATGGCCAATATTGTTGCCTGCATAGCCAGGCTGACATTCTCCAGCCACATCCCGCTGTCGCGCGACAAGCGCCTCTGAGGTGGTGCAGTTTGTACTACCTCCAGTTCGTGGCCCCCAACTCACTCTTCTCTGTCCGCAAGCTATGGCTTGCCATCGCACTTCACTTGCACGGCCGGGCTTGAAAAATCTGTCCTTCTGACCTCAACCATCAATCTTGGGAGTTTTTTCTGGTCATGAACCCAAGAGCATTATCCAGTTGCTCTTGTTCAGAACTTCCTCATTGTGTCATGTGTGGCTTCGGCCCCTGCCAATCTCTGCGAGTTGGAGCTTACCCATGCGACTGCGCCACATCTAGCCCCAACAATTCACCCTCGAGGCGTCCCGGCCTGAATGTAGGCAAGACCATCGATAGTGGTGGTTGCAGGGTATGCCAGACTACTTATTGAATTCTTCAGAACACCCACCGAACCGGTTCCCACAGCTATTTGCCAGTCTCCCCCTACCCTTGGATCACCCATTTTGTTTTTACTGGCCTTGTTTCTAGACGTACATTCAACTCAATCTAAGGCCCTTCGTTGTTGGCAACCCAGGATTTTACCACTTTTTCTTTCTGACTGGATCAACTCATGCATCCATTGAAGGTCTCTTCTGAATACTATCACGGAAGTGGACATACCGCTTAGCCATCATGTCCATTGGTCTTGGCTCTCCAACGATGACCTCTCTGCCTTCTGCAAACACATGTGTCGGCACCACTCATGATACTGGCTCTTCAGACGCGATACTCCCTATGCCTGAACTCGCTAGGCAGGACACGAACTCCTCTACCGGAAGTGCACTCAGGCCACCCAATGGAAATTGGGCATTCGAAATCAGTGGAGTATGCCCAAGTTGCCATCATTACCACAAATCGCTCCGGGTACACGTCAGAATCTCGAATGATTTTACCCATGTTCGCGATGTCTACTGCAAAAGGTGCAACCGCTTGTTGTTGTCTTCTGGAAACGCCAACGCCACACGACTATCCCTTCTGTCTACCATGAGTCTAGAGCCAGATCCCATCGAAAATGAGTTCCGTGCCACTTTGATCCATATGATACGAGCTTCTACTCCAATCGCGACGCTCTCTCCTGTTCTCACAGTCATTCCAGAAGTGACATCGGCCGGTCCATCACGGGAGACTTCTATCCGCTCCAGGTCCGGCAGAAGTTCCCGAATGCCTACAACGACCTTTGACGACAATACCTTGCAGACAACAGTTCATAGTATTGGTCGATACAAGGACAAGAAGAACCCTTTAGCCGAGGGTCGGCAGATGCTTTCCGATATTAAGCAAAAAGTCAGCACGAGATTCTTCAAGTCGCGAAATATCCCCTTCAACCTGGGCAAATGGTTTTCGAGGAAGGACAGCTCAAAGTACGAAAGTCATCATAAGGATCTGGCATGCGCGCCGATCAGCGCTTCTCCTACAATTGAAATAGCACCATCCTCTCGTGAGGAACATGCGGAATCACCAGAGGAGATCGACACCAACTTTGATTTAGCTGCGCTTGATGTATGCACCTCGTCAGTCACTGCTGCGGATGCACTGGCTTCACTGAAAACCTTGGACCCTCAAGCCCTACGGGCTTTGCATCCCCAGAAGCGAATTTCATGGGGCCGTAAGCAACTCACCGATTTCAAAACTCGCTTCTCTGATGTTACGGCTCATATAGCTCCTCCTGGAATGACCGATAGCGACGGTGCCCCATCCCCTCGACGCCATTCTATCCTGGCATATATAGGGGGCGAATTATACCCCTACGAGGATTACGATTTTCATAGGGCAAGTGATCATACACTCAACGGTCGTCCGCTAAGCATGAGTGAAACGCATATTTCGGAAGCTGATACCCTTGTTGACGGTGCGAGCATCTCCTCTGTACCGCGTCATATCCTCGCCGAGACCCTACACCGGGATCATCGCAGGTCATTGCCACCCCGTCCTCTTTCCATTGACAACGTTGTTCATGACTGGTCACAAATTCAGCGAAACAGAGCCGAGGCCCGGAGATCCATTGACTCGACCGCAACCGGAGGTGCTGTTCGAAGCATTGCTGCACGAAGCCATGCTTACAATCGCCTATCCCGCAATTCAATCAACCGTGCATCCTCTTTCTACGGTACGGAGCCAACTACTTCACGAGATCAACTTCAAATCGGTGAAGAAGCCGAGCATGCTGGTGCTGGCACTAGCGCATCACAGCGCCCACGATCACTTTCCCCATCATCACCGAAACTCGAAACTGGCATAACGTCACAACATGAATAAACTCGACTGATTTTGTCTCAAATCTTTTGATGTTTTATTTCGGAACTTCTGGGATGAGCCTTAAGTTATCCTGGTAATCTGTTGGATTTTGCGATTCCTGATTGCTCATTAGCTAGACCTGTTATAGACCAAACTGAGTTTCTTTCCTACTCCCTACGCTGCTGGAACAGTCTTTATATGAAGTTTTGGAACACGGTCGTTTATTGGGTAAAATGAAATATAGACTTCAATCAGAAACTTTGTGGTTCATTTCTCTCAGCTGATAACGATATAGTTTCGTTTCTCTTCCGCATAGCTTGCGGTATGAGTGAATGGCATGTGCTAGTAAAGTATTGAACACGATCTTGCATGCTTGCATCACGAATTAAAATTTCAGCTTTAAACAATAGCGCACAAACATTTGCACTCATTATAATAGCATAGCCAATCTCAAGATCTACTTATCCGCAGATCGAAAAAACAAACACGCATAAACTTTCCTCCCGGACTGCATACTCAACAAACTTAACGATTTCTAAAAGCAACGTCTTATGTACAACTACAAATTGGCGAGTAGTTGGAATACACCAAAACGCAGAGGTTGGCGTCTCGAGTACACTGTCGCAAGATGAGTATTACATTCAGTCGAAGCCCTGTATTGAGTTGTACAGGAACGGCGTACTTTTCTTAGAGAGCATGTGCAAATACGACCATCATGTACGTAGCAATGCTGATATCAGGTTCCGCAAATCTGTCTATCTATTGTCAGTTCTCGTTTTGAGTTGCTGTGTAGAATGAGGAAGAGACTCACGCCAAGTCCCGCCACGACTGGTGCTGGTAGGGAACCCAACACGATGATTGCAATGATTGCAATGAGGGACTTCATATCCGTGGTCTTCTGTGAGCAAAGTAGGGTTGAATAGTCCACAACGAGGTAGGGTCAAACATATCGCGAGTGTCGACGATTCTGCGCAAAAACTATAACTGTTTTTTTTTCGCAGTCGCATCAACCATCTTTTGTATACTGTTCTTTGGCTTTTGCCAAGATATATCTTGATCAGATCAAATAACGGCTTAAAATGGCATCAGCTTGTCCTGACGCTGACAAAGTTGAAGAGACAGGGGTATTACGAGAGCCAAGGCCAAGACTTGGATTACATGATCTGGTATCTTACATCGATATGATTTTCTCTACCACTACCAAGAGCTGAATGCTTATTAAACATGTAGCCAAGAGCAAACCTTACTTTGACTTGGTACTTGTGACCTGTAAAGGCGGTGTCATACTGTGAGGCTGAAGGACTTCGAAGGGTCTTTTTGCGACAACATCGGCTAGCGAGGTGGGCATTGTATATTGGTGGCTTCTTGAACTGCCGGATTATAGCTTTCATGATGACTTGAGTGTTTTATGGACATGGAGAGTCTGACTGTTAGATTGACAGGCACGCATGTTTGTCATGACGACCCATGAAAGTGTAAACATAGAACAGAACTTTGTCAACAAGACCTTAATGTAGAATGTATCGAGAAGTGAGATTGACAGATTCCAAGGGCTTCAGAATCCGATGCATGCAGATAGCTCGATTGCTCTTGTCCAATGTCTATATAAGGTCAACAGTGCCACTTCATTCCACAGCATCAACCATCAAACACCATCTACTTGTCAACAACTCCTTAACTCAACCCTCTTCATTAACAATGGCTCAAGTCCTCGGTGTAGTAGCCAACGTCCTCGGCGTTTTCGGCTTCTTTGCTTCCTCTTTTCAAAACCCCAACCCAAATGTCTGCAACGTCCGCGTTGCAGCAGCCCTGAACGGTCCCGATCTCAGCGGTGCCGACGGAAGCATCCAAGCAGTTCGTATTTACAACGAGAACCAGCAACTTATCGGTTCTCGAAGCGGCGGCTACATTGGCAGTGGCGGCTTCGCTGACTTTGGCGTTCAACAATCTAACAACCAGCAAGCCATGTTTGTCCAGATCCAAGCCACTAACGACGCAATCTGCATCCCATATGCCACAACTACCTTCGTAGATGGTGCAAAGTACGGTTGGATCGGCGACTGGGGCGCCTTCTGCGGTTTGAACTGGTACTACGGTAACGTCGCAGTAAGTCTTTTCTCCCACCACATCTCCAACTCTACCTTTCTTTCCGCATGCTAACAAGCAACTTAGGTCGATGGCAGCTAGTAAGCACCCACCACTCAAATACAATAACGAAATCATCAAACTAACATTTGAACAACACAGCAAACCCAAATGCACCTGGATCGACAACGACCACACCAACAACTTCAAAGCCGGCATGCTAATGATCCACTGGATCGACTTCACCAACAAGAAAACCCAAGGCTCCCGCCCAGCCGACTACTGCCGCTACCCAGCCTTCCGCGCCTACACTCCCGAAGGCGGATCCATCTTCAAACGCGATGAGCCTACAATCGTGGACCACAGACTCGTCATTAGCTCCGAGCCCGGCCACAATGCGACTGAGCTCTGTGCCAGCAACACTTCGCGCGGCCCAGACTTTGTCTCTCTGTTCGAAGGCATCTATTGCAACATGGAGACTCGTGAGACGGTGCCCGTTTGCGACACGGGTGCTACGGGGCTTTGCTTTAACGCCGAGGCCAAGCAGCTGCAGAAGCCGGATGGAAGGGTTGAGCAGAAGAACTTTACTGAAGTCATCGCATGGAACTGAATGTGATGGTTGGATTTGACAATGCCAAATTTGGCGGCTTCGGCACGGCTTGGTGTGCGCTTGTATCTATACCATCACACAATTGAGTTTGTTTAGAGTTTTCCTTTGTACTTAGACGACGCACTTAGATCACATTCATTTGAGAAATTGGGGCTTTTGTAGCTAGGACGTTAATATCATTGATTTTCTAGACTAGGCATGAATGTTTGATTCGTATCCAATAGTAAAGTTCTCGCGGATGCTCTTGAAGCCACGCACGAACACCGTCTCGAACCGAGCCCTACGCCTCCGAATTCAACACCTTCCCCTTTGAGTCGTCTCTTGAAAGAAAAAAAAATGTGCAATGACAACAAAAAACATACAACAGCGGGGATTCGCTAGTGGTCACCCACCTAACTACTAGTCCGCCGGTCGAAGACTTAACGTGTGGAGAACGAACGGGATCCGGTGCAGTATTTCGCCGATGGTCGTATGTGGAATAATTTTCAAGAGTTAAGATTCATGTAGCAAGTGTAAATGAGAGAAGAGGTCCGATATCTGATGTGGTGGAACTCCCAGTAGAGCGGGTTTGGTGGCCAGCCGCGTTATCCGAAAAGTATGACCTCACATTTCATAATAAGTTTTCTGATAGTCCCGACACTTCCTTAGGTCCTTGAGCAATGTATTTAAAATCGGAGAAGATACTAGGGAGTATTACATGCATTTCAAGGTTGTTTAAAAGATGAATAAGGATAATAGCAAAGCAAAAGAAACGAACATATGAACAGAAAATTTAATACATCTCCACGCTTCCTCTTCCCATGATGCTCTAGAACACCTACCAATCATCAATCATATCATTAAACTCCTCACTCTCAACGTCCATAACCTTTCTCGCGGCCTCACTGCCACTAACAGGCAGCATCTCAAGCCCTCCCTTGTCACCTTCGTCATCATCGTCACTCTTAGCCTTGCCCTTGAAATCCTTCGGGACCTCTTCTGGATCCAGCAATCCAACTTGGAAGAGCACACTAGCCTGATCCCAATACAGTCTCTCGCTCCATATCTTGCCAGCACGGAAGCCAACAATGCTTATGACAACGATTTCGACTTTTTCGTTTGTAGGAGGGACGCCTGGTAGGATCCAGGGCATCTGGCAGGTGTGTTTGAAGTTAAAGTAAATTTCATCAACAATACGGTCCACACCTATAGTGCGCGAGATGAGGCGCATATGGAGGGATGGCGGACAGCTTCTCAGGAAGTAGTCACGATAAAAGCGTTTAAGGTCGGACATACCGATGCCGCCCGTCATCGTTGGTGTAAAGTTTATAGAGGGCCTTGGGCTTCGGGTATAGGTTTCTAAAAGCTTGTCGACTGCCTTGCCATGAAATTTTTCTGTTTGTTTGTTAGACTGTTGTTACGGGAAATTTGCTGAAGGAAGGACCCACGCTCTTCGTTCTGTTCCAGTACTCGTTCCAAGTCAACTTCAGCGCTGAAGCCTTTTCTTACTGTGCTCAAACTCCGGCTCCATGCAAGCGCATCGGCGACGGCGTCGTATTCGGGCAAATCATGTTCGGCAAATCCAGCATCTACGCCTTCGTACGTGAAGCAAGGATACAAAATCTTGTCCTGCAAGCCTCCAACGCCAATGCCAGGTGTGACGCGCTTCTGCACCGTTTTCCGCTTGCCCTGAATGCCGAGGACTTCTGGACGGCGCACCACGCCCACTGTGCACTCATTTCCGGATGCACCCTCTGCTAGGTGTACGAGGACGCGAAAAGAGGAGGTGAAGCGATGTCGTGTGTCGGGAATTGAAGTCGGGTAGTAAGCGATGAGGGAACAGAGTTTCGAGGTCGCGGCTCTGGGCTCCGAAAAGATGTCTAAGCACACAGCAGCTGCATCTCCAAAAGCTGAGAATTTACTGTCAGCGAATGTTTTCTCAGGCTGCGACTAGCAGGCAGTGGTCGTTTCCAATGCGCAAGACTAATAAAGGGTCGTATACCTACGATAGCGTAACGCTCTCCAATACTCATGTTCTCGCCCAACTTATGGAGCGTCTGCACATATTGCTTCCCGCCATTGCCCATGGGAATGTATTCGACAACAAAGCCCTCGTCACGCCATGCCTTCATGGTCTGGACATCAAACTCAGCATCTTCAGCGGTAATGTAGAGCAGCGGCGTGCTGCTCCTAAAGGACAGCCAGCCATTGCGGTCGGCAAGGAATTGCTGCGCCATATCGTCGTGGTTGGTGTTGCTTGAAAAAGCGTTCGCATCAGGCGCTCCGGTCAGTCCAGGATTGTTGCAGCTCCACTAATATTCGTGAGGCTTGCCCAGTTCTGCGTTGGTCACGTCCGGTTTCCGCTGCAGGATGGCCAAGGACGCTTTCCGAGGCAGAAACAAAAGTTGGAGATGTATTCAGCGTACGACAGCACGCGAAGCACGACTTATCTTATGGCGCATTTTCGGCTCGGATGCACACCAAACCCTGTTGTACTGTGTTGGAGACGGGGTTTAGTGGAGGCGTGCGCGCGTCCTCCGACTTGCCTATGACGTAACTGGAGACATGCGTCCGCCTCGGGTTTAGCAGTGCCGCTAAGGGCCGTCGTCAACACCACAGAAATAGCCAATCTTTGTTAAGGGCTAAGCCTTGCCGCATTTTTCTTCCGTGCATAGCCAGGGCTTACAGGTGCCGGGATATTTATTTGGGCCCGTGATACCGTGGAGCAGAAAACTGTTCCTGGTCATTAATATATATTATACCCTCTCAAGGCCAAAGTATATCTCTGAGAAGTACACTGTGCAAGCTTATGCAAGCACATTCAAGAGTTTGAAACGATAAAAATATAAAAATATATCTATAAAAGAGGCCCAACTAAGTATCAATTCGGAATCCTGCCAAGTGTCAAAAGCCTGAACATGCGACAGTGCTCCCCTCCTAATGGCACCCAATTCCCGCAACACAGGTATTGCACGAGTCAGCCACCGAACAAAATCCCACGATCGACATACATATAACGCAGGCTAGTAGGGATCGTGATAGTATCAGGTGGCCTCGGTGGCTTCATTATGCCGACTCTCTTTATTGAAGAACTCAAGGTTCACCCGCATGGCCCGCAATATCTGCCTTCGTGATTAGCGCCATTTCTCAATCGAGCATGAGTTACGAACGCCTTTGCAAGCTTTCCTTTGCCTTGCATCTGCTATCTCTTTGACCTCTTTGATTTTCATCTCCAGCCACTCTTCCGGTGTACCATCGAAGTAATAATTCAGCTGCTCTGAGAAGATCCATTCACTGTCATCTTTGATTGGATTGAAGAAATCGTAGCCTAGTACCCTGACGTCCATGTTGGCGTTTCTGAAAGTAGCAGAAAATGGTCTGATAGTTTCGAGAACCTGGAACAGGCTCTTTTTGTATTGTATGCGCCAGGGTAAATAGATTTTAACCTTTAAATGTCGATTGCTCTTGAGCATGAGAAGGCTATCGAGACTGTCTTCCAGAGCCGTTTTCGCGAATCCTGACATCCCCAACCCGTAGAGTGAGTTTTCGTAAACACTTATGGTAAGCCTGCTGATAATCTCTTTGATGGGAAAGCACATGGGCCCGAAGCGGTTACGATTGATGTGAGCTCGAACACACCGGTAATCGATTTCAGCGACTGTTATGGCCCTAAAGTACCTCGTTGCAGCCTCAGATGCAAACTCGATGCCCACGAATTTGGAATTAGCGAATGGTGGTACAGAAAGATGTGGCAAATCAAGGATGGGTTGTTCAGATATCTTGAGTGCATCAGGGGTTATTGAAAGAGCCTCATCGAGACGTTCGGCATGCTCGTCACCCCAAAGAAGATCGTAGCTATGAGCACAAAACGGTCAGCAGAGTTTCCTTGATAATTCCACTTTGCTAATTCTCATAAAAGACCTTGTAATGGTCAATCTGCGGTTACGAGAGTTAATAACGCACATCTGATCGCGAAGCTCGCGCGGTAGTCTTGAAAGGATAAGCGATGTCAAAGGGAGACATAATTCCAGTTCGGAACACGCCGTGGCAACAGAGTTTAGTTTTCTATAGATGATCAGCTATCAACCCATACATGATTCGTGTATAAATATACTCGTCAGCAATGATCAGCTGTGCTTTGAGCCACTGAAGCGTGGGATCATTATCCATCCTTTGCTGATCTTCTTCAGCTTGAGCTTCCAGTTCTCCAAATTCATCGTAAAACGGTGTTAGGAGAGCCGTGGTCAATCTCTCTTCATCGATTTCTTCCCATGAATCACCAAAGATTCTTTTCTTGCGTACTTCAATGCTGATAATATTAGCGGCGTGTATTGATGTAAAGTCACGATTTTCACAAACTCTTGTTGTATCCTAAGGTAGCGGGTCATGATGCTAGTTCGAATATTAGTAAATTGTGATCCATGCCTCCAAAGCTCCTTACGCTCTCCCTTCATCATACAAGCCAAGTAACCGCACAGACTGATCATGATCGAGGCCCCAGAGCCTATGATCAAGTCCGGAATTAAGTTCACTATGGAGAAGTCAATCAGCTGTGATCGCAACACAAAAGAGACAATTAATAAGAAGAACACCGTACTGACGCGACCGCACAACCATGATTATTGTCTGATGATCTGAATAGTGAATTGGGAAGAAGGAACAGAAGCAGAACTGGAGATGGCGTCTGTTGACTACTTGTTAGTAGCTGCGGGGCGTTTAGGCGCCAGCAGGTCGTGATTGGTGGATGCAAAGGACGGAGCACACGCGTTTTCACGTGAGCATATGCCTCATGGACTAGTGAGGCAACTGCGACTGCGACAGTTCAATCTACGAAAAAGTGCGTTCGATTTGCAACGATCTCCATCATCATAACATCAGTCCCATCATTCGTGAGACCTATGCCATTGCTTGAGCGCCAGATATCTCTCTCGAAGGATGACAGTATAACACTGTCCCAGAAGTCAAGCAGCACACATAATCGCTTCACGTTTGACAATCAAGAATCCACCCTTTACGACTTTGTCGGAGCCCCAAGGCTCCATATGTTTGTAAATTTTGGTTGTACAGACTTGCAAAATTACGTACAGAAACCCTATACCTGGGCTTACTGCCGCTACGAAAAACAACGCCTTCGCATCTAACCGGTCACCTGCCATTATGCGAAGTATTGAAAGCAGATATGACTGCCCTCCTTCCGTCGAGCCGAAAAAGAAACCCAAACACCGTCGCGTGCGTGCGTGCGAGCTATGGGTGCCTATCCCGCTCTTGTCGCAAACGCCATCCGATGCTTTTTAAACGCCAGGTTAAAACGCCAAGTAGAGTGTGGATCGAGGAAAAATTATTGTAAAGTGGACGTGACCAAACCTATTTGTAGTGTTGTGTTTTGATGCGCAAGAATGCGCTCTTTTCCTACTTTTTTTTCTGGTTTTCTTGTTAGAGGCCTTCGGTAGCACTGATACGCACCTGGAGCGGCGTCGGATGGCTGGTGCGGAGGTAAGTGTGTGTGCTCGGCGTGTAAATGAACCCTGTCTCGGAGGGTGAGTTGCCAACAAGGTGGATCTTTGGTTGTGCATCAAAATGCAGCCGGAACTGAACAATAAGGAAACGTCAGAAACCCCAAGGTTGTAAGCAAAATGAAAGGGTGGAAATAGTGCGAACATGCGCAAGCTTAGCTGAAACAAAGCCTATGCTGCCGTTGGAGTAGGGACTCCATTGGCAGCAAGCTTGGACTGTTGGCGCTTTGCTGCAGAATGTTCGCTGTCCTACATTAGCACAATCGTCAGCATTTTGGTGTAACACTACCCCCGAGACACGAGTGAGCGCTGAGAGGATTTGGTGAGGCGTTCTTCACGCACGTCAAGGCCAGTATCGGCGAAGTGGCGCTTAGCACTTTTCGCGTCCTTCTTCTTTTTATCTTTGCTAGACTTCTTCGGCCGCGTTTCTCCCGGCAGGAATACGTCGTCAGGAAGTGCAGTGCTACTTGGTCAGTAAAGTGGTGAAGCAAGGATGTTTGAAAAACTTACTTGCGAGTGTGAACCACCTTGACGGACATAAGTTTTTCGTCGTAAAGATCCGAATCTGTGATATAGCTCCTAAACTGGCTGACAGGATAAGAGATATCGAGCGACTTGGTAGCATCTACGGGAATGGTCAGCATGGTGAACCATAAATATGCAGATTGGTTAGACGTACCCGGAGGTAAAGTGAGACCAATGTAGAAGGTTGTGGTGTAGATGATGTGGGTATCGTCGTCGGCTGGCGTAGTGCCGTCTGCAGGCACTTCAGAAGCTGGAATCATGTACTCGAGGGAACCCTGAGTAACTTCGTGGAACTGATCATCTTTACAACGATGATACCGCTCGAAGTAGTTGATATATGGACGTGCAGTATCGATACCAGTCTGTCCATCATCAATGCCCTTGACAATGTGACGGATTTTGGACTGCACCAGTCCAGAGAATGTCGAGTTTGCCTCCTTGGTCCGACTTGCAGCAACCACGCTCAAGTAGTATTTGTGGTCTTTGGTAAAAAATGAGTGTCGTTCGAACAATGCATTCCAATCTTTTGTTCCTGCAAAGATGTGCTGTAGGATCTTGTCCGCTCTTCCAAATTCGTCCTTCATAATACGCAGGGTAGATGGCATGACAGTATGTGTGGCACACATGGAGGGGAACGCAGGCGTGATTATGGGCATGAGGTGTGCTCTGTCACCACCATATACCTGTGGGTTCCATACCCGCAGACCCAAATCGCCTTCTTCGATATGTTTCAGCATGACCGGTCTCGGCCAAGTCCACTTGTACATCAGACTGAAGAACTTGGAAACAATGGTAGCACCATTTGCCATGGGGTAGAGTTGGCAAATGCGAGCAACCATAATAGCCCACGCGACACCACCAGGGTATCCGAAGACAGCTCCGTAGATGCCTCGACGGTTGGACCACAGCTTGATGGCCCTCAGAGCATGCCTGAAGCTGACTTTCTGCGGTACCGCATCCAGGAGCTCATTGGTAACTCGTGTGCCGTTGACGCTTCGGGTTGCCGACTCCGATAGGCCCTCCAGATCCTTCTTCTCGATGGTATCCATGTTCCTGGGTATCGAAGACCGCTTTGGCAACGATGCAAATAGCAAATCTATGCTCACTTCACGGTATTCCATCTTGATAATTGGTACGAAGGCGTCTTCGACGGGTACGAACTCGTTGATATCGTCGACGTTGGACATTTCTCGAAATGTTGGAGGGAAGAATTCGAAAAACTCGTGGATGGCCACGAATTTAGGCGCGACAACGAGCGTGTCAATATCGGACGACGGTCCATGAACACCGAGAGCATAACTGCCGAATGTGAAGATCTTGCCGCCTGCAGCATCGATGACGGACTGCTGCACACCCTTTTGCTTTCCCACGCGACGGATAAATTCTTCGACGACTTTCTGGATGTGTTCGATGACTTCCTCCCTGTATCATATTAGACAAGCGCTCCCGCTTCCCTAGGAGACAGCGTGACGTACCTCCTTCGGTTGCCTTCTGGGGTTTCAAAGACGTTTTCCGCCTTGAGCGTCTCGATGAGCTTGTCATTCAGCTTGATATCATGCTCGGTAGGCGCGGCCTCTGAGATGGCGCTAGTGACACCAAATTGGCGGGATGGTTTCTTCTGGCCGTCCATGGTCGACGTGATGGGATGTGTGTGGGGAGTCGCGCAACTTCGGAGGTGCTTTGGTACGCTGATGTTTGGCGGATCCCACTAGGCAATGAAGCGCGTGTCGGAGCGGATTGTCGTGAGAGGCGGCTGGACTGAAGGAGGTCTGGTGATGTTATGAGCGCTCCCACATGGCGACGCGACTTTGTTTGATCCTGGGTCTGGCAAAGGAAATGAATGCGACAACAGAAGCCTAGGATGCACCCGTCTTTGGGACGAGTCGTTGCCAAGCCCGCTAGGGCGCCACTGCAGTTGGTTCCAGGAACGGTCCAGTGCGTCGGCTCCTCCAACATCACCATGGCGAAACAGCTGCCGGTAAAACTATCTCACAAAAGCGCCTTGGTACTGCTGCCTCCGTCACGCATCACTGCGCCAATAGAAGCAATACGAAGCGTCTACGATAAGCAGTTTCTACGATGGCCCCCGCACATCAACTTGCTGTACCCTTTCCTAGCATCACCGTCTGAGTCTGGCAAACTCAAGCACGACATTCGCATCCGAATTGAACAAGTAGCCCGCGCCATACCCCCTTTCCATATGTCACTCGAGTCGGATCAACCTGGAGTCTTTCACCATAACCTCAAGAACAAGACCGTCTGGCTTGGCCCCACCACTTACAGTAATATCCGAAAGCTTCAGGCGGCTTTATACTCCGAATTCTCTGTAAATGGAGTTGACCGAGACCGCCGACCTTTCATGCCCCATCTTTCTGTAGGAAAAGCACAAAGCCAGGGTGGTGTAGACGAGATTAGCGTAGAGATCACCAAGAGCATCTCCGAGTTCCTCTCACACAACGCAGAAAAAGATGACAAGCCCACTACCCTGGAGTGGTATGTCGATAGGGTTCATGTCCTTGGACGCAAAGATGAAAAAGATCGCTTCAAGATTGTTGGCACTATATCATTAGGGGAACCTAGCACAAGGGTAGAGCAGGCGACAACTTCAGTCGGCTGATTCAATCACGATCCGACTACAGCGACTTGGGCGAAGCAGCATATACGCCTCATCTCAGTTCTCAGCAAAGAAAGCCTTCAATTGCTCATCCAGCCATTTGACGTCCTCTGTTGACTGCCCAGGTCCACCAGCCCTGTTTTGTCCGTTAATGATGACAACGTGGTTACCTTTTAATGAATACACTCACCAATGGCCCCAAATGGATGGAAAAACCTTCAGTGTTCCTACGCCAGGCTTCATGTTCTGAACTTCAATCTCAGAATCCTCCGGTGGGAAGTAGAGATCTGTTTTCGCTGGGAGAACCAACGTTTTTGCCTTGATAGCCTGCATGGCCTTCTTGAAGTCACCGTTATACGGATCTTGTTGTGAGCAATCTCCAGCTTGCCATGTGTGCGCCATTGTGAGCATATTTTCTGGATCTTTCGACAGCGCCCATGACTCCCAAAAGTTGACAAGGAAGTCATCCAAGTCCTTGTATCCAAGTGTCGGGGCACTCTGATACAACTTCTCGCGATAGAAGCTTTGGGAGAAACCCCAACCAGCGTAAACGCGCCCAAGGGCCTTGAGGCCGGCTTCTCGTGTCTCAGACGAAAAAGTCACTTTCTTTCCTTGGGCTGTGTATAGATCTGGTTTCGTAACGCCTGCTGAGCTCGTACCTAGTGCAGCGTAAAGACTGCTTTTGACACCCTCCAGGAAGACCTGGTTGTGCAGGCTGGTCTTTGCGCTTCCACAAAACGGCACGGCGAGGTCCATGAAGTCGGGAAACTGTGTGGCCCATTGATACGTCTGCCCAGCACCCATGGACCATCCGAGTACTGCACGAGCATGCTTGATGCCCAAGTGCTTCGTCACAAGCTCATGTTGCGCGCGCACGTTGTCATAGAATAGTACTTCTGGGAAGGGACGTAGAGCTGGCATGTTTGATGGTGAGGAGGATTGGCCATTGCCAAACAGAGCAGGCATGATAATGTAGTATTTGGAAGGATCGAGGGTTTTACCTGCGCCAGTGAGCCAGACATTGTCGGATATCGCTGTGTGGATCGATTAGCAGTTGCGGCATCACGGTCTGGTGCGCAGTGCTTACTTCCAGAATACCATGTTGGATAGATTACGGCTGGCAACGAAGGGTCACCTAGTGTCTTGTATGCGATGAAAGCATCTGGTATTTCACTTCCAGATTTGAGCTTGAAGTTGCCTAGATTGTAGGTTTGGTAGTCTTTATCCGAGGACATGTTGAATTCGATTTCAAACTTCACAAATCGCGGAGAGAAATAATGGAGAGAGCATTTGGAGTATCAGATGTTCAATGGGCTGCAGGAAATGAAATTGGTCATCTATCATAGCACTTTCAACGAGAAACCTTGGGTAAGCTGACCTTCCACTAAGCATTGGTGCTCTTATCATTGGTAGCGGGGTAGCTCAGATGCATAGCGGGGTAGTACATGACGTTGATAACCCTTCGGCGCCGTCTTTGGAGAACATGTCCCGCGTATAGCCGTTCAGACAGAATTATTGTACCAAACGCTCCAAGAAGCGGTAGTGATGTTGAAAGATATCCTCACGAAGTAGCCATGCTTGAATAGCCGTCTGAAGAAGCGATGCAGTGGCTTTTCTCGGGCGGCATTCCGCGGCTGTCTTTGATTTTTCTGCATCCTTCCGGGCTAAATATTCATCCGCTATTTGCCGTGTCTCCAACACGCTGTAGCCGCTTGATCATCACTTAGTAAACATTGTTTTTCTCTCATTGGCGTCATACACTACATCGATGAAAAGGGCAATCTTGGCCACCCGACGGCAACCCGCCTTGACCTTGACAACGCGCATTGAGCACCAACAACCTTACCTCTGCTTTCCGAAAAGAGCATACAACGAAGTAACTCACCAATCCCCCACCATGGCTGCTGGACGCGCAGATGCCGAAAAGGAAATAAAACGGAACCCACACGGTGACTTCAAAGCAGTCGAGGCCTCGCGTCCCCCCTTTGACAAGACATCCTCTTTCCACTACACGCAAACACCCAAGCCAAACTGGCCACTAGGCAGCGGCCCTAACGATGCCTCTGACCAAGGAAAATCGCACCGCTCCATCGCACCCTACGAGCAAGGCCGCCCCGTAGTCCACAACTACAAGCTCCTGATTTCAGCCATCGTCCCCCGCCCCATCGGCTTCGTCTCAACCATCAGTGCAGACGGCCAATCAACCAACCTCGCCCCCTTCAGTTACTTCAACCTCGTCAACCACGATCCCCCCATGTTCGTCCTCGGCTTCGCAGGCGGCATGGACAAGGCCAAGGACACGCTCAAGAATCTGCTCGACACCAAGGAAGCTACCGTTAACATCATCTCCGAGCATTACGTCGAGGCTGCAAATTTTTGCAGCATCAATGCGCCGCCGGGAATTAGCGAGTGGGCGTTTAGCGGACTGCATCCTGAAAAGAGTAAGATTGTGAGACCGGATCGCGTCAAGGAGGCTGTGTTTAGTATCGAGGCCAAGCTGGTGGATAAGGTGGAGTGGACGAGTAAGAACCCTGATACGCCAGGCAAGAAGACGGGAGTTACGGTATTTATCGAGGGTGTCAATTTTTGGGCGAGAGAAGATGCGATTGATGAGCAGGGCGTGCTTATCGATCCTGCTGTAAGTTTATGCTTGAGTAACGCCCGTGTGGGCTTACCTGTTGTGTCTGACATCCACTAATTTATTGCTTTGTTCAGGTTCTCAAGCCCATTTCTCGATTGGGCGGTATTACGTATGGGCGCACTACACAGGCGTTTGAGCTGCCTAGACCGGATTATGACGAAATTACCAAGGATCCCGAGGGGAAGAAGTTGGCGCTGCCAAAGAGTGAGAGCCAATTGTAGACGCACACACTCGCATCTAGACATTTTGATTTTGAACAAGAAAGGGCTAGAAAAAGAAATGTACGCTCAAGAATTTATTGCTCTTGATTGATATCACGCGTTCTACCCACCATTATGTCTCTTCATTCCTGTTTTTTTACCTACCAAGACTCCACCGTATCAAAAGGAGTTCTTCGTCTACTCCTGTCGCTCCTTTGCATCCTCAACCGCCTTCCTCCAATCATAGAACTTCATATAGATGCCCTCTGAGATAGTAATGCATGAACTACCCACAGCGCATCCAGTCCAGAGCCCTACCAGCTTCAAATCGCGTGGGAAGCAAAGGAACAGGGCCAGTGGTACAGCAATGACGTAGTAAACGAACAGATTGCAAACGCCACCAATACTCTGCTTTCCCAATCCACGTAGCAGCGCATTGACCATTGCAGTAGTCGAGTCTGCAAACTGGAAGGTAGCGAGCAGAGGCAGCACAGTAGCAACAATGCTCACGACTTCAGGATCGCTACTAAAGGCGCGAGGCAAGATATTGCGGAATGCTGTAAGGAAAGTAAAGTCGATAAGCCCGATTGCGAGAAAGGTTGCAACGTAGGTTTTGGTGGCAGTCCGGGCTGCAGAGAGGGAACCTGCACCAATGAGATTGCCCAAGCGGGTTGAGACTGCGACGCCAACGCTAAAGGGTACGTGGTAGATGGCTACAGCGAGAGTCATGACGCTGCAAATATTAAATTAGTATCGAATAGGAGGATTTGAAAAGGGCGTGACAGCTTACATTGATTGGGCGGCTAGGTGGGCCGTGGAAAGATAGCTCGTTGAAAAGGTGAGAATGTCCTAAGGAGATTAGTAAATTGGATATAAAGTTTTGTAAACGAGTGACATACGAATGCAAGCCACTCTGTTTCCACCATGATAATACCCGGTACTGCCAACTTGGCCATCGGTCCCCAATTCGTGAACGCAGCTTTCGTGAAGCCGCCCCAACACTCGAGCGATGCGGGGTTCACCAAGTAGACATAGATGAAGAGGAGTAATGGCAAAAGGTTGTTAGAAACAACGGTTGCAAGTGCGGCGCCAGTAAGATTCCAGTCCAAGATGAAGACAAAGACATAGTTTAGGGCAACGTTGACTGGCGTCGCAATGAGCAGCACGAAGAGGGAAGCATTGAAGAGTCCCTGGGCCTGTGTAAATCGCTTGCCAGCTTCAAAGATTGCATATCCTGGTGCACCAGCCAGCAGCAATGAGAGATAATAGCCAGCAAGGTGAGCTAATTCCTTTTCTGGAACGAGAGCTGCGAGTATCCGGCCCGAACACAGCCAGATGGCGCCAATGGGAAGGGTGACAGCAAGCATGAACAAGATCATGCGTTGAAGGTGGAGACCGACCATGGTTTTCTTGCCGGATCCGTAGGCCTGCGCACAGAGAGTATCCAGGGATGTGGCTAAGCCTTCATAGACGGCTAGTCCGGTGATGTTGGCGGTCATAGTAGCGAGAGAGACAGCACCAAGCTCATCCGTCCCAACTGTATTAGATGCGAGTCAGTTGATGCCTCAGAGGCTTTCATACTAAGCACTTACTATGTCCAACGACGAAGATAGTCACCAAGCTAAATGAGTACTGGAGTAGATACGTTCCCATGAGCGGAACACTGTACTTGAACAACAACTTTGCCTCCTGGCGCGCCGTCGTCCCCAGCTCTTCCACCGTGCCATCTCTTCCTAGTAGGCTTTCGATATCGGTCGTGTCAGCAATAGCTCCATACTGATGCTGCTTTGCCGCATTGTCGTGGGCCTTTAGCAGGCCGACGCGCTCAGCGGTGCTCGTGGAGAATCGGCGGGCCTCGGAAGGGTCCATTGTGTATACGGCGCTGCCGCCAGAAGTAAAAGGGAAAGGAACAAAAACCAGGGCTAAGGACGATATATCATAGTCGTGGCCTAGAGGCGCGTCTCTGGTGTGATGATCGACTTTGTTCTGGCGTTTCGAGCTTACTTTTGGTTGCGGCTGCCACAGTGGGGCGAGGAGCTGAGCTTCTGGCCCCTGTGTCGTCAATGGCGCCATACGTGTAAGTATGGGGCGGCTTGTAGCGAAGCAGTAAAGCGCCGGAGGACTTAACGGAGAGTGGGCAGCATAATCCGCTTCCAGGCGCCTGTGTGGGGGACCTCCGCGAACGTTGTCCAGATGGGGGAAACCTGGCGCAAGGTTTGCCCACAAGTGGGCTTAGGTTTGTTGATGGATGTGGGTGCAGAGACGAGCTTTTCTTTTCACTGGCACAATCCGTAGCTTGCCATGGCTGCCATGTTCAGCTACGATTGCCAGCCGCAATCGTGATCCAGACTTTGGGGAGAGCGCGGACCGTGAAAGTCATCGGGCAATTTTCTATTGGCGAGCGCTCGTTTGGTAGATTGTCTATCTCCGAATCAGCCGCGCTCCGCGATGCGCTACTGTCCACCGTCGATGTATGGATGTCTGCCGAGGATATTCAGTAGTCATCTCAAGACAGGCACCCTTATCCTAGCCAAAGTGACAATATGGCGGCTAAGTAGGGCTGAGTGTTAATGAACTGTTGTTAATGTTGGTGTTGTTGTCGTCACGTGAGCTGTAGCTAGCCGAGGAAGGAGATGCATCTTGGCATACCTTTGATCGGTCGAGTATCAGCAGAGCTTCTTACTTAGAGCCAGTCAGATTGCGTTTCTTCGTGCATTAAGAGCCCTTTTAGAGGGATCGTACATAATTGATATGCAGCTAAAGATCCAAAAAACCAGGGACAAGGCTGATACCCTCCCTGCATAATGAAAATTCTCCTCATGCTGCAGGCTTGGGTGAATTGAACGTAGCGTATTGTGGATTTTCTAGTTGCGCAGCCAGCGTAAAGGTGGTCTCGAATGTATTGTCTTCCTTCGGTCGAACAGTGTGCGCAACAACTAGCCCGCTTCTTAGAGTAATGTTCTGAGGCTACACTATCTCCCCGTGGCTCTCCTCCTAAGAAAACAACCAAGTTAAAGCCTTAGCATATGTCGCAAACTAATTTGTAGGGAAGTATGTACACTTGAGCCGATGCAGTGTAGTTGATGGTTAGTGATTCGTATTGGGTGACTATTGCCAAGACCAAAGCACGTGATATTCTCTATAAAATCAACTGTTTAAGCTCTACAGTCCGAGAGTGTTTGCGTCGTGTTTATATATAGACTTACCTTTTACTCCCTTTGTTAACTTAGAATCGATCATAAAAGTACTAAAATTTCCGATGTTGATAATCAAGTAAGACTACAATTGAGACTAAAAACATCTTCCTGATAACTCAGAAATCCCGAATCCCGCATTTGATCCAGTATCGAACGGGGTAAGTGTGAACATGTCTACAGTAGCCGGGAAACAAGCACCAGCTAGGTAAACTGAACGGCATTGAATATTCCACCAGGAAACAACCCATGTGGGGGAGGAAGAGAATAAGATCCTGAAACACGAATGAAAATTTCCGAGAATATCGAACGCAACGAATTACAGGACGAGGAGACTAATCTAGTTGCCAAATACAGTCAGACACTGGGTGTTGTGAAGCAAAGAAAGCGCAAGCATCCCAGATCGAACACAAGCCTAGGGGCTGACACAGCTTACCGTGTATTGTACGCATTCCTAGTGCTTACTAGCAAGATTATGGAGGATGTCACTACTGGGTTTTAATTCTGACGCCGAGAAGCTGTGGAAACTTAATACTGGATTGCGGCTACTTGGCATACTATAGGCCCGAGAATCTGTGATATGAGACTTTCTCAGTCTCCCTTTCTTAGAGATACATCTCAGAATCTCCATTTACAGGTCAGGGTAATCATGGGCTTGTTACATTTTCTTCTTCTTTTGTGCTCAATCATGGCTGAATTTTCCATTGAGTCAATAGATAAACCACCACATCAGCAACCTGGAAAAAGAACTAGTCCGCTACACATCATCAATGGCCACGAGCGCCTTCGCATAGAGCCATGGGGTCACAACTCAATTCGTGTACGAGCATCTTTATATCGAGATGGGACAGGAAATGAATTGGGTGCTTTGCTAGAAACTCCGTTAAACGAATGCGGTACGGAGTGTTTGGAAAGCCCATCAAAGATATCCTATCACAACAACTCCGCTGTACAAAATGGTCTAATCGAAGTAAGTGTTTCAAAGAACAAGTTGAGATTTTGGCGAATGAATGGCATCAGTCGTGAGCTTCTTTTTGAAGAGCTATGGCCTCAGGTAATAGAATGCTGCAATCCAGTGAGAGATTTCGAGTACTTATTCAATTGATAAGCATGGTAGAATTGCACGCGACTGGTCATTTGATACTGCGGGAGTTACATCAAGGCCTTGTGCGACATTCTCTTTTACTATGGAAAAAGATGAGCAGATTTTTGGTCTGGGTCAGCACCAGACTGGGAATCTGAATAAGAAGCCAGGGTGAGCACTTCAATTCCCAGGGACTTTCTACATACTGATACAGGCAGAAAATATAATTTCCGGCATTACCAATCCGAAACAACAATTCCATTTTTCATCTCGTCAAAGACTTACGGCTTTTTATGGAACGTCCCCAGTATGGGTCACGTAACGCTTGATGACAACAGAATCCAATGGTTTACGGAATCAGCGATGGTAATTGATTACGGTATGTATGTGCCTGAATTTCTAGCTAAGACTAAAAAAATCTAGTGGTATCCGTGGCTGAAAAGGGCGACTTTAGAACACTGATGAAAACTCATAGCTCACTAACGGGACGGGCTCCTTCCTTCCCAAAGTATGGTCGTGGTTATATTCAATCTAAGACTACATACATAAACCAAAATGAAGTATCACGTGTAGCGGAAGGATTCAAGAAACATAAAATCCCAGTGTCAATGATCCAGATTGGTAACTATGGAAACCTTGAACTCTGTTTTACTTTCCAAAGCTAACAGGGAACTTGGAGATGCACCTCACTGGCGTGCTTTTGGCGACTTCGCATTTGATCGATTGAAATTTCCTGACCTAGCGCTGCTTGTCGAAACGGTTCGCAAGTTGACGAATGGAGCACGCATTATTGCAAGTATATGGCCCCTTATGGAACCCTCATCCGAGAACTGGCTTGATTATCTATCTTCCGGTCTTGTTGCTGGATCGACACAAGGCACTGGGGTAGTAGAATTCTTCAACGGTACAGCTATGCATCTCCTTGACTACACGAATCCGATGACCAGAAATAAGACTTGGAGTAAGATAATTGATAATTATTACAATATCGGAATACGAGACTTCTTGCTGGATTGTACAGAAGGAGGTGGTGTCGGAGAAGTATGTCTAAGCGATCTATCATCTGAACCCTATTCTGACTTTGATAGGGGTTTTCATTCAAAACCATCACGATGTATCCTCTCCAGGTGGTACCTTATCCACGTCCAAATTTTATTTACTCGCTCGGCACTCAGTCTGAGATTGGAGCAATTTTTCCATTCTATGCTCAAAAAATGGTCTACGATGGTCTAGCAACTTTGGATATCCAACCTGGACATCACGAGGAAGACAAGGGAATATCATTTTCTAGAAGTGCATGGCTAGGATCTCAACGGTTTTCCAGTGTCCTTTGGAATGGCGATGTTGATGGAAGCTGGGAGGCGTTCCGCGCCCAGATAACAGCAGGCCTCAATGTCCAAGTAAGTGGAACAAAAACATTCAAGGCAAATTTGACGTTGACGGCCTACCCTCAGCTTGCTGGAATCCCATGGTGGGCTTCTGACATTGGTGGCTACTATGCTCAAACAGAATACCATGGTAACATATCCGATCCACAATATCAAGAGCTCTATGTTCGATGGTTGCAGTACGGAACGTAAGATTTTAAATGGATCCAAACTGAAGGCCTTTGCTGAATCAAATTCACAGATTTAGCCCAGTGATGAGAGCACATGGGCGACGCAAGTGCCTCCCGAAAGATCAAGACGGATTCGACTCTTGCCCCAATGAGCCTTGGTCGTTTGGAGAAGCCGTCTTTCCTCACATCAAACGATTCATCCACCTACGCTACACTATGGACCTCTATATCAAAGCCTTGTTCGAAGAAGCTAGCAGCTTTGGAACGCCGCTCCAAAGGCCTCTTTTCTTTGATTTTGCCACAGTCGATTTGTATACGATCATGTACGCTGAAGAGCTCAAAAATCAATTCATGTTCGGACCGAACTTGCTGGTTGCTCCTATAACCGTCCCAGGTCCTTCGGAGTGGAGAGTATACTTGCCTGTTGACACAATCCACAAGGAGCAAAACAACGGCAGCGCCAAGACCACAGTGTGGAGAGATTGGTGGTCAGATGAAATTCACTATGGCGGGAGATTTGTTACACTGAGCGTTTCGATGGCCAGAATCCCTCTCTTTTACAGAAGGAGTAAGGAAGACTTGTTAGCTGGAAGAATCATCGGTTGATATGTTGAAGATGTTTCGAAGGCTGCAAAGCAGTATAGTCCAAACCTGCCTAGGAAAATAAGACGAGATTTGGGAAAGCAGTTCTCGGCCACATGCATGGTTATAGAAGAAAGACAATTGACTATTTAATAATCGTGACTACTACTGTGCTTCCATCTTCTCTGCAAGCTTATAATTCTCTTAAATAGATAGAATGGTCGGCTTTGCATATTAAAAGGAAACATTCTATCACACAGAAACGGAACAACGGCCTTACTAAAGAGGATTCGGCCTAAACATGCAATACGTTGCTTTTATTCCCTCATATGAAGAAGTGGCAGATGATAACGTCAGCTTTTCTTTACCCGTCGTAACCCAAAGATTTATGACGAGTGCCCACGCTGAACTTTTGGAAATGACGGGGATTCTCATGGCTTTACAAATTATCTTTCACTCAAAATTGGTTCCATTATCATTCAAAGAAAGCGACGCAAAGATAGAAGTACATAACCACTTGTAGGTAGTTCCGCCCATCTTACTACGCTGTACTCAACGTTAACTCAGCTCATAAGGAACTTGCAGTAATATTCCAAGTTTGATGACGCGCCTATCTGTTACGCTGCTGGAGTCCTCCATTCGCACTGTAAGCATCGCCTCGAGGCACCATAGAAAGTTCCTGATGGTCATAACACTCAGTGCGATGACCCTTAGTACCCCTACAGGTGGAATACGTACAATCACCGCGCTATTATAGCGATATAAAAGGCTGCCAGCTCGTAATTTTCTATTCAAATTCTTCAGCAGTTTGTGTTATGTAAAGACACGGGACGAATGGACGGTGTAGGCTCCACACGTGGTTTGCGAGCGTTAAATCCCTCATTTTTATATCCCTCAAGCTAGCACGCGGAAACTGCCAGGAGGCAGTGGTAGCTTACACCAGATCTGATAAATCTCCGAATTCAGCCACAGATTTGGAGGCGCCTAATTTCCAATTGGCTTAAACAACACGGGCTGATTGTGGTGTTTTACTATGAGGCATTTTCTTGGCCAGGGTACGGGAGGAAGCGCATGAAGTTGGTTGGTTGCAGACGATTCGGGCCGTTGATGATAAAACTATTTGGTGTAGCTTGTGGCTTGCGCCACGGGCCGCTGTGACAGCAAAAGCTTCATTCACGATTGCCGTCGGTCTAGGCCATAGAAGTTCTTAGTGTACGATGGCATGCTTGGCTTATTTGATCGCCCTTAGTCGCGATGACAGAATCACACAAACTGACTTGCATCTTTTTCCTTTCAATTCCGAGGAGGCTCTTTCTGAGGTGCACTGCCATACTGTACCGTCAGCCTAGCCCGCAGAGCATCCTCAGCAATGACCTCCAGTAAGGGCAATGTGCCTGACGATCACGAAGAAACCGAACCAACTGGAGATATAAACGACATTGAGAAGCAAGAGAGAACAACCCATATTGTTTGGGAGGATGTGAATCATCCCGGGAGGGGCCGTTCAGATGGCAGAACTGCTCGCCGCCAATCGCGCAGTAGAAGCCAAGGTTCTATTTCGAGTGTTCGAAGTCGTACTCACTCTGTATCTGGCATTCCTATCGAGTTCCGCACACTTTCCATCCAAGTGAGCGAGAGCAAAGCCAAAGCAAGAGATCCGCCATCGAAAGATACCGACGATACCAAAAACGCGAATAGCGACTACTTTGGGCAACTCGACTACCACACACTGAGTGCGAAGAGTGTCTGCGACCGCTTCAACGTCTTTCAGAAGCAGGGTCTCAGCAAAGAGGCAGCTGCTACACGCCTTCAACGCGATGGCAAAAATGCGATCCCTAGCCCACCCGAACACATGTGGCGGAAAATCTTTTGGTATGTGTTCGGAGGCTTCTGTTCAGTTCTATGGATTGGAGTCATCATCTTCTTCATATGCTGGAGGCCTTTGGGAGACCCTCACCCTGCGGCGTATAACCTGGGCCTGGCCATCTTAGTGCTCATCGTCATCCTCCTTCAGGCTTGCTTCTCAGCCTTCCAAGATTGGTCGACGAAGCGAACGATGCAATCGATTTTGGACCTGCTTCCCTCGGATGCGATGGTCCTCCGTGACGGCTCGTTTGTAAAGGTTCCTTCTACAGATATCGTCGTCGGTGACATCGTTCGTATCTCCATCGGCGACAAAGTACCTGCCGACATGCGTTTGTTGACCTCTTCGGGCGATGTACGATTCGATCGTTCCATGATAACAGGAGAAGCCGAGGAAGTAGATGGTGCGCTTGATTCTACGGACGAAAACTTCCTTGAGTCGCGCAACATCTCTTTCATGGGAACTATGGTGGTCAACGGCAGCGCTGTTGGAATTGTTGTGTTGACAGGACAGAACTCCGTCATGGGTCGTATCGCGCAGGCAACGTCTGGGGTCAAGGAAGAACCTACTCTTATCCAACGCGAGATCAGTCGATTCGTCTATATCATTGTATGCTTGACAGTATGCCTTGCGCTCTTGTAAGTTTGGAGACTAGGCTGTCTATGGAGAAAGCTGACCGTATAAAGATTATTATTCGTCTGGGTCGGGTGGCTACGAAAAGACCACAAGGGCTTCCTCTCCGTCATCGCTATGCTCAACAATGTTATGGGTTGTGTGGTCGCATTCATTCCAGAGGGTATGCCGGTTGGCGTAGCGCTGACGCTCATGATGGTAGCGCGACGCATGAAGAGTGCCAACGTCTTGCCCAAAGGACTATCTACAGTTGAGACTCTCGGATGTGTCAACGTCATATGCTCCGACAAGACGGGCACCCTCACTGAGAACAAAATGACAGTCACTTCAATAGGATTTGTGGATGAGCTGAAGTCTGCGGAGGACCTTGCGCCTATGCTCGCTTCTGAAAGCTGTCCAGGGGCTTTGCAAGAGCTCCACAAGGCCGCTATCTTGTGCAACGACGCCATGTTCGATCCTACAACCATTCAACTTCCCGTAAGCGAAAGAGCTATTCAAGGAAATGCGACCGATGGGGCTGTGTTACGCTTTGCTGAAGGAGCGAAGCTGGGGCGTTCTCTCCACGAGACTCTCCCTCGCGTCTTTTCGATCCCGTTCAACTCAAAGAATAAATGGATGCTCTCGTTACATGAACAAGGAAAGAAAAGCGAAGAATCGGAAAAGCCGGAATTTTTGGTTCTTGTTAAAGGCGCGCCCGATGTACTACTCCCAAAATGCTCCTCTTGGCTGTCATTCCGTACAAACACTGTCCAACCGCTGGACAGTGAAGCACGACACCTTCTATCCCAGGCGCAAGAGAAACTCTCGCGCAATGCAGAACGTGTCATCATGCTCTGCCAGCGGCAATACAAGCCAGTTGCATCCCTACGCTCCAACGCCTTTTCGGACGAACTCACTGAACATGCTCTCACTGATCTCACCATCATCGGCATTTTGGGCATCCTCGACCCCCCACGTCCGGAATCAGCTGAAACTGTTGCAACGTGTCGTAGAGCTGGTATCAGATTCTTCATGGTTACAGGTGACTTTGGTCTCACGGGAGCTGCAATCGCCCGGCGAATTGGCATCTTCTCTAGCGATAGAGAACCGGACACAATAACGGACATTGTAGATCGCAATGCTTCGGGAGACGTGGCGACTGCAAAAACCATTTCTAGCAGCTCCGGAAACCAATCTCTACTTCTTGAAGGCACGCAACTTGGCGATCTGAGCGACGCTGATTGGGACGTGGTTTGTCAATACGAGGAAATTGTGTTCGGGCGCACAACACCTGAACAGAAACTGCGCATTGTCAACGAGCTCAAGGGACGTCAAAATGTAGTCGCTGTGACTGGAGACGGGGTTAACGATGCCCCTGCCCTTCGTGCTAGCGATGTAGGTATCGCTATCGTATCCGGTTCTGACGTTGCCCTGGAAGCCTCCGACTTGGTCCTGATGGATAAGTTCTCTTCAATCATCGATGGTATTCGTCTTGGGCGACTTGTGTTTCAGAATCTTCAGAAAGTTATTGGGTAAGTCCATCGACTCTAACAAGGCAATGCGTGACTGACTCGTTAATACAGTTACCTCTTGCCCGCAGGGTCCTGGTCTGAAATATGGCCCGTTCTCCTGAATGTCTTCTTTGGAGTGCCCCTTCCGTTGAGCTCTTTTCTCATGATTATCATCTGTGTTTTCACGGATCTCTTCTGCTCGCTCTCCCTTATCATGGAACGTGAGGAGTTTGATCTTCTCTCACTACCTCCCCGAGACACCAAACGCGATCATCTCATCAACGTCAAGATCTACATCCAGTCATATCTCTTCATTGGAGTGATGCAGACTGTCTGCGCGCATTCAATGTTCTTCCTTTACATGTGGCGCCATGCAAAGATACCTGCTTCCGCCCTCTTCTTTGCCTACGAAAAGTACACCGACGGTTTCTATGGGTACAGCATGGACGAACTCAACCACTTCAACACCGTCGGACAATGCGTCTACTTTGTCACTCTTGTCATTTTACAATGGGGCAATATCCTGTCTATCCGCAACAAGCGCCTCAGCATCCTACAGGCCGACCCGTTCCGCAAAGACCGGCGTAATCCTTGGCTGGCTGCGGGTATCCTTGTCAGCCTGTGCATTGCTATCTTTGTAACGGAGGTTGAAGGCATACAGAACCTATTTGGTACTGCTTCGGTACCAATGGAGTTCTGGCTCATTCCCATCCCATTGGCGCTTGGTATTATAGTCATGGATGAGATGAGGAAGTTGGCTGTCAGGATGTGGCCAAACGGGCCCATTGCACGCATTGCATGGTAGTTTCAGAGGACTTGATATACCAGATAATCTTCTCTAGTTTATCAGTATGCCTGTATTTATTAATTGAAAGAAGGCTATAGTAAGGTCCACAAAATAATACTTCGATTCGGGCAATTGAATAGAACATGACTGTGATTTCAGATTTTATTGAAGCATACCCAACCAGTAGCATGAAAATTTGATGTTGTATTGAGTGACAAAGATGCCTATCTGCTCCGAAAACAAAGTCCATATATGCTCATAGTCTAGCGATGAGATACAAACCCACAATATGTGCATAGAAGTTGCAAGCCACTACGGTGGCGCAAATCCAACTAACGAGTAAAATAGACTAGCTTTCCATGTTTCATAGCCCTTCATCTTAAAACCTTGTAGCGTACATTTTCATGGATTCAAACAATTCCACATACTCTAATACCTGCGACGGCCGTTGGGCGACTTTTTCCTGATATTAGTAATACAACCCTATAAGTCATATTAGTATTCTCTTTTGCATTATTAAAATTCTACACCGATATAAACGTACACCTTTGCCATCGCAATTCCCGGCAAATGTTGAACCACCAGAGTTACATTGACATGATGCGCCGGAGCCACCAGTGCATGGACCGCCAGCGATAATGTCAGATCCATGGCATATGAGCTGGCTCTGAGCTGTTGCTAAGCCAGAAAATAAGAGCATGCCGGTGGCGACGATAGAGACGAAATGGAGTTGCATTTTGACGGTTAATCAGGTCGGTGAGGTAGATAGAGGAAGGTGAGTGTAGTAGTGGAGGAAGTGTGATGGGATTGAAGTCGTGATTGTTAATGATATTAGGTATGATACTTGGTAGCATGTATATGCCTTTACTCACATCATCCTTCGCATAAATTGAGAGAAGAAGGGCCGCACCGATACGAGGTATCAGTGTTGTCAATAACTATGGGAGACCTAGCTTCGCCCAGTTTGGCTATAGGAGCAGAATTAGGTAAGGTCACGGCGGTTTGATTTCTAACACGTGACATGACGATAGTTAGATGTACCCACGATACTCTCGATCCAGAGAGTGTCAGCTTCATCAGATCGATTTTGGCGACACCCCCACGGACCATTACTGACTTCGCCCTTGACAGCCACTGTATCTACCCAGATCGATCCGTACACTTGACATAGCTTGATTGTCAATGAATCTGTGGAGTGTAGCTAAGGTGAAACAGAATAACAAGGAAGCAAATACGTAGAGATTCCCATGATGGTTGGTCAAGCATTCTTTCTTGCTACTATCATATAGACATAACGCCAGCGCAGGTGTCGAAGTGGGAGAAACGCTTACAAGACAAGGGTGAACTTCTAGACTCAGAGGTAACTGTCTTTAATATGAGATGAGGTTGTGCGCATGTAAGACCTAGCCCTAACTACGACGAAACATGCAGGGGTCCGTGTCGAAGTATTGAATCTTGGATTTGTCAGTTTCCTATACCAAACGCACCTGCCCGCCATATTACTATCCAATATTCATTCTCACCCTCCCTTACGAAGCTTATTCTTTCTGTGTTTGTGACTATCTATGAAAGAGCTATAATCTATGAAAGATATCTTTTGGGTGTTTTTGGAACTGTTTAGTGAACATTCATCAAGGATATAAGCGAAGTCAGCTTGCCTGTACTAGATCAGAAGAGGATAACTATATTTAGCAAACAAATAGTAGGACATTTAGATTGATACTTTATGTGCTAGCTACAAAATAGACCTGATACACCTAATTGATCAACCCTGCATTTTCCGTGTTGTATGTGATAGACCGCCAGTATATTGGATCCTCAAAGGAGCTAAATGCCCCATCTCCTTATGTACGACTTCGTTGTTGGAAATGATAGGAAGTATTCTCTCCTTAACGGAGATGAGAGCGCCAAAGGCCAACCAACATTCACGTTGGAAGGAAAGTCGTGATCTGTAAGCGCCGAGGATTACGTGATTGACATACCGCTGAGAAGTACTATCTCCATGATAACAATGATGGAGGGTTTGGTAGAACTGGAAGCGATAGCAAGTAAAGATGGATGGATGGATTTTATTCTTACACCTGTTGTAGTCAACCATTTTAGACTAGAGTCTCGTGGCATTACCTCACGGTATACCTTGTAACCATCTCGCCCTAACCTAGACCGAGACAGGGAAGTACACCCGAGACCACGTGTGACATGGAGCTTAGCGACCTCGACACTTCAAACGGATACACGACAAACGGGCGGGTCAGACAAAGTATGCCATATCTTACTTTCCTATAGTCTCATATATAGTATTTTGCATTTTGCTGTCTTATGGCTTTGGGAAGCCCAATACGAGAACAAGGCATGGGCCAGTCCACAAATACTCAACTCACCACTGCAAACTACGCTCGCACTTACAACTTTGGCCAATCACGTGAACATCAACACCAACTAAACGATAGAACTACATGTTGTGGGGGAGAAGATCATATACTTGGCAAAGTACATGACAGTAATGTGGGCGAACATGTCAGGATACTACAACTTGATTCGCTGAACTAAGTTTTAAAAAAAAACACATCAGCGCCATAAGCCAATCGAGACAACTCCTCATTTCGCATAGCAAGAAAACAACAAAAGTCGAAATTTCGATATGCAAAAAATAATAATAAGTAGTTGTGTGTCCACGGTTTGAGATAAATATAGCAGCAGTATCACCCACTTTCTTCTTTTCCTCTGGAGCAAAAAAAAAGAGAGTTAAGTAACGACCAAGAGAACGAACACTCAACTCAACTCTCGGCACAAAAAAAAGATCAACAAAAGCCTCACTTACTACACATACTCTATCCCAACACGATAACCTTTTCTTCCCACAAGGATCTCCCCTCTTCCCTCTCCACACTCACGTTCCCCCCCATGTCACGCCCAGCCACCCCCCACCCCCCGCACCGCACCGCATACCGAGAAACCTCGCGCGGCCAAAGCGGACGAACACGCACATGCACATAAACTCAAAACAAGGCTGGCCGTCCCAACCGATCGGGAAACCAACATGTTGAACTTGTACGGATACCTACAAAGCGGCGAGCAAGTTTCCACCCCTCGTGACCCCAGTTGTATGTGAGTGTGATGTCCAAAAGCGGTAAGCCGTTGGGGCGGGGAGGGGGAGGATGGGCGCCCCCATTACTCAGTGGGGCATACCGTCCGTTTGTACAACATGACGGGTTGCGGGCAAGGAATGAGAGAAGAAAGCGCGACTCGCTTCCCGCCCTTCGGCCCTGGCAATTCCGCACGCGGGTGCAAAAGCAGAAAAAATGCATGAGGCTGCACGCCGCATGCACACATAGGACGCAGCAGTGTACACCTACTGCGTAAGTGTATACACCTAGTAAGGAGGAGGAGGGAGTTGTTATGTCATGTCATGCCATGCCCCCCAACGCCATGCGCCGCCATGGCCCGTGGCATTCCAATAAGGGAGGAAGGAGGAAAGAAAGAGCCAACCACACCACACCGTCGACGAGACGTGAAATTTCTGATGTCTTGGAGCGTAATGCGGAGAAAAGACATGTTGCATGCATCTAGGGTTTGTCTTGGTGCGGTGCCGATGCTGATACGCCGAGCATGCCCGGCCCGTACCTGTGGTGGCCATTTTTGGGCCGTTTTGTGGCAAGCAACAAAGGCCAGATTATGTAGGATAGCGGAGAAAGGCATATTTCGCTTCCTTCTTGAGCTCTCGCTTCTTCTTTCTGTATCTTTTTTTTACGAGATTCATACACTAAGACGAGGTACATGGCATCTAGTCGAGGGCGTTTATGTGCATCAGGCCTTCTAGCATGTATGGAGAGTATTCCTTACTCTGCATCCTTGCGGGAGTGTTAGCGGGTACGATCATTTCTTGTTGAGGGCGTCTTAGTTCACAAAACCCCAGTTACCCATCGGCTTCTGAACACGAATGTCCCTGGTAAGATGTAAAAAAGTAGTCGGGACGGGCTTTGCTATCAGGACACAAGGGCATAAAAGGGAATAGCGCCGAGTCCGAGTTTTTTTTTCTTCCCTCCCATCCTTGTGCCGACGACTGGGTCTTGTTACCCCACGCACGTGTGGGACTAAGGCAGTGGAGAAAGAAGGGCCGAAGGCTGCTTGAGCTGGAAAAGACGTAATGCCCAGTCGATTAACCCCGAAGGGCGATGATGCAACGATTCGGTGAGCGAAAGAGCGGGCGCGGCGGACAGCATCATCAATTACGTCGTTTGTTGTCACTTGTTGCTGTTCAGTTTTTTACCGCCTCGAAAAACAACCGAATACGCAAACGAGTGGTGACGGGCTGGGCAGAGAGCAATCGCGGTGAGAGAGAGAGAGGGCATAACGCAATGCGACGCGTGTGTGGCATGGGGGTACAAAGCGCGTGTTTGACGGTCATTGGGGGTGATGGTGCGTGCAGGCAGTGTAAAAGACGGGTGGCCAATCAACGAATGCGAGTGAGGCTCGGTGCCCGCACCCGTACCAACGCCCGTGGGTAATAGCTCCCGAGACCCCAAGGTCCCTAATCGCACGCCTCCTGCCGCTGCTGCAAAACAAATTTAACTTTCGGAACAAAAACAACACGGGGCGATCATTAGACGTGCCATTAATAACCCTTGATATGTAGATGTAGTTTTGATCATACTCGACTATTGCGTATGCATGCGCCTGTAGTTCAAAAGTGCATTTTTGGGGGCGGCCAATTACCACACAAACAAAAAAAACCATACCATCTCATGACGATGAGGAAAAGCAATGTCGGACGTTCCGTCGACATGACGAAATGCCGATATCATTGTCAATGGATTCTATAGGACAAGTCCCACCCAATGCATGTAGTAGACCAAAAGAAATAATGCCAAATCCCGGCACCAAGACATGGAACCAGTCCGGGGGTTCTTACATGGAAATAACGCCAGGGAAATGCAATGATAAGAATAGTTCAGACGCATCAAATATTGACAGTAAAGAAGAGGTAAAAGGTGGATGCGGATGCGGATGCGGGTATTAATCGGGCCTGGCGAGAATGGCAGCCACAGCGTCACAAGGGGCGCAGGGCTGGATTTTGCGTTTCGGCTCCTCAGGAGCAGGAGCAGGAGCAGGAGGCGGGCATACGCACTCGTCCTCGTCGGAGCTGGAGGCTGAGGCCCGGCGGGCTTGGGAGAGGCCCGAGGCGTCTTTTGGCACAAAGTAGGACCCGCTACGTTCGTATTGTGGCGTACTCGATCCTTCGTTGGAGAGGAATACTGAGGCACGTCTCGAAAAGTGGCCGCTCGATAGCTCGTCGTCGCACGAAGGGTACGCGGTGCCCCAAAAAGGCAGCTTTGGCGGAGTTCCTTGGCCGTTGTATGGCACGTAGATGGATCCACCACGCGGTCTCAGGAATGGGCTCGGGTCGTCAAAGTCTTCGAATGGACTCTCTCCTGCACTCTTGTCTGATTCTTCCTTGGTGGCCTCGAGGTGCGATCTCTGTAGCGCCATTTCGAGCTCTTCGGCCGAAAATGGCTGTGAAGTTTGACGGGTGCGATCTGATCCAGTAGCAGGTCTCGATGATTGGCGGCCGTCGCTAGTTCGAATAGCGCCTTGTGACTGCTTGCGATGGGCATCGCGAGGATCCTCGGTGGGATTGCGAGAGAGGCCGACTGGACAGGTTAGTATGCCATCTACCATGGCCACGAGGCGTTGCACATACCATTCAGAACGTCACCTTCGTCGTCGGATGCCTCCTTGATATTGGCGGGCCTGTCGTCGCCAGCAATGCTGGCACCAATGCCGCTGTCTACCCACTCAGACTCAGGGTCGTAGTCTGAGGCACAGCTGCCCCTTCTGCTGCGGTGCATGCTGCGGCTGCGGCTGCGTCGCCTAAAGCTGCTCCGACGGCTGGGAAGCCTGCTTCCCATGGGTGAGTACAGCGAGGCGTTGCTGTGTCGGCGCCATGCAGTGGAAAAGTTAAAGGCCTCGAGTTTCTTCTTGTGCTCTGGGTCGACGGCACGGCGGTACTTGAGCGGAGGCATCTTCTCTCCAGGCTTGTAAAAGTCGGACTCTGGCTCTTCTGGCTTTGCGCTCCTGTGGGAGCCAGCCGTGAGGACACGCTTTAATCTTGTGCGTAGGTGGCCGGGCATTGTGGGTGGGTGGAATGATTAGATTAGTGTGTGGTAGTGGTGGTGGTGGTGGTGTCTGTGGTGTGTGGGAGGGGATGTGCGCAGAAGAAGAAGGCAGTCGGAAGGGCGAAGCGATATGATGTCGAGCGCAGTGAGGCTGATTCGGTGTGGGGGCGTGACACAGACGCTGAGGGAGCCCTAAGCCTGATTGGAGGGCGGAGCACAGATGGAGAGAGGGAAACTGGGCTGAGACTGGGACTGGGACGAGTGCCTCGTCAGGCGGTTGCAGTGTGCAGACTGGGGAAGCGGAGGGGGTTATAGCAGAGCAGATGGCACCCAAGCCCGTGTATGACGGGCAGCGGGTGGGCGGCAGGGCGAAGCTAGAAGAAAACGCGGAGGGGCGCCGCGCTTGGCCGGCTGCACTCTAACGTATGGATGGATGCAGAGTAGGTGGTGTATGGATGGGTTACTGACGCGACGGTGCTAGGGGGGGGTTAGTGACCAGGGCCGACAGCACCTCTGGGCCAGCCAGGGAGAAGCGAAGGGGAAGGGGGGGTTTGCGTGGGAGGGCGGTCCAGGGTGATGGTGCAAGCGAGGGGCTGGCGGTAGAAGTTTTCTAGAAAGGCAGGCAGGCGCGAAAAGCGCAGGCTGTCGGAAGCCGTCGGCCGACAGCAATTCCACTGTTCCCATCGTTCGACTGTGGGCCAGACTGGCTGAAGCGTGAGCGCTAGGCCGCTGGGGGGGTGAACTGCCGTTGCAAATGCAGCCATGCTTTGCCACTGTTGCCCGTAATTCGCGCATTGCTTTTGCTTTCGTCCTCTCCAAACCTACCACCCTCCGAGCCGCGCCTCGTGTCGAGTCGATGCTCCGTCCTGTCTGTGTCTGCTGCTGCTGTCCTCGACTCCACCTGCAGCCGCTGTCAAGATCGACTTTGCGCGCGCACGTTGCCTGAAGATCATGGATGGGCCTGCTGGATATACGGTACGGTACGGTATGGCCATAAATATCCAGAGTACCTACTCTATCTACAAAATATAACATAGTACGGCTGAGAGTGCATGTACACCTACGCCCCTTTGTGGTGGCAGTAACAGCCAAATGTAACCTCTACGAGACATCAGTGCCACCCTGACACGCCTACGCCATATGTTCCCACGGTTGCTCGTCCACGTCGCGCCGGACGAGCCCGTGCTGGGATGGGCACTCGACTGAGCTGGACCGTCCTCGAACTGCACCGGACGGATGGCTCACTAACATGACGCCGCCCCGCATCCCTCAAATCCCATGGTCTCCTTTTCTTTACCCCATGTGTGGTAACACACGCACGCCCATACCCAGTAATAGGGTGCGGCCCAGCGCTGGACAGTCAGTAGTCACCCTTTGGGCGCAGCATCGCCCAACCGGCGCAACAATCACTGCAAATGCCAAGTCAGTACAGTAGGCGCCCCGGCCTTCCCATCGCTGCATCACCACAGCCGTCGGAGCGGCCGTCGTGATTGGCAGGCGCGCCTCTAGCCGCTGCACCTACCCACCTACCCCAACAATGACCTCATAGGCGTCGGCTTGCTCGACACCAAACACCAAACATCGTCATGACTTGACCTCACCAGCTGTGCCCTGTTTCTCCCAACTTCTACTCATAACAATTAATACCACTATTCCGGTAATTTGCTTTCCTCGCTTGTGCTGACCCTTGAATCCCTCCGAGCATTCAAGCCCACCATCCTTCAGACCCTGGCCCAACACACGGCCCACAGCTGTCGATATGGACAAGATCAAGAGCGTCCTGTGCGTATCATAGACAAAGCAGCCATCATCTCCTATAGCTAACCCGTCGTCAGTCACGGACACAAAAAGGACCAGGGTCAGGACGTCACTCATGACCCTCACCAGCCTGCATCCACCAACGAGGCGTCTGTATTCCCATCACTCCACCGGCACACTGTCGCTAATACACAACACAGTCAGCAATACCACACCCACAATGAAACCTCCAGCAGCCGTCAAGGCAAACATGCTCCTCCTGGTCAGCCGCTCTACGATATCAAAACTACCTCTGGTGCTCCCTATACCGAGTTAGCCAAGCCAGGTACTTTGGAACGGCTTCAAGCTCACAAACCTCATGGAAAACCAGAGCAAATCGACACAGATGAACCACTCAACGCTGATAAGACACAATCTCCAGCCAACAATGGCGCATCTCCTGCGGGAGCTCTTCGTCCCAATCCTCACCCACAGGGCCACACTCAAGAGGCTAGTATCGCCAGCATCAAGAGCGGAGTCATTGGTTTTGGTCCGACAGAATCCCAGGGACATGCCGCCATGTCAATGCACAATCCCACTAAAAGTAATATGGCCGGGGACCAAGTAGTCGGAGGTGGAAGTCCTGGCACTGCCGGAATGACTCAAGGCAAAAGTGTACAGCCAAGTGCAGGTGCTGAAACACATCCTCGTACGTAGATGCTTCTTTGACTTCAATATACCAATTCCAACCACGAGTTCTGACAAAAGGTTTTAGAGACGAGTGTAGTTAATAATCCGCCAACTGGTACTGCTGTTTCCAGCTATACGAGCGAACAGCAACCCTTCGAGAAGACTCTGCGTCAGGAGAGCTACATTACTGATACTGATCGATCATTTCCGCTTGCTGGCGGTGTGACATCTAACCCACAGGAAAGCCCAAGCCATGGAAGCCATGGACGCGAGGGACTTACTGGAGCGGCGGCTGCCGCAACTGTTCTCGGAGCCTCCCACGCCAGCTCCAAGTCCGAAGAAGAAGATGTCAAAAATCAAGGCGCTGAAACTCGTCAAGCTACATACGGAGACGCCCCGTCGACTACTGTTCCGCCAACCACTGTACGTACACTACCAATGTATTCGTTCAATCTGGCTAGGCAAAAATCTAACAATCAAGTAGACTCACACGGCCTCGAATGTTTCGAGCCAGCCAGAATCTAGCCATCATCCTACGGGAATTTCCGCGGCTACTGCGGTCGCCTCTGGTTCTTCCATGCTTCCATCATCCACTCAAGAGAAGAGACTTGAGACTGACAACAATGGAACTATTCTTCCTACGACTGAACCAATTGGCGACTGTGAACGTCCAATCATCCCACGGCTTGAGTCGCGACACAGGCATATTCCTGGCGAATACATTGCTACGCCAAGCGATGAGTCTAACCTGTTTCTGAACTATGATCCTGTAATCGAATCAACATCCAACCACGCGGATGTGAATGAACCCGTTCAAGCTCCCTCTGTGGCTGCAGTCTCAAATTCGCATGAGCCCCCTGTGGATCCTGTTTCTACCACTGGAACCCACGAGCTGAGGCACACCGGAACACTTGAAGAGCCAAGACCAAAGTCTGCTGGTGACAATCACCACGCCCGTGATGCTGCAATCGCCGGTACTCTTCTTGCTGGAACCGCAGGCTTGGGAGCTCATGCAGCATCTAAAGATCACGAAGCTCGGGGCACCGAAAGCAGCTCACTACTATATGAAGACTCTCAACCGTACAGTGGCAAGGGACTCGACCCACGTGTTTTGGGAGACAAACTCAAGATGGAGGAGCAACGTTTCAACCCCCAAGCCAAGACCCACCATGGCAGTGATCCAACCATATCTGGCCCTCCAGTATCACATGACCTTTCTCACGACTCTACTCCAGCTGCTGTTGGTGCTACTCCTTATGGGGCTCAGGATGCTGTGGATGCCTATAGTAGCCATAAGATGACGCAGCTTGGTGCGTCCATGCCTGAGCAGCGTTACGACCCTACTGCTTCCAGTGCTCGGGCCTCCAACCCTATTGCGTCTCGGAGTCAATATGACTACAACAACCCTACTGTCCTGGGCAACGTCAACCGAACAGACCCAAATGACCATGTCAACAGGAATGCCGCCTTCACTGGTGCTGGCTTGGCTGGTGTCGCCTTGGGTGCTGGAGCTTACACTCGTGAGCCGCATGCTCATGACACTCAAGACTTGCCACTCCACCAAAAGGAAGATTATGTTTCACACACACAGGGCGGACCAGTTTCGCAGCCTAACTATCCCACCCAAGATACTTTACAGACTTCCTGGCCGCTACGTGACGACAGCCCTACTCATGTATCGGATCCCACTCAAGGCACCATTGCGCCGCATAACACACACGTTCAAGATCCTAATGTTCAATCATATGGTGCTGTTCAAGACCCGGCACACGAAGGACACAAAACTCGGAATGCCGCCCTTCTGGGTGGTGCTGTGGGTGCAGCAGGACTTGGCAGTGCAGCGTACGCCAATGATCGTCATCAAGATCAAGACCGTCGCGAATCCAATGATTATCTCAAGAAGACATCTCTTGACCACGAGAAGGGACAACACCATCGTGAAAGGGACTTTGATAAGGAAAACGAGACGGAAGAAAAGAAAAAGCACAGACTGTTGGGCTTCTTGCACCGTGATAAGTCCAGGAAGGAGAAATCGTCGGCAAGCCCAGAGTCTTCGCCTCGCCAATCAAAGGACTACAGTCCGAGACATTCCAAGGAGGAGAGCGAGGACCCAGACTCACCCCGCTGGAAAGGCAAACACCTTCTGCACAAGGACCCACCAAAAGGTCATCCTGCACGTGAGGTTCTCGAACAATCCCATCATAGCGACCCGTATGCTGTAGGAAAGAGACAGCACGTAGGTACTGACGGACCGATTGGTGATCCCTACTCGATAAGCGGCGACCGGTAAGTTTATGTTTCATCCCAAGGCGTGTTTCCGAGTCAAACCTAACTACAGCCACAGTGAAACGCGTCACGGTGTATATGGCGCCCACCCCACCAGTGATTTTACTCACAACTCTACTGTACTTGAACCGCACACCGGCTTACCCATGAACACTCAACAGTATGGCACTGGAGCTGGAGGCACTGACGGTAATCGTACCATTCATGGTCAGCATGAACATTCGGGCGCTATGCCAGGCCAGAGTGTCACCAACTGGGAGGCTGTCCGAAAGGCCAATACGCCTTATTAGGTATCAGTAAGACGAGAATGCGACCATGCAGTGCATGAGAGAGGTAATGTGTATTTGAGGCAGCACGGGATTGGAGAGTCATGTAGTTACTTGAGACGATTATTACGACTAGCGAATATTTTTAATCTCACACATTCAAATTTCCAGCAATCATGCTCCAGCAACCTCCCGTGTCTCATTAGCTAGACAACAGCTGAGGTGCAGCATTTCACCTATATTGGATTTTACATTTACCAGAGTTTATTATGGATGAATATGAGTCGCTGAAATGAGCTCGATTGCAGAACCGTGCTATAGAAGCTGACCGGGTTAGTTTCACCCGAGGCTAATCTATGAAAAGGCTTAAACCTGCGGATCAACGCTTGGAAGTGCTTCGCGAGTGGTTAAGCTTCTTAGTACGAATTGCGCAAATGCGTGCATATCGTTGAGAGGAACATGAAGAGTAAGTACTATGGAATAAATGACCTTTTGGCAACGAAGGTACTCAAAATGTTGAGATGCAGTCATTTGCAGCCACGATCTTCCCAGCAGACATGCTCAGATTGCACCCTAATAAATGCCGCGGCAGACGTCTGAACCCCGATCGTGATGTTTATGGACCTATTGATGATTTCACGGAGGAATTGCTCCCATGCAGATCATCCAATCTGCGGAGAAGAAGTGGGGCGACTCGTGATGGTTGCGCACCAACTGCATCTACGAAAGCGAATACGATGCAAGTCTACTTTTCGAGAAACAATATACACTGACGGTGAATTACTTGCAGCGATACCGATGCAAACAAGATTAGCTTCGGGTAAAGTACCACCCGGGCAGTGTAAAAAGATATAGTCATCCTGCTGGACAATGTCGACATCTTCCTGCCGCAATTCCATCTTCACTGTCCATCATGAAGCCTGCTACCTCTTTGGTGCTAAGCTCATTTGTCCATCAAGGGCTTGCGGCTCTTGATTCAAAGGCGATACTGTCCAAATATTTCGGCAATGATGCACCGTGGTATCAGGACCGCATTCCTCTCTTTGAATCCAGCGACGCCGACCTCACCGATACATACTACTACCGCTGGTCCATCTTCCGCGCCCACCAACGTGATCTAGGCGCCTGTAAATTCATCTCAACCAAGTTTCTCAACAATGTCTCCTAGCAAACCAAGCCATAGGCTTCGCTAAACAATGCAACAAGCTTCCATCTCCTAAAAGCTAAATAGTGCCATAACCAAAAATTCAAGAAAAATTACACAACCTTCATATACAGCAAAGACAGCAGCAGGCGCCAATTCTCAGAGAGTATAGCGTCAGCTGTTTAAGATAGATATCTAGTCAACAGGTCGGTGCCTAATGTCATCAAACAACTAGATACTATACAAGTCGTCTATAAGACGTAGAAGGACTCGTACAACACTTCAAAGGGTCTGTACTGGGTTGAGCCACTTCGTGATGCTACAGAGTATACCATCTCTAGTATTGACGCATCTGGTGGCCTCGGTGGTTTCACTGGAGGAGAATCACTCCGACCAACAATCAACAGCTACTAATACGCCAACGCCCGGGCAATCGCCAACATTGCAGCGCTCAAAGGCGGTTTGGCCAGTACAGTTTCGACGTACAATGGACGAGCGGACGCGCTCAAGCAGCGCGTACAAGACGCACTCTGGAACTCTACATTCGAGCACTTCATCGACCGCTTCAAAGTCAACAACCAGCACGTTACCTACTGGAACTCCATCCGCGGACGCGAACTCGCCGGCATGGTCCCCTGGACGCACGACCTCCCCGACGACAAAGTCGAGTACGCCCAAGCCTGGAGCCACGTGCTCAACAGCAGCCAGCTGTCCGGCCCCGCCGGGCTCCGTACAGGAGAGCCCAGTTACCAATACTACATGCGACAATACCGGTACGAAGGCAAAAACCCAGAGTGCCAATGGAACGGCCCCGTCTGGCCCTTCCAATACACCCAAGTGCTCTCCGGCCTCGCAAACTTCCTCGACCACTATTCCACGGGTGCTCAAACCGGCGTCATCACACCAAAAGACTACACGGCCATGCTCCGCAAATACGCAAAACTCCATCGAAACCCTTCAACGGGAATCTTGGATTTGGAAGAAAATTACCACCCGGACACCGGTCTCCCCATTGTCGGCCTCAAGCGCTCCCACCACTACTTCCACTCGGGCTTCAACGACCTCGTGCTAAGCGGTCTAGTCGGTCTCCGTCCTTCTGCTTCAGACGTCCTCGTCGTAAACCCGCTCTTCGATTCTTCATCCATTGCCTACTTCCGTGCAGAACGCATCACGTACCACGGCCACGACATCGCCGTGCAATGGGACAGCGACGGTTCGCGCTACGGCACTCGCGGGCTTGTGATTGAAATCGACGGCAAAGTCGCAGCCCAGCAACTTGACGTCTCCAAAATTAGTATTCCGCTGCAGCCCGCACCCGCGCCCGCACCGTTTACAAGTCGCATTGCGAAATCTATCCAGCTTAATGCGTCGACTCCTTATCCCCGCGGCACCGCGTCCGTGGCGAATTCAAATACCTACGCTGCGATTGATGGACGTGTGTGGTTCTTTGATACAGAGGATGCGGCGAATGGATGGGAGTCTCCTGTCGCTACTACCTCCTCCACTGGTGGTGACATGTGGTTCGAAATCGACTTCGGTAAACAGGTTAGTACGAGTAGTGCTGAAATCGCGTTTTTCGCAAGTAAAAATCAGGGCTTTGCGGCGCCGAGTAAATATAAGGTTCAGGTCCAAGGACAAGGAGGTAGTTGGGGGGGATGTGCAGGGGGCGATGTATGGAGGTGTGGTGGCGAATGGGGTTACGCAGGTTGCATGGACGGGTGTGCAGAGTCAGAAGGTTAGGCTGGTTTTTACGCCTACGGTTGGGGAGAGGGTTAGGTTGGTTGAGTTTAAGGTCTTCTAGTGAGGTTTTTCTTGTGTATGAAGGGGGGAGGGTTGCGTTGAAGGGGAGGTTGAGGGATGGGTTTTTACTATTCTTGAGTAATTCGCTTGTTTCTAGATATATATATGTCTGAACAAATTGTGTATATAAAGATTTATTGAGGAGGGTTATCATCCTAACTTTTCAAGTTTTTTGTTCGTTTTGATTTACCACAGCCATTATTTTTGTGATTTAATTTAGTGAGTTGTCGAATGCAAAACTCACGATGAATAGTTGCAGGTGCTAATACTGGTTAACGAATACGAGCAGATTATACATGCCCATGTCGCCTAGAATATTGAGTACTTTGAGCAGCATGTGTTGTATCTTTATATAAGGGCGGATGTAGATTTTACTAAACTAAAAAACTGGGCTACTACGTTTATAAGAGACTGATCTTTAAATGCAAATACTCTTGTCACATATTTACAATTCCCTGTTATTCGAGTATCAATTCAAGCTTACGGTTGTAAACGTATATATTCAACTATATTGGGTATGTAATGCAAGCAGCAGTTTCAAAACCAAACGTCTAAAACTCAATGCCGTCCAGGCCCTAGCCCACCAGCCCACCATCCAGAATCAACCCAAGACCTATTCTCCGCATGCGCCGTCTCTACAGCACGGAAAAGTTTCCGTCGGTCAAGATGCAAGTCTTCATGGCCATTTGTCAGCTCAGAAGGTGTTCGTTGCCCAGTCCGTGGTCTTGGTGGACTAGGACTAATTTCCGACGCGGCAGCTTCGGCGTCAGAGTTGGAGACTGGTGATGCAGACCGGGGTGTTGATAAAGCTGGTGAGAGGGTATTGTCAGATGGGTACATGCTTGGTATAGCCCCAAGGATGCGGCCAGCTGCGAAAACACAACCACCGACTGCGTGTCTAATCAGAGAGTCGCCTGTGAGGCTTCCGGTGATAAAAACGTCCCTAGCGACTTCGAGCGAGGTTGCTTCAGCTTTTGCGCGAAGTGTGCGCCCCGAGATTAGGTTGTCTGACAATGATTCGACCGGTACATTGTCAGGTGCACTCAGCACCTCAGATTGTAACTCTGGAGACAGAAAGTCGAGTGTGCCGCGCCTTCCCACGACATAAGCCAAGCCACCTACTTCACGTGTAACAATGTCACCCGAAGATAACCGCAGTTCTACTTTGGCCACATCCCCAGACCTGTATGCACCAACAACTTCTGCGCCAGGTAAGCCTTCGTAAAGCGTCCAGTCTCGCTGCTGGAAGGCGCTCGATCTTCTCCTTGCATAGGCGGGTCGTCCAGATTTGGTCTTTTTCGAAGATGCGATTGCCGCAAGCTTCATCTGGCGATACACAGTGGCATACTCGGGATAAGCAGTATGATGACACCCTCGGAGTGGAGACGGGCGCTTTTCAGGATTCCACTGGTAGACGTGTATGATCCTACGTCTTGGCGGCGCCGAAATGATGACGTCTGCAGCGGAAAATCCTGATCCAATAACGAGTAATGGCGCTTCGGGCAAATTTAGTTGTGAGATGGGTGCGAGCAGTGGAGGAGGTGGAATGTTGACCGTAAAGATGCCAGATGCTAATACAAGGTGCCTGCATCGGATTCCGAGACTGCCGATTGAGAAGCCCTTGACGGTGCGGTAAACATTGTCGACCTTGAGCCCCGTAAGCACGCAGTCGGATATACCTACTGCATCTGGATAGACCTTGAGGTAGTCAGCGACTTCAGTCCTCGACGGACGTATAAATTCCGCTTCATCTGCCTTGCCGGTTCTAGCCAGATGGTCTGTATATGAATAACCTGGTAGGCTAAGCTGTTCGGCATAACTTAGCGTGCCTATGTCGGCGCTCGCAGAGGGCGAATCTTCGGCCCATTGTCCCCCTGCATGTACAGTCTCTCCAATGGCAAGATGTGAGATGGCCTTGTCAGGCTCGTATCGCCATTCGATGCATGATTTGGGATTCAACTCAGTGTCGGCATTTGGGCGAATGAGGGTATCGAGAAGCGTATTGACGGGTAGCGCCTGGGTCGAGTAGCGAAGTGAGGAGAGGAAATGCGCGTAGAGATCTGGGGTTAGGTGGAGAAGATTAGGCGCGTTCTGGAGTTTTGCGTCGAGTATGGCGTCATGATGGCCGCCGACGTAGTAGGGAATGTGGCCATGCAGGATGTAGGAGAGGATGAGGGCAGATGGGCCATTGCCTGTATTTGTAATCAGTGTCTGGTCCGCAAATGTAGTCGACTCGGGCGCATACCGATGATCACCGTGTCGACGCATTTTGGGAACGAACGAGCCATGGACTGTTGTAGCAGTATGCCATGAGGAAGAGAGAGAGAAGGAGGAGAGACGGACTGGGTGAGATTCGAGTGAAGGGGACGGCAAGGCAGTTCGGTAGTGTATTATTATCTCTTCAACATGACGGCTGCTCTAAATCTTTTTGCGCTAGGCGCGGTCCTTGTTCCGCCGCAGTGGGGGGTGTGTCGGGTCTTGCCTTCCAGATTGGAGGGGTTGTTTGCGAGGCTCCCCCGGCTCGTCGCCCTGCGCAGGCAGGATTGAGGCAAGTATCGCATCTGAGCTGGTTAGGCGAACTGGGAGCGGCGCGGTGCGCATTGCGTGATTGACGCAGCACAGGAACGCGTGAGGTGCACGAGATGCTTAGGAATCTAGCTACCATGGCGTCTGGCATTAGGTCACCGGCCTGCGCGCCCTATGGGCTTGCAGCATGCAGCATGCGGGGCAGGACAGGGCAAACCAAGTGCACACCTAGGATATATGGATATGTACCGGAACTAGATCAAAAACAAACTATGGTATCTTTCCAAACAACTACGAGGCCGACTATGCGGTTAAATGAAGTTATCAAAACGTGCTCCAAATGGGTAAGAAAAAAATGTACGCGCTGTGATTTCAAAGCGACGGACGTCTCCGGTCAGATGTGTGGGTACTCGGGCGGTACGCTAGTACCCCACATGAGCACGTCCGGACTTTGGCCGCTAACCAATCCATGATCACATCCCTCACGGCACTCTTAGTATCTGTACGTTATTGTGTTACGCTCTGCAATCGGCGACACGTCATGGGCTCGCTGCTGCGGCACGTTGCCCTCGGGGGTTCGTGGGCGGTCGGTCCGTGATCGCGTATGCTCATCCTCTTCAGCGATCGGTGGCTGAGCACCATGCATGGTTAGGTTGTTCGCAGAACTCTCTTGTCGGCCCAGGTAAGATGGAGTCGAGTGGTAGCCAGGATGATACGAGTCGGGCGAGCCACCGTAATCACTTGTTCCTCGTGGGTTTGGGGGTGCCGGTGGAGATGTGTATGGAGATGTGTAGTGATCGGCAAACGGATTCTCCTCTGGCGCGCTCGGCCTTGTTTGTGAAGTCTCTTCGTTTCTGTAACTACCAGAGGGAGAGGTGAGCGGCTGGGTGCTTGTCACGTCTACAGGAGGTAATGTGGGCGCGCTGGTCTGTGGCGGCGTGTATGACTGAGGAGGAGGAGGTACACCAGCTGGGGCATTGCTGTTTGGAGCTGGGGGTGAGGGCGAGGCGCCCATGAAGCGGCGCGCCTGGAGCACTGCGCGCTGGTGCTTGGAGGCAGCGAGAGAGAGTTGTTCGTTTGTTTCAATGAGTGTGAGCATGGTGTCATCGTCGGGCGGCGGATTGTCGCAGGCAATGTAGCCGTGTATGCTCCGTTGAGCGGTGGTGCAGCGTTCGGCAAACTCCTTGACCAGTTCATTGCTTAGCAGCTCGTTGGCGGGGGTCGATTGCACGAATTGCAGGAGAAGCTTCGCTGATGTGCGCGCTTCTTCGATGCGGCCTGCCAGCTCTGTGGGCGGGGGCAAAGTTTTGGGATTGGATCTGCTGCTTCCCGAACTGAAGCCGCCCTGTATGTTCTGCGACCCGGTCCATCCTGGCGCATTGAGCGTTCGGGGACTGAATTGCTTTGCGGCATTGGCCATGAGCCCCTTTTCTTTTTTATACATGGCGAAGAGCGTGCTTAGATTGCTGTCGTAGGACTTCTCCCGCTCCATGGCATCTAGCGTCTCTTTTGTGATTTGCGCAACGCTAGGGTCCTGTCCATGGCGCAAGAGGTGCTTCACCGTGTCGGCAAATGGCTTGTCGAGGTTCTTGGTAAAGGAGGGGCCCGGGTTGTCGGACAGGATGCGGATGAGCATAATAGCATTGTACTGGACATGAGGGCGGGTGAAGTTTTCTTTGGAGAGGAAGGTGCGGATTTGTCTGGCGGCGGCGGACGCAGCAGCTGGGCTTGCGACGGCGGACTCGACAATGGTCGGCAGGTGGAGCACTTCTTCGCCCTATTCGTCGCGGCATGGTCAGTGGAGGAAGGAGACAGCCATTTGCAGACAAGACATACCGAGTTAGCAGCGCCAGACTCGCAGAAAAGTCTCTGGTTGCTGTTAGCTTGGGCGGACAAGCGTTGGCGAGTCGAGGTGGCTTACCACGCCCCTGGCAGCATTTGCTTCTGGCGTATCGGCGTTAGGGTCTATAGGGACGGTGTCCTGGGGTGCCGCTGTCTGTGTTAACGCAGTACTCAGAGTGTCGTCGCGCGACTAACATGGGCGTTTGCGCATCAAGCTGCCCAAGTTGAGGCGCTTCTTGAGCTCCATGGCGGCGGTCTCCAGCAAGGGTCGATGTGGGGGGGGGTAAAGGCGATAGGTGAAATGATGTCAAGGCAAGGCGCAAACTAGCAGCGCAGAGTGGCTGAGAAGCTGGAGGGCTGAGGGCCTAGGCAATATGTATGGATGCAAGGAATACAGGATCTATGGTGGTTCTGTGGGCAGTAAGAAAGAGATGATGAGGCCTCCAGGACACGCGCGCTTTGCTCCGCGCGGGCGCATGTCCCTAGGTAAGATATGACTTGGCCCCGAGCCATGGCAGCGGCGCAGACGGGTGAGGGTGGGCGACGTAAACGGCCGCGTATAACGTGTGGCAATGAGCCGTTGATGGCTGTGCAGCGTCCTTATCCACGTCTGACAGCCACCATCACCGCCTTACACGGTGGTAGTACGCGTCCCAGAAGGCGGAGGGTGTTGCCAAGCAATACCGCTCTTCGTGGACATGCACGCCCACGGTCCGATTGTCGGCTTCATTGGACCCTGCGAGTAGAGTAGCTGGTAGTTAGTGTAGAGCAGTACAGTAAGCGCTTCGACTCGACACTCTTGACGTGGGTCACGATACATATTCCATACTCTGCCCAGCTTTGTTCCTTTACACGGGTGCGCGCATGCTCCCTCTCCCACACACAAACCACACAAACAGCGGCAACGATGGCTGCAAGAAGAGTGGACCCTCGGGCACTACTCGAGACGACATCATGGCGGGCATACTGACAAGCAGCGCTAGACGGACGTGTACACGTGTACTGCCAACTTGACCGAGTCCTCTCTTCTGCCCAGCATTTGGAGTGGCAGCCGGAGTCTGCTGTAGCCACCACTTTGGCCACGCATGAGTCAGCCAAGATGCAGTCCCGTGTGTCTACATAGTCTTGTATGATGTTTGTACTACACCTACTTACACACACCATCAGGCACACGACTGAGTACCAAGTATGTAATATGCTGCCTGCCTGCCGATCGACCCCTCCACCATCTGTAGCCTAACTGTGACTGCACCTGCATCACTGTCTGCTCCATGACACACAGCCAGGCACCCAACCCTGCCAAAGGTACCCACTATCGATAGACAACCATTGCCTCATCCACGTTTGCAGCTCCCTCGACTCCCCGTATTCTGCAAATTTATCTTGGAAGACTCTGGTGCCTGGATACAGTACAAAGGTGCACGCTACTCTCTATATATGCAGTACTACTCTACAGAGGGCATCGCCGCACAAAGCAGGCACAGGCATCTGAGACCCGCTTCCTCGGCAGGCGATCATGCCCCAGCCTATGCGGCGGCCATGGCTTGGCTAGACGTCATTCCTCATGCGCATTCGCTCCAGCTGCGAGACACCTGTTGACAGCCACTCACAACCCTCTGGTCAAGTGCTAGCCCAAAGTATATGACCGCTACCATGGCCATTGCACCCCTTTGTCCCGTGCAACACCCTCTCCTCCTGACCTTTGAACCACCATAGCGATCCGCCGCCCCTCGTACAACCCCACCACCCTACAAAATGGCGCCTGAATCCGCTGCTGCAGTGGCCGGCCGTGCCCGCATGCGCGCTGAAGAAACCGAACAAGAGCGAATCACCAGAGAAAAATCAAACTTCGCCGCCTTTGAAGCAGACATGCCTAAGCTCGCCAACCGTTTCAGCTTCTCCCTCAAGGACAACCTCTCCTCCTACCTTGGCCGCAAGAACCCCTTCTACTCCCCAGTCAATTCAAAAACCGACTATGTCTGGATCCTCGACAACACCGCCTACCAGAATCGCCTCGGAAGGTGGAAGGCCGAGTTTGTCGCCTGCTACTTCGTCAAGGACAGCGGCAAGGACCTCTCCCAGATAGTCGCTTGGGTCAGCGAGAAGATTGGCCTTGCAGACGATGAGCAAGCCAGACGGACTGTCGCCACCAGGCTCCAGCCCTTTGCCGACCAGATCCTTCCCGCCCACTCGGTCGAGATTGATCTCTTGGGTTTGAACGCCAGACTGGGTCCTAGTGGTCGTGATGGCATCAGTGTCGACGAGCTGGCCATTCCCGGTAATGACTACAAAGACGGCCAAGTCACCAGCTTCAAGGCCGTCGACGCAACTGCAACTCCATTCAACATTACCTTTGCCAAGTCCAAGGGCTGGGCAGTCCTCTCTGACATCGACGACACCATCAAGAAGACGCTCACACCCTCGCCCACTGGTATCCTGACTACCACCTTCGCAGAGGAGCCAGAGCCCATCAAGGGAATGCCCGAGCTATACAAGCACATTGTACAAAAGCTCGACAACCCGCCCTTCTGGTATCTCTCCGCCTCACCCTACAACCTCTACCCCTTCCTCCGCAAATTTCGCGACCAGTACTACCCCAACGGCACCATGATCCTGCGCGACGCCAGCTGGATGAACCTCGCGGGCTTCCTCGCAAACCTGACCCAAGGTACCGAAGCCTACAAAGTCGATCGCATCGAGAAAGTCTACGGATGGTTCCCTAAGCGCAGATTCATCCTCATTGGCGATTCGACACAAACTGACCCGGAGTCGTACGGCGAGGCCTACCGCAAGTTTGGCAGCAAGTGGATTGGCGCTATCTACATTCGCAAGGTGACTGGTGTTGCGGAGATGGATGAGGGCTCTAAGAATAGCCCCGAGCGGTTCGAGAAGGCGTTCAAGGGAGTGCCCAAGGATCTTTGGTATGTTTTTGAGAATCCGCAGGAGTTGTATGCCAAGATTGATGCCCTGCCTGCTATTAAGTAGGCGGTGTGTGGATCTGAATTGCATTGTCTCGAGTCTTTTACAATTCAAGAAAGACGAGGGTGGAGGAGGAAGTCATGTTCGTTCCAGTCTTCATTTCATATGATACCACTTTTGGAGTTGGGAGGTTTAATGTGTTGCTTTGGGGTAAAGAATGGCGTTGCGGTATTAAATGCTTCTTCTCTTTTTATTTCCTTCTGTGATAATACAGCTGGTTACTACGATACTTCACTTCGCATGTATTCTTTCAACATTCACATCATTCACACACACACATCTGAAAAGGGGTTTTTTTCTTCACACGTTTGGCGTCTACGTCTCTTCAATATTATATATCTAGCTATGTAACGTGTGTAGTGCATTGAATCAACATACATCTGTGCCGCATCCACCAGCACTACCACCACTTTCTTCTTCCTTTCTTTGTCTCGTACCCACACGATATGAACCTTCATCTTTTCCACACTTTGGCATTGTCTAGATACTACTACGCGTAAACTATGACAAACAACCATGACTACAACCACGACTACAACCACGACTACAACCACGGCCCCGATTTACTAGCCATGTACACACTACTACTGCTCAGCATGGGGATATGCGGATATTGTTTCTTCCTAGGCACAGTCACAGTCCGCTTGTGGGTTTACAGGGGGAGTCTCGGACCTACGCCGAGGACGTGTTGAGGGAGTGTTTTAATCAGCAAAGGGGTAGTACACGGATGGGTCGGTGGTGACGCTTTTGGTGCGAGTAAGGAAGAAGAAGCAACCAGTGCTCTGCTACCCATCATCACACAATACACAGCACAAGCAGTAAGAAGTAGAAATGAGGGTTAAAGATTTATTTAAAGCTAGATGCTATGTATATATGAAAAGAGCGGCCGTTACAATTCATCAATCTACCACATGTTTACCTTTAATCATTACCGTCGAAACCCCCCCCCCTTCCTAGTCATTACGATGTAAGAAAATAAATGCTTAGGTGATTACTAGGAGAGATATAGATTGAGCAAAAAAAAGAGAAGAGCACACAAAACGACAAACCCCCCCATTATCCAGTTTCCCTCATGATTCGTTGACCAGAAATAAACGCATGGCTTCTTTCCCCCCTTTTTTCCTTCCCATGTTTTCCTCCTCCTCCTTCCCCCCTCGAAGCAGCGACGCTCAAACTCTATGCATATGCAACCCGCGAGCTGGTAGACTCGAGCAGGATGTCCAGACACCAGAGCGTGCATCGAGCTGCTTTTCTTCCTTTCCTTCCTTCCCTTCCTTCCATTCAATCCTTCCTTCATGTCCACCGCGCATGCGCAAATAGACGGAGTCCTAGGGCTGAGCAATAGTTGAACCAATCCCGACTTTCCTTGGCACCCGAGAAATCGCACTCCTTGATGAAAAGAGTTTCGAATCCCATTAGTACTCTTGTCTTAGGATCTGCTACGAGTCCGTACCCAGATGGTATCCCACGCCTCCGCCCTGGCTAAAAAAAAGTTCCCGAATCATGGGTGTTGTAATTTCTGATTGGGCAGAAAAAGAAATTAAAGTTTCTGAGTTGTTGAAAACTTGGGATGTCGTTCAAAGTATATGTTGTGTAGTGCTTTGTGCCAAACAGCGAAGCGAATCAGAGAAGAAGAAAAAAAACAAGAGCCGGTCGACTCAGGGGACAAAGAATTCCTTAGCGCTTAGATCCCTAAAGCGGATAGTAAAAAAGCAGTGGAGTCGTTGTTGTCGACGAGGGGGAGTGGATTATTGGGACCACGCATTAAGGGGGATATGCGGGTCGTGCCACGAGGGTCTAGACACATACACAAAAGGGACGACGTGTATGTATGTGTACAGGCGTGGTAACAACGAGGTGGTGCTCTCACCGCCTCTACCACCCCCACCCCCTGCGACCAGCCCATAAAAAAAGTGGGGTCGGGGAAGTGGCCATGGCCATGCGATGCACGAGAGTGGAGCAAAATAGGTCGTGGAATGCAGGTTCATACCTCCCCGGGGGCTTCTATGGTCCTTGTCCTGCTGTTTTTGTTCAAGGGTCCTCGTAGTCGTAGAAGCCGTCGAAGAGATCCGTGACGACCTTGAGCATGGGTTCCATCAGACACCGCTCATCCTCCGGTAAGCCACCAAAGATGCGGAGTCGCTGCGTCTCTAGCTCCAACTCTTGCTCCTGCTCCCGCTGGATTCGCAGGCGCATCTGCCATGCTGTGTAGGTTTGCTGCCAGTGGTTTGCTGGCACGTTGGCAAGCGGGCAGCCAGAGGGCTGGAAGCAAGAGCTTGTTGGCGAGAGAGTTGAAGAGGCGGTGCTGACAGACTCGCTCCGGATGTGGATTGGTGTCGTATTAATGTTCAGGTTGTTGGCATTAGGATTATTGTTGTTATTATTGCGGTTCCTGGGACGGCTTCTGGTTCGCTTTCTGTTGTGGCGTTTGCCCATTTCTTCTCCTTTTTTCGAGTCTTTTGTTGACGGTGGTAGTAGTAGAATATGGTAGGTGTAGTAGATGATGCTGAGATTGTGTAGAGTAGAGTAGTTGTTGTTGTTGTAGTAGTTGTAGTAGCAGTAAGGGGAGAGAGAGGCGGGGCGAAAAGCCGCAAAGGCGGCTAATAATCTCAGTAGAGACCGGCATAGAAGCAGGATGGTGTGCAAGACTTATATACACCGGCCATGATCACCTCATTCATGCAGGTACCCTACCCAGTCAGCCATGGCCGGGAGTAGTAGGCTGCAGGGTGACTCAGAGCCGCGCAGTGGTGTGACGGGGATCAGGAAGATGGTTACCAGCCAGCGAATGGCGGGCCGCTGTCACTGACGGGCCATCGCGTCATTGGTCAGCTGCCGCAGCCGAAGATCGGGCGTTGCAGGAGTCATGCCTGGTCCTGGGCCTGCACAACTCAGCGCTGTAAGGCTCTTCACCTCCTTCTTGCCCAAACAACTCATCACCAATCTCCCCAATTTGGTCTCCGTTTTTGCTTCTTCGCCTCAGGCCGCCGTGGCAGTAAGGCGATACTCTCTGTCTGCCTGCCTTGCGCCTCCGAGACACTGCCCCCCAAAAAAAACCGGTTTCGCTTGCGGCTGCGCAGTCACATAATCCAACGGCGAACTCATGACTGCAACAAAGCACCACATGACAGGAATAGCATCTCTTCAACACCGCCATGTGCCTGGCCAGCCCTGGCCATGACCACCCCCCGGATAGAAGGCGGTAGAAAATCTCAACATCCGCGCTCTGGCCGCCATGAGGTCGACCCCCGACGGGTAGGCGGCCTGCGTGGGCTGCCACATCACGATGTCGACCGCCATGTCACGCTGCCGCCCATGCTAGAACACAGGAACCGTTCCAAGGATCTTGACACCCAGTCTTCAACACAAACGTCCGGGGTGCTCACTTTTGTCCTGAGCCATCACTACGTCATGGATCCATTTTCCAAGTCAGCCAGCCTTGGGCTCCTGACAGAGTGCACCTCATGCGCCAGAAAGAAAAAAAGTTAGTAGGTATCAGGTTGAAGCTACGCTGCCTAGTCGCTGCCCTGTCGCTGCCAGCAGTATCATGCAAAAGGCAGATCATGCTAGCCCTTTTGGTCCAGTCGAGGGCGCGTCGGCCCGCCCAAGGCCATTGTAGACTCAGATGCGCTCACAGTCACGTGCTCGTTGCAAGTATACCCACTAGGACTTGGATTTTTTGTAAAGATGAAATCAGCAATAGTCAACGTCAGGCATATTCCTAGTCTAAGTAGTCGCCCTGTTCATGTAAGTTCATGTCGGAGTTCTCTGCATCTCTTTTTGCCGACATGCCGTCTGACCTACGGCTCTCCATGGACACCCCGATCCCAACACAGCACTAGCTAGACAAATGTCCACCACTCGAAACAATCAAAGGTTCCAGAAACGCGTAATCTTAGTCTTGATTCGCTTCCACTTATGTCACTTTTGTCTTGTTTCGGGTCTGCTGCGACGGTTTGGGCGGACTTGGCCTGCATCGCCGATAGTTGCTGCACCATCAGCTCAGCTGTAAGCGTTGGGGTGGGTGAATATTAAGTAGCCCATGTTTCCTTCTATCAGCCGCGTAAGACTATTTGGTCATATTCATGCTACTCAATTCAACGTGGCGCCTCCCATCATGACTTCCTCAACAAGAACCGTTCTGCTCAGCTTAGGTGTGTGTGTGTGCAATAGGTAGATCGATCTTCAATCCCTGGGCTGATTTTGATACTAGCAATAGCCACCACCATCGTGTCTGCCCAATTCGGACCTGGCCCTGGCGATAGATGGAGCCCTGGATCGAATAATGAATGGAGCTCTGGGTCATATGGAAGCGGGGGTGATGACGCCAACAGCGACTACGCTACTACACAATCTGGCAGTGATGGTGCAAATGGCGGTTTCGCAGACGCAGATTCAGAATCGCGTCGCAAAATCATCGCAGCACACGGTGTCCTCGCCGCCCTGGCCTTTGTCCTCTTCTTCCCCCTAGGCTCGATCATCATCCGCCTAGGCACTTTCCGTGGCCTCTGGATCGTACACGGCCTGTTCCAGCTCTTCGCCTACACCGTCTACCTCGCCGCCTTTGGCATCGGCGTGTGGATGATCAACGACATGCCCGTGAGCCTATTGGACAATTACCACCCCATCATCGGCATCATCGTCTTCGTCATGCTCTTCTTCCAGCCCATCCTCGGCTTCATCCACCACCTCCAGTACAAAAAGTATACTCGACGCACAGTATGGTCGCATTGCCATCTTTGGCTAGGACGCATACTCATCACCCTCGGCATGATCAATGGTGGTCTTGGCCTGTTGCTTGCATCGGGTGCACCTGCCTTCACGGGTATACCTGCTAGCCGTGGCCAGATGATTGCGTATGGCGTTGCTGCGGGCATTATGTGGGTGCTGTGGGTTGTCTCGGCCATCTATGGGGAGAGAAGGAGTGCATTGTCCAGAAAGGCGGCGCTGAATAAACAAGTGGGGATTGGAGAGCAGCCTAGATATGTTCCTCACAAGGGAGCTTATGCCTGAGTTGACTGAACTATACTCAGTCCTACTGTCTTTTCTCTTACTAAAGACGGTAAAAGATATCACGGTAATATCTGGATTTTTTTTTACGATTACGACACCTTACGTATAACTGCCTTGTAGCTTTGCACGCAAATAACGATTTCTTTGGTTGATTTCCTATGAGAATCTTCAACATACGTTGCTAAACACGATGCATTTTCTTTGTCTCTTTCATTTCTCTCTCTCAAAAAAACATGCAATTGTGACCTCTGAAGTGCAATAGCATTGACAAAAGCAATAGAAAAAAATGACATCAACAACATGGCCATTCGTAAACCAACCATGACAGCCAAATTCCTCAGACTGGGAAACCTTTCCCCCCATCCCTCATGACACAAACGTATCTACAGTACAACAACCCACGTGCCAAAACCAATGCGAAACCCCAAGTTCAAGGACAACAAAAAAAAGGAAAAGCCATCAGTCTCGAATGCAAAAAAAAAATTGTCAAAAAACCCCCTCCCACCAACCCATACCATCTATACAACGCCCATTCCAACCATGCTAAACCCCATCTAATCCCCATTTTAACCTCCCCCACCCTTTACCTACCCACCTACCTAAACCAATCCGCCTCAATCCCCTCAAAACCAATAACTCTCCCCGGACCGACTAACTTCAAACAAACACCCCAAGCCCTTGCCCTGTTCCTGCAACGCCACCTCGCCTTGGCGCAACTCACTCAGAATCGTGTCGCCGACGAGCGGCCCATCTGCAAACGTATCTTTGACGTGTATAATGACGACTTTGAGGCCCTTGAGCGGTGAGTCAAAGGCCGCGGAGAGCATGGCGCGGCTGTGTTCTGCTGAGACGCTTGTGAGGTTCATGGCTGCGGGGGCGGAAGGGTGGGAGGAGGCGTGAGGGCCAGTGGCAGCAGCGTTGGGTTCGTTACTACTATTGCCGTTGGGGTCTGGTGCGAATGCTGCGGGGTTCGGAGTGTGCGTTCCCGTGTCGCCTCTTGAGGCGGGGAAGTCTGATAGCGCTTCGTCGTCCGTCTGGGGATTGACTGCTGAGATGGGGGAATCGATACCTTTGCCGACGCCCATGTAGTTGATTCTGGGTTTGCGTGCGTCTGGAGATGCGAGGCTGTCGAGTTGCAACGGACCGCTTGCTCGTTTTCGCTTCTTTTTCATGCGTAGCTCTTCTTTGCCTCGTTCGTGTGCTCTTTTCTTCTCTCGTACCATCTCGGCGAGGACAATGAGCTCTTCTAGCAAGTGGCGAGGCGCCAAATGCCCGAAGAGGACTGCGTCGCCTCGTGCGTTGGTATATGACACTTCGATGAATATTCCCCTCAGGATGCCTGCGGCTATTTTAGGAGCGGCTTCGCTCCATATCTGAGCATTACGTGGGGTGAGAGATAAAGAGTCTGGCTCTACGTCGCCAAAGATGAGAATCTCACGTTTGGGCGTTGTAAGTGTAGATTCTGCACGGATGAAGTAGGCTGTTGAATCAATGACACACTCGTCTCTGATTGACTGTTGTGGTTGCACGACCGTCATGCCACTGGCTCGTCGGCTTAGTTCGGTACCTCCGTTAAGACTTGGTGTGCCTGGAGTACTGTGCATTGCACCAGGTATGCTCATAGAACGGCCGTCATGCCCATCTACTTGTTGAGCACCTGGTGTCTCCAGGAGGTTGATAGTTGAACCGCGATGCACGTGGCCCGCTCCTTGCATGCAGTGTCCATGGCTTACTTTAAACCCTTTGACACCAAGACCATCGCAAACTTCGATATAACCTCTTGAGCTTCCTTCGCCTAGTGCAATATTCCCACCCTCTGCAAGCCTCTGGAAAGTCACAAGGCCAACCCCGCCATCTTCATCTGTGAGATTGGGCCAAATGATGTTGTTGAAGATATGGGTTTTGATAGCGTTGACTGTAAAGGGCAATGCAGCTAAACGCTTTGGTCGCGACGTATTATGGAAAGCTGCTGTGTTTATCACAAAGCCCGAGAGATGGTCTAAATGTGGATGCGTGATGAGGTACGTCGACACATGCTCTCTCATAATGTGCAGCGCATTCGCCCTAGCACTCTGGCAAGGAAACGGTAGTCCAGCAAAAGAACCCTTCTCTAGTGTCGTTATGGTAACCGACATCTCACTCTCCGACATGGGTGTATGGACGTCGGATTCATCATCCGAAGGCGTAACATGCGTCGTGCCCGGGGATGGGGAATCGGTCTGGTCAGCAGTAGCGGCACCATTACTGTTTCGAGGATTTTGTAGAGGCGGGTCTGGGTCAGAGACGAGCGGAAAGTCTTTCGCCAGAATGTTGGTGATGGATGCAAGATGAGATCCTGCGTCTACAGCAATGACCGAGTTTTTCGCCCAATTTGTGGCTGTTGAACGTACAAGAAAACCAGTGACATTGTCTTCGCTTGGTCCACCGCCTGAGCCCTGTTGATGTCAGTCTTGATCTGGACGAAACGCTTCTATCGTGAGTGCCGTCTTTTCGTGAACCCAAATCCCGAACCAGAAGCACGGTGCCGATACACGAGGAACCACGGATGTTTCCTGAACTGACTCACCAAACAGATTACCTGAATCGCAGGTTCATTAGAGTGCCCGGAAGACCTCCGAACCACCCTTCCATCATCTTCTCTCATACCCACAGTGATGACGCGTCTCTCGCAACCTTCTTCCGCTCCCCTTTTCAGTAAAAAAGATTGTGCCGTCTGGATTTCGTAGCTCTTACACGGCTATTAATCCCAAACCTCGGCTTCAAGATGCCCACACGGTCGAACTTCCTCTTAATGCTCTAGCTCCGATAGGTGAACGGTAGCGTTTCAACCAAGAAACAAGATGCCAACCGAAGATTTTGTTGGAGTCGCTTCAGATTCCCGTGACGTGTTATCGATGAGTTTCTGGTGGTTCTGTTGGAGCATGCGGATGCAAATAATTTCGTTTTTTTTCTTTCTTCTCGTTGCGATTGTGGGTGACTTATTGAAGCGCAGCAGCAATCCTTGAAGGCCGGAGTCTGGGTCCTGATCGCGGCGCTTTATCGTGCAATTGTGTGACAATTGTTGCACTGCGTGGTGACCGGCCGCACAAGTCGCTAGTAACTGGTGCCGGGAGGGGAAGTCTGACAACAGCTCTTACACAGCCTATCTTCTCAACAGCCGGATGGTACCTTTAACCCTTGTCCCTGTAGTTTTAGTAGCTACTGTCAAACACGCCCAGCTCTTTTCTCAAGGGGGGTGCTGCGAGTAAAAATGAACAAGTCGAAGAACGACTGGCCGGGTGAAGATTGCCAGCTCAAGCGCAACAGGGAGTGGGAAGGACAAAAACCACGACAGTCTTGGGATGCCCTGCGATGTGGTTTGGTGATCACCGACCAAGCCGTGTTTATCGCCGCGAAAAGGACCGCAGGGTGGCTATAGAGGACTGGGGTAACGACAACGCGTCGCCCTCAAGATTAGCCGTCGTGTAAGAATGTCGATAGCGCGAGATGTGTACGCAGCGATTATCGGCAGTACAAAGCAGGTGTCATGGTCCTCGGACTTGAGAGCGGACTCGAAGGCACAAAGACATGCATGTGTCTATGCGCCTGCGCCGTTCTTTCCAGCCTTCCTTTGGCGGTTGGCCCGGGTTATTCGCTCCTTGTTCGCCCTCAACCAATCGCTCGCGGTCCCAAGCCAAGCCACAGAAGCTGGCCCCGCCCTTGTCGAGCCCAGATCTGGGGATGTGAACGCCTGAAAGATCTAGGCGTGGTGACGGAATGTAAGATACACATCATGTTTAGCGATTGCCGTCTCGATGCAAGGTGAGACATGTCAAGGAATTTAAGTGGGGAATTCCCCAGGTCCAGCCAGGATGTCGACAGCAGCAGTGACTAGGGAACCACTTTCACAATGCACATCACGTGATGAAGGGTCAATGTTTGTGTTGGGTATCATGAACTTTCTTTGTGCAGCATTTTTTCTTCAGCCTCTTCCGGGCCGTGGCAGTAGTGCTGATCTACCAAGGGCTGCCCAGCGTGATCTCATGAATCCTCATCCGTCATCCCATCTATACCCATGCCAGGTTCGTAAATCATCCGCATCATAAATCAAAGCAAAACCTCACAAACATAGCGAAGCATTTACTTGAAGACCTTACCGTCGGCCCACTCCATGGTCTTGCCGTTGACGGTGATGGGCTTGTCCCATGCCCACTGGTCGTTGACGAACTCACGGTCTTCCTCCTTGGTGGGGTCGAGCTTGGTGAACTCGTAGCTCTCGAAGTCGGGAGCGACATCGAAAGCGGGGAGAGCCTCCTGACCGCGGACAAGGAAGGCTCCGGTGACAACGGAGTCGTTGGACTGGCCGTATACAGAGCAAGCTCCGAAGAGGTACTTGCGGCTGGCCTCAAGGCGAGCGAAGAAACCACCTATGCAGCGTTAGCATTAGTGCAAAGATGAAATGCACGGATACACTTACCAATCAAGTTGGAGGTCATGAAGGTGAGGGTCAGCTCATCGTTGTACTTGTAGTCGACCTTGTATAGGGAGTACTCCTCGAAGTTGGCGTTCTCCCAGAACCAGGGGAGGGCAACCTCGCGGGTCTCCTCGTTGGAGTACTTGCGCTTCCAGTCGTCAAGAACGAAGGTGGCCCTTGGCAGAGCCTCGAGAGGGTGCTTAGCCTTGGGCTTAGGGGCCTCCTCCTCCTCCTCAGGCTCCTCAGCCTTGGGCTTGGGGGCGGCCTTGGGCTGCTCCTTCTTCTTCTCGCCACCCTCCTTCTTGGGTGCGACGTTCTTCAAGGCCTCGGTGATGAACTCGAGCTTGGGGGCAACAGCTGAGTAGCTGGCCTGGTTGTAGACGGTCTCGTACCAACGGGTAACGTTGGGGTTGGAGTCACGCCACTGCTTGTCGAAGAAGTACTGGAAGCCACGGGCAATGATGCTGGTGGCAAAGATATCGGCAAGAGTCAGACGCTCACCGACAAGGTAGGTGTGTGTGAGAAGGTGCTCCTCGATGACGTGGATGGCCTTGAGGGCGGCCTTCTGGGAGTCCTCGACGTTCTTCTTGTTGTAAGGGTCGCGACCGAGGATAGGGCGGAACCAGCCGCCGAGAGGAGGGAGGACCTCAGTGTTGGCAAAGGACATCCATCGCAGGATGGTGGCGTAGTCCTGCTTGGTCTTACCAAGAAGGCTGGTCTTCTCGTTTTGCGAAGCAACTGCAGGACGTCAGCTCTGAGTCACCACCAAGACAAGAAGCAGTTAAACAGAAACAGAGTTGCAAGCGTAAATCAGAATAGTAAAGTTCTCAACAATAGTTTTCAGACAGGGATAACTGAATGATAAACATTCCACATCATTTTGTGCAGATAGGGGGCAAACAAGCGGGGTAGCACTTACGGTAGACAGCGATGGCCATGCACTCAGTGAGGACGAAGCCGTCAGCGCCCTCGAAGGTAGGGACCTTGCCGAGCTTGTTGATCTTCAGGTAGTCGGTAGAGACACCCTTTGCAGGCTCGGTGTCGACAAACTCAATGTCGAGGCCATTCTCCTTCGCGACGGCCAGGAGAGAGGTCGTGCGTGGGTTGCCCTGTCGAAGTCGTGTTAGCACTCGTTGCGACGCATTCTGGTGTCGCAGCTGATAAAACACGTACCGAGTAGCTGTAGAGCTTTCCGAAAGACATGATTGCAGACTTGACCGTAGTTGAGCAAAACAATCAGTGTGAAGAAGCGGATGTGGAAGAAAAAAAAGGCTGGTTGAAATGAGCGCGGGGCTATGGCCCTCGCAGAAATCTGTGTCTGTGCACAGACGGTAATTTTAGTTCGCCCGTCTTGGCGTTTTTGCACGCGGTTCGGTCGACGTTCAACCACTGGCAGTTTTTTCTAACAAGAGTACCGCGGTGCGTGCGCATACGCCAGACACGCAATGGCAAGCAGAGAGCTTTCACGGAGCATGTGGAGGGCATTCGACGTCCTAGGAAGCCGTCCGCTACCCCAATGCCAGCGGGCGATTCGACCAGCTCAACGGAGCCTCCACCCTCAGATACGGCGATGCATCTCGACAACAGCTGTAAGGCACGCAGAGGTTACAGAAGACGAGCTACGGGAACCATTCAAGGCAGCGCCTGAATTCGACTTTGAAGGAATCAAGGGCAGTGGCGAAGAAGGAGAAAAGAAAAATATATTACGGACGCTGCGTGTTGTCCCTGCATCGCCATCATACTTCAGCGCGAAGCCCACATTCACCGATGACTTTCTCTCACTATCTGCTCTCCTTCGCAAGGTCGCTACTCTTCCTATTATACCACCTGCAGAGGCCCCAAAGGTGGCGTGGAAGACAATTGAGCAATATCGCATCATGACCAACGAGCCAGTAAAAACGGCGCGATATCATAGGATGCTGCAGATTCTGAGGAGGTTGAACTGCATTCACCCCTCGCTCATGCCAGAGGAGGTTCTACAGGCTATGCAGCGGTACAAAAAGCCAGTCCAGCCTGGAGATATCAAGCCGAAGCCTGGTGTCATTGACGAGCTTGGACGTGCCAAAGGCGTAGGGCGGAGGAAGACATCGTCTGCAGTTGCATGGCTTGTGGAGGGTGAAGGTGAGGTACTGGTCAATGGCAAATCCCTCTCTCAATTCTTTGGACGGCTACATCATCGAGAGAGCGCGGTGTGGGCGCTCAAGGCTACCCAGCGCCTGGACAAGTACAATGTGTTTGCACTAGTACAAGGTGGCGGTCTGACTGGCCAGGCGGAGGCAATGACTCTTGCAGTAGCAAAATCATTGTTGGTCCATGAGCCCGCATTGAAGCCAGCACTTCGAAGAGGTAAGTTGTTCTTTCTTTTCCTGGTCAAAGCCCAAGTGTCTTCATGGCGGCCATGCTTTTCCAGTGGCTCTACGGATATGGCCAATGCAGACACTGTGCCTGGCGCACGGTTGTGGTTATGCCCTACAGTCTCGAAAGAAGCCCCTGAACACGTCCCGTTTGTTGTCTATGCGCTTTTCAAACATGATGGCTGATTGCTTTTCTAGCTGGTACCATAACACGCGACCCAAGGAAGGTGGAGAGGAAGAAGCCTGGTCATGTCAAAGCACGCAAGATGCCTACCTGGGTCAAGCGATGAAGAATATATCTTGCACACACCATCTCTGTGTCACTGGGTGCGGGCTTGGTAGCATTGTCGAATATATCAGTCTCGAGCACGGCCACGTGTGATGGTCGCATTTTTTTTCAATGCATGGGTAGCGACGATGGCCAAGAATTACGTGTATCCTTTCCCACTGTGCGCATTGACGATACTGTTTGTTAAACGCGTTGGGCTCGATGGAAAATATAATGGCTTCAACGGCGTCGCGTACAAGTCAGACTAGTATGTCTGGAGGTGTAACGAATAGGGCATAAGCAAGAGCAAGCGCTTTTGTGGCTAATGCGCCGTTTATCTCGTCACGGTACACCTGCCGGGCCATCCCTCCTTTCCCGCTCAGTAAACTTTTTGAGTGTTGGGGTTGTAACGCTTTGGGGTTTGACGTGTGGTTAATCCCGAACTTAATGCCTCGTTTTACTTACAGACGGAGTATCAGCTTGTGCAGGCATGTGGGATGAACCCTGTCAACGTGGTAGTGGCTGCATGTTATTGGCCTGTCGGTCCGTCCCTGACAGTCTTTGACAACCGTCTTTTCAGCTATAATCCTTGGGTGGGACTACATTGTCGCATAGATGGGCAACGTTACTGTAAGCACACGGCTTTGTTGATGACAAGGGCGGCGCAAACGTCGGGTTCGCGTCCCTGAGACAGTGATCGACTTTGAAAAATAAAATGAAGGATTGACCAAAAAAAGAGAGCGCCCTATGAGGGCGAAGCACATAAGCAGGGCAGTGTTGGCGAGAAGTCACTCTATTGCCGGTGGTATTTATAAACAGCGCAACGGTGTAGTGTTTTGGTAAGTTGATGCGAGATGGTAACGTTGCTGACTCGTCTGTTTTGAACTCAGCAGCAGGGCGACCAATCAGGCAGTGTCTCAAACGGCGGTGCCAAGCATGCGCCTGCATGGACGTCTCGGTTGGTCCGGAACGTATGTACTTACGTACGTACTTGGTAGGCGGAAGATGAGGAGTGAGAAGGTGGTGATGGCGGATGGTAAGATGTGCATTCCGAGATGAACACTGGGATGTAGAAGGGGGTGGGGGACAGGCTGGTGGTTGACGGCGGGGGCTTCCTGGTCAGCGGTTTGGCCGCCGCTAGGGGAGCGCGTATGGAAGAAAGATGTAATAAGTATGTAGGTATGTAAGCAGAGAGGTAAATAATGGCGGACTTGTCAATTGCGCATTGTCTTGGTGATAGGTAGCGGTGACATGAATCAGGTGGCGGAAGGGGGGCGGGGGTGCTGTATTTGGAAGGGGAGCAAAAAGGTTCTCGAAGCATGTTCAAGGGCTGTAGTGCTTTGCCATGTTAGGACGAGCATTGGTGTAGGTTGAGGCGGCAGCTGGGGCCACTTGATGATCGCCAGCCGTACCGAAATGACGCACTCGCATGGCCTGTGAGGACAGGCAAGGCGTCAATTGGACCACTTTGGTTTCGGTAGGCGACACCGGAGCTGCAGAGGCATGGTGTGCACTGCAGGCCTGCTTGTAAGTACAAGGCCACTGGCGGCTGACGGGGCTCACGTGGAGGGAGATTGAGGATGCTAGACAATGTACCGTGACCTGCTAGGCACCGTGCGCAGAGGCGTGTGGCGCGACAAGCGGTGGATTCCTGGTGTCATTTGCAGGGCGAGGCGGGCTTTTTTAGCTCCAAATAAACGGTGCAGCTTACTTATTATTAGTGCTAGTGTGGGCAGCTCTGCCGGGCTGGGAACACGACGGAGAGTTCGCGGCAACAGCCACTGAGGTAACTCGGCAGCATAGTCCGAAATGGCGCTAGGCAGGCTCGGGGCCAGGCCCAGGCGTTGGAGGTTAAGATTTGAGGAGGATGGCGCGTACATATGCAGCGCAAGAGGGAGGGGGGACAGGGCGGAGAGGGAGAGGGAGGAACATGTTTCGACGGGGCGCAGGTGGTTGACGAGGGCAGGACAGGATCGACGAGTGAGGCTAGGGCGCAGACGACTGACTGGGACTGGGACTTGGACTTGGGACGACGAGCATCACAAGACAGGATCGACCACAGGCGAGCACATCCCTGCGCCTCGGCGGGAACTTGCAGCATGGCAGAGATGAGAGGTTGGCGGATCGAGAGTCGAGTCCGAGATAGCCCCTAAACCTTCTGTCACCCTCACTCTCTCTCTGATGCGCCCGCGCCCGCGCCCTCGCTCCAGCAGCAGTCGAGCACGCAGAATATGCTGCTGCTAATACGGCCATGCACGCCGTCATGACGACATGCTTGAGGCCGGCAAAGTTCGATGTTTGTTTGATGATTTGGCAGCAGTCGGCGGGCATGCAGGCGTGCTTCAGCAGGCGAGAGAGCTCCATGCTCGCATGCTCCATGCTCTTCTGGACGTATGAAACAAGAGCGCGACGGGGCTCGGAAAAGCGCTGTTGGAGGTTAGCGGTCGCTCCCACGGCGCGCACGGCGGGCAAATGCTGCGCGGGCAAATACTACTGTGCGGCGCGTTGTCACTGTTGCGCGCCAAGCCCAGCCTGGTGAAGGGGAAAAGTTGCTCGACATGCAAGCCTGCGACATTTGGCCGCCGTGGGCCCGCCCGACGGGTTGGCGTCTTCTGGCTCGCCATGCTGCCGACGGGGGAGCAGCAGCAGCAGACCAGACGGCATCAAGACAACTGCTATTACTGCTGCTGGCGGCCCTGGGCTCGTGCAGACGTCGCCCAGCGGTGCAGCGCAGCCAGAAACACAACAATGCCCTGCAGCATGGCTGCACAGGCGCCTGCAGATCCACCATGGGCGATCCGTAACTATGGCGGACAGGGTATTTGCAGCCCCACCCTGACCAGATCGGAAATCGGATACTTCGCATGCACATGGTCGCTGACACTGCCAGCCCACCGCCCACACATGTCTGCTACTCGTCAGCACGCCCTCGCCCTCGTCCGGCCTGCAGCAGCCACACCCACTGCTCAGGCACCCACCATTGTTTTGCCCTCTAGTTTCAACACCCTGGACTGAGCCCATCGACAGCCTGCGCCGGCGTGGCTTGGGCAACTCTTCCTTTTGGCCCTCACCCGCCCTAATGCCCTCCCAATGTAGCCCTAGTCCTCTTGCACCATCCCAATCCCCTCCCGTCAATCTCCCTCCCCAACCAGGTCGACAACTCTCTCTGTCTGTGTGTGAGTGCGTGCGTGCGTGCTACAGCCAGAGACTAGCATCGCCGACCAAAACAACACTCCCACTCCCACTCCTACTCCCACACACACACCCCTCCCACCCTCCTCCCCACCCACTACGCCCTCGCAAGGACCTCTTCCGGTAGCCACTCTAGGGCTCCCGTGAACCTGCCTCAAGCTTCTGCCCGTCGACGTGACGCTCCACGCCCGCACGGGCGCCAGTGATCCTCGACTCTCTCTCCCCCTCCTCTCTTCTAATAAAGCCCGTCCGGTCTGTCTCTGCCCGCACCGCCCTGGTGCTCTTCTCGACTGTAAACTGTCCGTCTGTCGCACTTCCAGTCTGGCCTCGGACCGACGGCTTCGTTCGTCCCTCTGCATGTACTCCTTCTTGCCCAGTGCGCGCCCCCCAAGACACTACCCACGCTGAACAACGTCAGTGTGCGTTTAGGCCGTTAAGCTACCGCAACGCAGACGTTTAATTGTTTGAGACGATCTCCTTGGACCCGCTGCTGCGAAGTCCGACTCGTTGGAACACTCATCGCATTGCAAGGACTACCCTCCAAACTTCTCACGCATAAGCCTCGCCTCACCACCAGCCCGCTTGAGACAGGGTCCTCCACGCTCGACTCCACCGGACAATTTCGCTGTCGGCTACGGGCTAAGTCTCTAGTCGGTCCACTCGACGCACATATTTTCTCCAGCATTTCCACTTCGGGTCCAGTCCCTGGAGCATTGCATTTGCCCTCATCCTCGTCCCACTCCCCCCATAGCGAGGATATCCTGGTTATCGCCGAGGCTCTTGCGCGAGCCTCCTCAGCTGCATCATTGGGCTCCATTGGCCCAGTAGTCGACGTGTCAAGGCCGTGTTTATATCCATACCATCTGGTCCTTCAACCCATCTGGTCTACCAATTTTGGACGTCGTACATTTACCAACATCTGACCCGCATCCTCCCTCCTCTCTCTCTTTCCGGTCCATTCGCACGCGCACACTTTCCTAAACGACGCGCCTCTTTTCCTCTGACTTGCGCACTCGTCCTCCTCTGTCACTGTCACCATCACCTGCGCCTCGTCCCCCCCGCCTCGTCCCCACTTGTTGCGCCCATCATCTTCGTCTAATCTTGTTCAAGCCTGCAAGCTGGCCAATTACGCGACGCCGCCAGTCTCGCCCTCGGCGTACCGGGCTCTCGAATCGCCCTTCGGTCTGCAAATGAAAGGCGGGCTGGTTGGGATGGACAATGACCGCCGGCCACGGCATACTCCCTCAGGTTACGCAAGCCAGCAAGGCACGCTCCTTCCACCACAGGCCTCCTATCCAGTGGTAAGCGCACCCGATCGCTTCAGGCAGCCGCCTCTGACAGCGCCTGCCCCGCCTACCTGCCTCCCCTCTTCCGGATCCCGCGCCAGTCCTCAGGGTTACGGTTACGCTTACGGTGAAAGCGCACAGTTTGGCTCATCAGTCCAGCCCTCCAACGTGTCATATAGTGCCCAAGACTATGGCACCGACCAGCAACAGCAAGCCCAGCGTACTCCCCAACAATACTCGCCCTATGGCCAGAACATCATGTACGGCGCCCAGGCCTCCGCCACGGGCTCGTCGCAGTATGAGCCTGTGGAACAATACCAGCAAAATAGGGACTCGGCTATACAGGTCCTCAGCACCGGCTTTGGCGTTGCACAACAGCAATACTATGAAGGCGGGCCCACGAGCGCACCTGCTGCTACCATTGCCTCTCAGAGCGTCCCCTCACAGTATCCCTCTCTCGCGTATACAGCATCCCAAACACAGGTCGGACGAGAAGCCCTTGCTCCTGCTTACTCTGCTGCCGGCATGACGGACCCCAACCAAGCAACCTCGCAACCGGGCTATCCGCAGGCAAACTATAGCGAGTCGCAATCTGCCAGCGGCAACGACTACGACGACTTTTACAGGACGTATCAGAGTGAGCTCAAGAAGACATTTGAGCATGTGCGTGACAGCCGCCTCAGTGAGGCCGGCATCATGCTGTTTAGAATGTCGGACTGGCTTTTGCACTTTGCCGAGACTTTGGGTAAGTTCCTCCACCTGTGGGGCCGATTAGAGCGAGCAGCTGAATTGACTGTAGCAGGCCTTGTGCGCGACGATGAAACCTACTACCAACAGCGCTTGCAGCTGTGGGAAGAGTTTAACACGTGCTGGCTCTCGACCCTCCAGAAGCAAAAGGCCATGACTCAGGAAATGATCAACACAGGCCAGCGCCCGCAGGCCCCAAAATCGCTTATTGACTATGACTTTCTGGAGAAGATGGGTACGCAGCTCGTCAAGAACTGTGATAGTATGGAGAAGCACGGTCTGGTCGACTACCAGATGGGTGTATGGGAGGAGGAGATTGTAGCAAGTGAGTACAAGTGCCATTGTTGATCATGGCGCCTGTTGCTAACCTTTGCGCAGTGTTGACATCTTGCATGGACCTCCTTGAGGAAGTCGGTGCAGGCCCTTCAGCACAACGACCCACATCTACAGCACGCCGGCGATGATAGCAGCAAAGCTCTGGTAACGACAATATTGTTGGCGGCTTGCTATTGTGCGGCATCCGCCGACCGTTTCCAGCAGTGCGTTGGCGCACATGCCGCCAGTAACACCCCCCCCCCCCTCTCCAACTCGCACTGAGCGCGCGACCTTTGATCACAATACGCAAATGACGTGGCCTGCTTTTTTCTTACCTGTACATATACCGGTCATGGCGCAGTCCATGGGATTGTTTTTCTTTTCACAAAGTCTATAAAAGGCAATGGGCATGAGGTGTTCAGGGCAGAAGGCGGTCTGCATCCATTTTCCTTTGGTCAAAAATAGCGCCATGTGCGGCCATGTTTTTTGTAGCGTTTCTCTCTCTCTATTTTCTTGACTTTGTGTCAGACATTACTGCATTTTCTTTTGTTGCCAGGTCTTTTTGGCTTTTTCACTATTTTTTTGGGTCGTGCATTTTTGGGGAAAGCGGGGGGAGTCAGGGTACGAACGCAATTGTAACGCACGGTTCATGTTGACGACATGTGTTGGATGCACAGATGTTTTGGAACATGGTTGCTTTTGGGCTGGCATCGTAATGCTGGGTACGCATGGTCCGGCGCAGGCGCTGGAAGGTCTTGATAGGGAACGCGACGACGCATGGGTTGATGAGGTGGACGAAGTGAAGCGCCGGAGTGACGAGTCCATGTGGATCCCACCGGACCGCGCTTACCTGAAAACAAGATGCAGCAAAGGGACGGTCAAGGATTTGGAATAGTCGGACGCCGCCAGACAAATCCTGTTCTGGACGTTGGGCGACAATAGACTCCTCTATCTTGGGCCTGAGAGATGCTAGCGCAGCAAACGACACCTCGTCACGACGAACCCAAAGGGCGATGTACTGCCAACGACGTGGTTGGGCACCAACTGTACTTTAGATTTGCTTTGGTAATACTTAGAACGATACAGCTACATTGCAAGCCTGCCTGCTGTGAGTGCAAGTCAAAGTTGTGAGGCTTCCGAAGGATGCAATCATGTGGGGACGATCAAGTTGTAGTGCCATGTGCATGTGTGTAGTAGTAAAATGGCATCAGCCCATTTTTTTGCCACTCTCCTCTTCTGGGGTTGCATTGGTGCGCTCCGCGGGGTTACCAAAGCCAACCCGCCATGCAGACTGGATTGCAGCCTTGTGTATTGACAGGTGCAGCCAGCGTGATCGTCTATCTATGCCCTACACCACGACAGGATCGTGTTCAGTCTGTGCTGCGACTTGGCGACACGGCACGGTCACGACTCGGGCTTGGAGTAGGAGTTGGCAGTGAGCCACATGAACAGAAAGCCGGATCGACAAGCGCCACAATCATGATGAGAAGAAGAAGAAGAAGAAGAAGAAGAAGAAGAAGAAGCAGCTGTCGTTGTTCGCATAAGACGGTCGAGGTCCGGCCCCTTGCAGCACATCCCCAAGGCCCATGTTGGATGCTATTGGACCCGGCCGGCGATCATACAAGATCGGATCATGGGCGCAGTATCGCCAATAGCTTGCTGGGACCACCGCGGCGTCCAGTACCTGTGTCGGTTCCACCACTAATGTCCACCCGGAAGAATCCTTCGTGTCGAATCCACGTAGGTACGGGCCTTGGTGAAGCACACCCGTGGCTGTGACTGTCGGCACTCATCCGGTCATACTTCTGCCCTGCCCCGCTTCCTTCAATACTCTAACCCTGGCAACTCCAATGCTCCAGGGCCCCTCAGATCTGCCATGTACCAGGGCCCCGTCAGCCTCGTATTGTGGGCTGAAGTCATGACTTGCTCTCTTTGATTGCCGGCATCCTTCCTCATGCAGCAGCCCGGTCGCCGCCACCAATCGATTGCAGACCCTGTTGGCAGGAGACGATCGGCTCGTCTCCTCCGTCCTGGGTGCTCATCCCCTCAGCCCTCAATTGCGCACCAGTCCCGACAGGACAGCGGACAGATGGATGGGAAATGACACCCCTACACCGCGATACAAGAGGCTAGCGTCATTTCCACATTCCATCTCTCTCCACCAAGCAACTCGGTTCGCCTGAACTCCAGCTCCTCCAGAATAGATCAACGCCGGGGAACATCCAAGCTCCTGTGTGTACGGCCCGCCCGGCGATTGGCTCGGCACACGTCTGCTCAAACTGCTACCTTGCCCACTGACGTGATAGGACGGACGCCCACCATGAACTGTGGGCCCTTGCACAATCTCAGCCCGACATGTCACTGCGACTACCCATTCACAGCTACCACGTCACACCGAACCAGGATATCGGTATCCAGTCGGCAGTCTTGCTTTACGCTGCGAGAACGATGCGAGAACGCCCGTAGCCTCGTCTAAATTACATGGTTCTACCTTTTGGTGTATGCCTCATTTTTGTCGCCACACAAGTACTCCAACGCAACGTGCTAGATTACCGTTGGCTGGAAAATACCGCGAGCATTTCAAGTAGCTTGCAGTATTGTACACATTGTGCCATCGACGCGTAACCAAGGATGGCTTAGATATCAGCACGCATTGCACGCGTAAGCGGTGTAGTGGCTGGCACATGAGCGCGGCAGCCATCAGCCAGCCCCACACGCAGCTGATATGGTACCCGGTACTTCAAAGAAGAGCACATCTGTAGCACAAGCCCATGTCATATACCTGTTTTTCCAATTACGTTATGAAATGGATATACTCTACTCCACATCTTCCGTAATTCGCCCATCAAAACCGCTTACCGATCGCGAACTGCGCTATCATTGAAACCTTAACCTTCTAACCGAGCCTTGTTTTTCGTTCCTTGGTCTTCCAGGGGCGGCTCAGAACTTTCATCACAAGCTTCTGCTAAAGAACAAGAAAATAAATATAGTAACAAAGCGGATATCGAGCGGGAAGGTAGCCCTTGCAATAGTGATCACCGAAGCTTCAACAAAGTCTTTTCTTGAAAGAGCATTACACACTGGGCCTCACAGCCACAAGGAGGCTATCTCAAAATGGTATGAAAACGAAAGAAAGTGACGAATCAAAGTATCTTGCTCAGTCCCTTGGAATACTTTCTTAGCTTCTTGCGCGACGTTTCTTGAAAAGGCTCGATACCAAACAAAGAGAGAAAAAGACAACGTATCCCCAGCATTGATGTCCTTTTCATTCCAGAAAGAACAACGTCTTGCGAAACCGTCTCTCTATCAAGAGTTTCGCACGTCGCAAGCACAGTCACGATGCTTCGAAGTTAAGCTTAGTCAAAAATACACCGGCGCTAGAGCTGCACCGGACTAGTACTAGGCTAATTCTAATCCACGTGCTGAATCATAAGCTCTTCTATCCGGAACCATGACAGCATTCGAGTAATCCGTCGTAATTCCGTTCATACTGCTTCCTTCCATACCCAGTTATCAACCTTCCTAAAGCAATACGACGAGGCAAGACATATCCGTATGCTGGAATTTTCAATCACTAAGGAGGTGTGCATGAGCATACTGGCGCAGCATCGCTATGAAAGGACTCGCGCCCGTTTGATGGCATGTAACAGCTGCTCACATGGCGGAATTGCTGTGACGATATCCCCACTAGTTTAACACTCTCGACCACGAAGCAAACCAGGCAGTGTTTCACCACTACAAGTTCCGGGTTTCCCGCACTCCCAAAGAAGGACTTAGATAGGACAATAGGTTTCGACAATACCGCTAGTTATATCCTTTTCGATTTACAGAACTATAATCTCACTAAGCACATACATGTGTATGAAAGTAAAAAAAAAAAATCAAATTCATTGCATGTCGCGAGACAAACTCCAACATGCACATCTAATCTTTTTTTTCCAATCATCGTTCCTTGAGAAATGCTCATAGCACAGCACAATATACCACAATGCATCAACCCCCCTCCCTCCCCCAAAACTCCCAACTACCACTAAGAGATATACTCAAAGAAAACTCTACATCGTGTGTGCTTCATTGCCCAGTTTTCGACTCGAAAAAAAAGAAGGAGAAGAAGAAGAAGAAGAAGAAGAAGAAGAGGAACATCCAAGTCATTATCTCATCTTGACGCATGACATCTCCTGACCAGAAGATATACATAGTCTCGCTTGCTCCTCTGAATTTGCTTTCTCCACCGCCCCCCGCCCCCCACATCTATTCATTTTTCTATATATACACAGCAGTTTCCCGAAGTTTTCCCATAAGCTTAGCACCGTCCCATTTTGCAAAATGCAACAAAAAAAAGGAAATTCGGTGAGAATGGGACAGAGAGAAAGGGAGACGTATAATAGCTTGCATATCCCGGTCTGTGGTAGGCCTAGAAGGATACCTAGTCCCCAATCTAGGCAAAAAAAAACCCCCCCGTTGGTTCCAAAATGCAGTGTGCCGAGCCAAGTGCCGATGGCCGTTGGCGGGGACGTCGGACGGGCGGACACGTGCAGCACATGATGTTCTTTTTTTTCAGCTTTGTAGTGAGAATCTTGGGACCGAAAGCGGGTTTCAATAGCGGGTCTGGGTCCAACGGGCGGTGAGCATATGCACGATAGGCGCGTAATCGAGGAGGGGGGCGTGTAAACACATGCTCTCGGTGTATATGCATCATGTGTGGATTCGCATAGCGAGTGTGATGCGTGAGTCTCTCGTTACGTGGGTGAAGGTGAAGAAGAAGAAGAAGAAGAAGAAGAAGAAGAAGAATTTCAATGGGGCCTTTCTTTTCATTTCCTCACGTCGTTAACAATCGACTCCTTGACGTACCAGACATGCCGTCCGCTTCCGACAAGTCTCCCTTCAACCCTCGGAAGGTTGTTCTCCCCCACATCCCTCTTTTGCTCCACCACCTTGTCCGTCCACTCGAGCCACGCTTTGTCTTTCAAGCACGCGCCCCAAGCTAGACTTTTGCTCGTAAATAGACCAATGCAAAACGCTGCGTTGGGGCTTTCATGAAGTGCCAGGTAGACAGTGACCTCGCTTCTCTTCGGCATGTTAAGGTCCTGGTGGCTGTCAAATCGCGGGACTGGTTGGCTGAGCGGATGCGGGATATCAAGGCGCATGTGCTGTCCATCTTTCTTGGGTGTTTCGCCCGGCACAGCGGCAGTCACGCCGGTGGATTGCAGCGAGTGCGAAACAATTTTGATGCGGCCGGTTGGACTCAGGTATTCTGAGCCATCTAACAACCCCTCTCTTGAAAATGAGTACGCGCCGTGCTGGAATGCACCTGCCGTGACTGTATCGATGCTTGAAAATACTCCGAGGAACTGGCATGGCTGTGTATTGTACGGGTACGGATCGTATTCCAGGACAAAGAGTTTGGGCAAGGGCTGCACCAGGCTCATCATTGACTGCGGCCTGCTTTTCTGAAGCCGACTGCGCGGCCTGTCCTGTCTTTGATGCAGTGACTGTACCGTCGGCGGCTTATGCAGTTTCCCATACTTTTGCTTTCGCTCCGTGACCGCATCGCTCATTGATCGTCTCCGCTTCCCCTTTGTCTCAGCTCTTTCTTCGTATTTGCTGCGCACATAATTGCAAATCGCCCCCAATTCCCGGAATTCAAAGTGGCCCATTGTTCAGAGGACGGCGGGCGCAACCCGCAAAGTTGGAAGTGAGTGAGTGCCCGGGTCAGCCGGTTTTCGGCAAAAGCGAATGTTGTGGTTTGATAGGGGTGCTGATAAGACAAGGGGGGGGCAATACGACCACGACGACAGGTAACGACAGAGAGAGCGACGACGGACGTGGTAGAGAACTGCTAGAAGCGAGCGAAACTTTAGGTCATGTATCCATTTGGGCCAATTCGATTGATGCGACGGCACGTTTCACAGTGCGACAGTTGTCGCAGGCATGCATATGGGGGTTGCGTTGGCAAGGTAATCATCATTGGTACTTGGTACGTCATTAGGGGCCGACACAGCCACCCGGCTAGCCACTTGCAGACATTTTAACAGACCTCCTTACTCCGGTCCCAGACTCCATCTCCTGGTACCAAATCCTATGGACCCCATTCTGGCCATGCGAAGGATTCCGGCAGTTGATCCAACCGGACTCGGCATGACGGTCGGGAGGTTCGGACATGTACTTGTATATTGTACTATACACAGCTCTTAGGAAAAGTGGCGACGAGCGGTGCACGCAGATACGTGCTACGCGCGTCTTTGCTTTTTTTCATTGATTTCTCAACACGGACACAAAATGGTTCTTTTCTTCTTGTTACCTGCACGTCTTACACACAGGCCTTGTGTGTCTCAACATATTCCCCAATTGAGCCTACCACACCTGTGCAGGCACACCTCTCCAGAACCAGCATAAGAGCCAGATAATCATGGTGGGTTGGATCATCACCGTCTTTTCATGTGTGTAGTATTGTATATTTTTATTCTTGAGACATATGCTAGATGGTACCAGACTGGTGTAAAGCGAACGTAATTCTTGAACAATCGTTACGTGGTGAGATCTAGTGCAGCAGTTGCTCATTATTGCATGCATTTCCTCTTAGCTTCTGCGTTAGCTCTAGAAACCCCCTTTTACTGCCATGCAATCTTGGCCCACTCCTCCACATCTGCCCAAAGCACCTCTGGCCTCTCCAATGCTGCAAAGTGTCCACCCTTCTCGTGTGCCCTGAAGAAAACAACCTTCGCTGTTTTCTCTGCCCAAGCTTGTGGAATCGGCGAAATCTCATACGGAAACCAGCTGTAACCTGTGGGCTTATCGACATACAAGGTCTTCCTATTGTCTCTGTATGTGTAGATGGATGTTGGATAACAGCCAGTCAACCAGTATAGTGTGATATCCGCTAGGATGGTATTGAGAGACGGTCTTGTCGAAGGGTCGGTCCACGCGAGGAACTTCTCTCCAATCCAAGCTAGTTGAGCAATAGGTGAACTGGATAATACCAGGCCGATAGTAGAGGGTTTCGTCTCATGTTCCCTGGCATACGCGTGTCCTACAGCTATGAATGCGTCGCCTCTCTCGATACCCACTTTCTCCGCACTAGTAATCACGTCGCTTGGCGAAGAGTAGTCCTTGATATCCTTAGTGAGCATGAAGTTGAGGTGCATGCCCTTGCATTCAGGGTACATTGCAGCAATTTGCCGCGAGAATATACTGCCAATGTCGCCGCCCTGTACGAGATAGCCTGATTTGCCGAATCCCAGTGAGAGCATGAGCTTATGCATGATGCGCGAAGTATCGATGGCTTTCCAATCCTTGTTTACCGGTGGATCGGAAGAAAGAGCAAAACCGGGGAGAGAGGGCACAATGATGTGATATGGCAGAGTGTCTTGCGTATACTTTCCGCGCAACAGGTCCATCATTGGTACAAACTCGAGGAAAGAACCGGGCCACCCGTGAAAGAAGGCAATGGGAATAGTATCAGGCTTGGTGGAGAAGAGAGCGACAAAGTGAATGTCGTACTTGTTGCCATCATCATCGTTGATGGTGGTTTTGAAGTTAGGGAAAGAATTGATAATGTTTTCCTCTTTGCGCCTGGGAAAGTTAAGTTATAAGCGCAACCTGGGCATCCGACAAAAAGACATACCAGTCAAATGTCTCGAGCCATTCCTTCTTCGCATCGACTATCCACTTTCGACTTATCCCAAACCTGCCATGTCCACCTTCATCCTGCTTGTTCTCATACGTCTCTTTTGCAATTGGACTAAGTTTGAGCAAAGTCTTGAAATCTTGCAGCTTCTCTTCCTCAACATGCAGTTCAAACGGTGTTGTTTGTTGAGCATCGTTAGGTACAATGCCGAAAGGCTTAGGTGTTGTCATTGTTTCTGTGAGTACTAGGTGTTGTCACAAGCTATTTCAATAAACTTTAAGGAATTTGGTTTAACTGAAGAAAGTGTGTTTGGAGAGTCTTTATGTTTGTGATGAGGTTGTGTATGTAATCAACTGGGCTTACAAATGCCCCTCTTCCGTATTCGGCAAACACGGAAAATCGATGCAACCACATACGTAAGTAGCTACTGTACCCTAACTCAATACGAGAATTTATCTACAACGACCCTAAAGATGTCACACGTATAGCAAGAAAAGCTCCCGCAGCGCAAGAGTCGATTGATGCTTCTAGATATTGGAAAGGTTATGGTTGTGCTCTACTTTCATGCTTCGGCATCGAGGTTGTAGAGCCTTCATCTTCCGGTTCTCCAGATTATCGAAGAGACATACTGATGCATTATTAATACAGCAGAAAGTGCACGTCAGAGGCGCATCTCAGATTTGGGCGTTAGCTTTACACATTTTTTTCATCTAACAGCATCGCATACACGCGTGAAAGTAGTCCTCGTACTGGCGGATCCCCAACACATAACGTTTGTTATGCCCCACAGCTACGTATTCCACATGACTCAGTTCCCACCACACATGTCATCCCTGTAGATAAGGAAACTACAATTTCGCGACAATTCGTTATGTGTGTATAAATATTTCTCTAGGCGCATTTTCAAATGGATACTGGGACAGGCTGTTCGCGAGTTCTCAAAATAGCAGAACAAGTTGGGACACCCGAGCATGCCCCGAGCACGGTGACCGATCGAGTTCCAGATAGATGCGGGGAACTGACAGGGAAGCTGCTAGATCCAGTGGTAGGGGTTTCCAGACTAAATGAATGTTTGGTTGATTTAGTCTGCGACTGAATCATGCAAGTATATTGTAAGCCCAGAAAAGTCAAGTAGCCAAGATGCGTAAATCTAAGAATATACGCGTAAGCGGAGGACTAGACGCGTGATTGTTTACGACGAGTTAGACAATTGGCACAGAAAAGGGACACATTTGAACCAAGAATTAAATGAAATTAATATAGGGGCAGTTATTCGCCCATTATCATCCACCATGCTCCACCAAATAGTATGGAAACAACTATGATAGTGAGAATGGCTGCACCAGCCTTATCCCCAGTTGTTATCGCATCGTGCTTGACCTCGAAACTTCCAGCATCACTTCCAGCATTCGGGTCGTTTTTACTGATGCCTCCCGTGTCCAATCCGACCGGTCCAGCGACCTGGTCAATGAGGAGATTTTGCATCACCTCCAATGCAGACATTTGCTCTCCGACGCCGACTTCTCCGTCGTTTACGCCGTTCCTCCACCAACGAAGACCACATCCGCCTTTTCCTGGTCCGCACTGTTTTGCTGCTGCTGCTGCAGAAGCCCTGAGCTTGGGCATGATCTTTTCTCTTGTCCAGGGAGCGGTCAACATTGTGTATCCCATCCAGCGGCTGAGATAGGCCTTGAAAGAGCGCTGGTCGTGATCGCAAAGTCCGTTTCGCTCGCAAGCTACTTCACTCATGACGTCTGGTGCACCTTCCGGGTTGAAGAAAACACCAACACCGTCGATAATTCCCTCCAAACGTGTTCGCCAATATTCAGCTTGGCTCTGTGTTGTGTTAGAAGAAAGTTTAGAGAGAAAGGGTGAATTTTGCGGGAAGAACTTACAGCATTACCCCTGGTCTCTGACATATTCCACAATGCTGCGGCGCCCGACATGTGAATACCTGCGTTGTATGTCCATTGGATATGGTTCAACTCTGTACAATTTTGTCGCTCGCTGGTTCCATCATAGAAATGATAATCTGGGCTCATCAGACCGACGCTGAGTTCCCACTCCCACGCTCTTATCGCCCACTCCGTATAGGTGTCGTTTTTGGTGTATTTTGCAAGCCTTGCAGCAATGTTGAAGAAGCATCCGTTCGAGATTGTGTTCTTGTAGTCGAAGCCGTTGTTGAAGGAGAAAATCTGCCAGTTAAGACCACCTCCACAGGTCCTAGGATTCCAACGCGGCACCTGCGTGTTGAAAACTGCGATAGCGAGTGATAACCAGGACATTTGTCCTTCGGCGTCTGGAAGCTTGTTTTCAGCTGCTGATAGGGCCGTCAATGCCCAAAAGGCTTGATCGTCGTTTCCTAGGGTACTGGTCTGGTTGGGCGGCATAAAAGCCTGTGGTTGACCTATTTGATGCACCATGGCTTGTGTTGTGATATTGTTGTATGTATCATCACCAGTGTAGTACCAGTAGTCGACAAAGGAACCAAACATGGCACCGCATAGCCACCAGTAGTAGGGGTCTGGCAAGTTTCCCGGGACATCTCCGGGTCGGTCACCGGTGTACCATTCTCGAAGGCCTGCAGCAACAACTTTAGTTGCTTCTTTGATAGAGGCTAATCATGTTAACGGAGGCTACATAGACTTATGCAGGGGAGAGCGAACCTGGATCATCAACATTCAACTCTAATGCGGATGTGGTGATTGGCGACAGTATTCCAACTGCGCCGAAAAACAGGCTGGAAGGCCTCATGACGGATCTTCAAGATTATCACGAATAGAAAGCAGGCATATGGCGAGGTGGAGAAACGAAGGTGCGTCGAGTGGCTAGCAAAGGACGAGAGTGTGAGACAGTGAAAGAAAGAGAGAGTGTTGGAGAGCGAGTGTAGCGCAAGTATGTCGTAGGGAAAAGGAGAAATCTCGAATTCTTCCTACGTAGAGTGCGAGGCGCGATGAGGTTATGAAACCCCTTGGGAGGTGAGGCCAAGTCATGGCGCGGTGCCGCAGCAGGTGCTGGGCGACAGTGCGACGCTTGGAAGTCATCTCTCCGCGTGGTTCAAGGCCGGGGTTGGGTGCAACGACTGGGTAGCAGCCTTGGCAGCCGAGCCTGAGACGCTTAAAAAGTGTCTCATCTCACAAGTACGACCTGCGCCCCGTTTGAAATTCAGACCAAAGCGGTAGGCCTGACACGAAGTGCCAAGTATCACGGCGGTGTTGGCGTCCCTTGGAGGGAGGTTGGCGCCGAGCACGGGTGCCACCAGCACTGCCAAATCCTGCCAGACGACATCCGCAGCGTCCGCCCGTCTGCATCTACGCTCAAGACTGACGGCATCGACATCGCCGCCCCTGTTTCTTGCTTGATGGGCGATCCGGGGAGATCATGTGCGCTACATGGACAGATCATCGTATCCTTCCTCGGGGCAAAGCCGCCGGCGGATCGAGTCCAACGGGCGACAATCTCGCCTCCTGGCAAGCCTAGCGGACGAGTTTCAACAAGCCTAGAGTAGCAACGTCAAAACAGCATTTATCATGGGCTGTTTTGCCATATTACGAGGAATCAGTACAACGTCCCAAAACGTCCCCATGCGCTACACAATGTTTGTGGGTTACGGGCTTGTCAGAACTACGGGCGTGTCATGGCTACGTCACCGTGCATACGTCCTGTAAGCCTCTCTTTTGGAAACAAATACAGCAAAGCTTATTGTAGAACATTTGAGCAAGGCCGAGCTATGGGCATTTGAGCCAGCTCGGTTTCATTCAGCACCAACCTGCATCCATCTGCTGTGAGACGATCCAACTCCTGAGCGCTCTGGCCTTGTTGCTCATGTCCATGGTGGTCTTCGCATCCATATGGCTTGCAGCGGAAAAGGCGTCCACGACTTTTGTAACCGCCGCCCCGTTGTCTTGGTCAAAGGGAACCATGTCAAGAAGTTGCCGTAACGAGATCGAGCCTAATTTAATCCGCGATTGTACAACATAATCGACGCTAGCAGTATCCCTGTAATCCAATGTCGTTCGTGCTACCAGCCCCCACCTGTCTAGTTTCGTAGAGCATTGACGAGCATACAGCTGTTCTGTTGATGCCAATCGTACAAAGGCCCTCACTACTGCGCTCCGCATAACACGATGCGAGGACGAAATCTCCAGAAGATCAAGAAACTCTTCGAGCGAAGCGGTACCTATGAAAGTATGGCGGTGTTGGTACTCCATTTCCCGTTCTTCAGCAGTCAAGATGTCCATCGTAGCATTATATCGAGCACTGCGCAGCTGGTGTCGTGTACTGACAGGGTCATAGACCTGACTAGAGGATCCATGGCATTGGTGCTGTCTACTTCGTCTCTGGATGGGGATCGCGGCGTGCTCCTGGACTCGATGGAAAGCTGTATACAGGCTTTGGTTTGTTGACCTATTGTCCTCAACTACTGTACAGCCATGCATTAAATGACCATCTGTTATTTGGCTCATGGGTGGTACATCCAAATCATCGTCGTCAAACAATGTCGTATCCGAAGTCGGTGATGCGCGCTCGTTCGGGCTATTCATCTGAGGCTCTGGTATAAATATATTGAGGGCATGTCGATCTTCCGGTGCAGGAAAGCGGAATGCAGCCATCTCCTCTCTTCGCGAGCTCCGAGTTTGTTGGGAAGGTGCCATAGCGTTGGGTTGTTCTTCCGAAGGACTCAGCTCCGTCTCAGCATTTATTTTTGTCGTTCGGGCTTTTCTTGACGCCTCCAAGCTGCTCCTCTCAGCATTTAGTTGAAGAGCGACTAATACCGCACTATTCGTACAATCGCGGTCTAACATTGGTCGCCATACACTGGACCTTCGGCGGTGCACTGTTAGATACGGGCGGCATGTCAGCCGAGCTTTACGGGTATCCCCTTAATTCGTGCACAGACAGACTTACTTTTTGCTGGCTCAACCCTTTTCAATGAGACGATCTGGGCAGTATTTGAGTCTGCGCCACAATCTTCTTGGGCTTCGGTAAAGGAAAGTGAGATTATACGCGCTTGCGATATGTGCTTGGGACTTCCTTGGAGATTGGCGATTGTCTATTTCTTATAGCGGAGAATTTTGTTTGCTTGTCGTGCATGTTGTCACGGTTGCTGGCTTCATGGTGGCTTTAAATGCCCGAGGGTCTGGAAAAACATGTGAGTTTTGCGCGCTTGTAGAGATGGTGCAGTTGTGACGATGAGGTGAGAATCACGCGTAGCAGGACACATGGCAGGAAACGTGTAAGCTCCACTTTGGCTAGCCTGCAGGGTTACATACCATTGGGGGACACCACAAGCGGACTGTGTAAACACCAACAGAGTAACCTTCTTGCTGGAACAACCAATGCATCGAGAGAGGGCAAGGTGGCTGTCGTTCTGAAGCCTTACTATAGGTAGGTAGTATGTGGTCTAAATATGCAACCTGCTTACAGCCAACAAACGACACAGTACTGCCCAGATAAGCCTTCAACGTTCTAATCAGAGTTTGTAAGCGCATAATTAGATAGTTTTGTTTTTCTTGCGTCCAATCTAGGCCACAGCCAGCAAATGTGCCAGGAACTACGCGATATAATGTCACACTTGGAAGAGTCTGAAGACACACACATATCATACACATACACACCAAGTACTTTGACAAAAAGGATAAATGGAATGCTAGCCTTGAATTCGTATCGTGTTTTTACCGACCTCTAGACCACCTGCCCTCTTCCTCTGCCACGCGCCATACGTACACTATGAGGAATAAACTTGAGGGCGGACATACTCGACGTTAGACTATCCATAGGGTCTACAGTTTGCGCTGATGAGGTGGACTTGGGAGAGACACTCGCTTGGGGACTTCCACGCCCAACTGTACGACCTGGGCTTTGACCTTGGCCAAACCCTCCACGTCCGTGAAGCTTGGTAGGATAGCGTCGAGTCTCTCCTTGACTGTGTTCTTCTTTCTCTTCTTCGTCTTGGTCGCGAACGACATCCATACTGTCACCTACCGTACTTGCACTCGACTCACCTCTCTTCCTTCCAGTCGCTCCACTGGTACCTCCTGCTGAGCTCAATGTAGAGCTTCTCCGTCGATGAGGGGGTATCAGCATGCTGCTTCGTCTATCGATGCCATCTTTTACGACAACGAAATCATACTCGCGGGGAAACTGATGCTTATCTATGCAGTGCAAGCGGCGCTTCTGAGGCGTGCTGCATAGTCGATCGCACTCTGGCAAAAGACAGGCATACTGGAACAGATCAGTTGGAAGGCCCATAGTATGCTGTTGGACGTACTTATCACCGCTACACTTGAAGCCCCCAGATGCAGATGGAGGTCTTGTCGCCTTTTGAGCAGGAACGAGAATCTGGGGGCTAGGAGCGGACATGCAAGAAACGAAGCAAAGACGCATAACCTACCGTTTTCTCTCCCTGATCCCGCTTGGCAGCGTTGATGGGGTCATGGTACTCTGCAATATGCAGGTGCAGATAGTGCTGGTCTGGGAAGTTTTTGTGGCATTCGCTGCAACGGTTCATGTGGACCTGATGGTAATGGACATCGTGTTCCTCAATGGAAGCAAAGGTAAGCGGGTCGTGCGGGGGCAGTGAGCACTTCATGACGGCGTGCTCGTGTGATACAGCGGAATCGGCGTCTAGCTGGACAATCTTGATATCGACCGATGCCTCACGTGAGTACGAGGTGCTGTGAGCGTCTGGTGACGACGAGTCGCGGTGTGAGCGCTTGACTCCCATTATTTTTTTGTGTGTGTTTGCTTGCTGGGTTGACTAGAAGGAGGCGTAGTATGAAATTGGGCAGTACCTTTGACTGGCGAGTGATGGCGCCCGAGTCTTGTGCTGCGAGGCTGTCTCAATGGCGCGGGGTGGCAAATCGAGAATGTGGTGTGATGTGGTGGGCGGGCGGGCGGGTAGGATAGTAGTATGTGTATGTAGTCATAGATGGTGTACGTAGTACAGGGAGGACATGGTAGTCGGCCGGGACGTGGCTGCTTAGCTCCGACGTTCATGGCCACTAGTTCGCGACTCAGCCGCCGCCGACTTGACTTTCTCACACCTCTCCACCACGGCCATCGCCTCCTCTTCTGACGCCATACATTCCTGCGTCTTGGGTGCTGTTTGCTTCCGAGACCCTCGCCCGCGCTGATTGTCCTCTACCCAGGGCACGCCACTTCACCATAAATGGAGCACGCCAGCCACAACGCCCGCCGCCTGCTCCGTGCCTTGGTCTGACCTGCCCGCCGACCGTGGGGTCACATCTGAACGTCGCCGGCTCCTGCATACTCTAGCCATGGCCGCCAACACCGAACAACTCGACAGGTGCGCTTTTCTCCCTTGCCCCCGTCCCACTACGCCACATGCTGACTCACCACAGGCGGGCGAGAGCGATTGCGACGGAGCTCTACAGGCGCGTCGATGGCGGCTCCGGGTGCGCCGAATTAGCTGCCGTGCTGCAAGAGTAGGCAACGATGTCTCCCAATTCTCGCGACTACTAAGCCCCTATAGGTACCGTGCCGCCTGCGAGACCCTCATCTGCAACTTCGAATACGCGACCGCCCACGAACTCCAGACGGCGCTGTGGAACGCCCATCTCAAGGTCAACGCCGCTTTCCGACAAGAACATAAGCTTGTATGCACTATCGAATCTCCACGCTTGCAACGGCACTAACACGTGGGCAGCTCAAGCGCTCCAAGGACCATGTCGTGGAGATCCGAAAGTTTCAAAAGACATATCTCCAATTCATCAAGGCCAGCCAGCGCTTCTACCGCCAGTATATTCTGAATCTTGATGCCCAGTTCCATGGCATTCCCGAGCTGCGCAAGATTGCCCAGAAATGGAAGGACGACAGTAGGCTCCCTCTCCCCGTCAGCCACGCCAAGCTTAACCGTAATGCAGCCTCCAAATCGTCTCCGCGCCGACCCATTCCCGCGAATTGGAAGACGCAGGTTCTCTTCTCGTGCCACCAGACGCTCATCCAACTCGGCGATCTCTCCCGCTACCGCGAGACCGAACTCGTCGATAAGAACAAAGAGCGCAATTGGGGCCCCGCCAAGGGATATTACGATCTGGCGGCTGAGATTTACCCAGACTCTGGACACGCACCGAATCAGCTCGCCGTAATTGCGCGCGAGGACGGTGACCATTTCCGTTGCGTGTACCACCTATACCGCTCACTTGCAAGCAAAGAACCATACCCTCAGGCCAAGGCCAACCTGGCCACCGAATTCAAGCGCGTTATCGCTGCATGGGACAACGGACAGCTCATCAACAACCACAAGTCAGCCGAAGGAACGACTGGTCGTGCTCTTATCGCATGGTTCATCCGGTTGCATAGCAAGATCTACAAGGGCGAGGAATTCGCGGCACACGATGAGTTGGAAGGCGAGGTACTCAGCCATCTAGCCATTGAGCTCAAGGAACGCCCGCTGGATTCTATTTTGACCAAGATAATTCTCATCAACATGTCGGCAGAGTACTTTGCCACAGTTCAGCTGCAAAGTATGTCTAGAATTCTCCGTATTTGACTGCGCTGACTCTTCCAGGCGAAGACCCCCCTCCCAACATTATGCGCACATATTTCTACTACCTCCGTCTGAATGTCAAGACATTCTTCATTCTCCTGCAGGTTTTGCAGCCAGAACTGGACCGTCTGTCGGAAGGCAACGACGTGAAGCACCAGAATGGAGAACGCACGATGCAGCTCTCAGACAAGATCACTGCTGTAGCCCGACGTATCCTGCCAGGACTTCGCCTGTATAGCACATGGTTCACGCGCTACTGGCAGGTACTTAATGCCAACATTGCTGACACCCTGAACACTGTCGACGTGCAAGAGCTGTGGAAGGCATACGCCGCGACGCTCTCCCTCCTGGCCTCCAGTTTCCCGGTCGACCAGCTGCCCAAGGAAGTCTACATGCTCGAGGAGGATACAGACACCATCGGGTTTGAGCCCCTTATTCACCCTGACACTATGAAGGTGTGGTACAATGGGGACAAGATGAAACCAAAGTGGAGCGAGTTGAACCGGAACCACCCGAATGTCGAGATGCTCATGCGAGTCAAAGACCTGCTTATCGACGGTCTTCTTCTTGTACAGAACCCAGATGCTCCTCTGGACCTCGCAGGCCCGCGATTCATCTATCGGGAAGAAGGTGTGCCATCTGAACTGTTAGCGAGCCCCACCAATCAGCCTGACGGCTCTCCTGTTCTGTCTGTGCAAGCAGCTGATATGCCTCTTTTTCAGCATGTAGAGGCACCGATTCCAGATGACCAAAAGTCTTTCAGTATTGCTGCAGCCTCGGAATCCGCGTCTATCACGCTCGCCAAGGACAATGCGATGCGAAACATGGTAGATGACCTGGTAGGAGAGGAGGCTGGATTGGACCCACTGGTCGAAGAAGATGAAAACATTCCACCTACCCCACCGGAGCAGACATTTGACGACACCACTGTTGTTAACGATACCACATACGCCCCGGCAACTTATTCGATCAATGACTTGGTCAACTCGGTCAGGAACTACAAGCCTTTGTCTCCCGCTCCTGCGTCTGGATTGCTTTCTGCGCCCATGGGTAGGACTGCATCTACTTCTTCCATCCGCCAACCACCCAACCTACCCTCAGTGCCCGATGGTCAGTCGAATTCGAACTCGATTTGGAACCGTGCGCCTGGCCCAGCATCACCGCCCATGATGAATTCCAATGGGTTCGGGAACGATATTCGTAGGTCTCCTATGATCGGTACCAAGCCTGGCATGTCTGGCCATGTACGAGGAGATTCGGCAAACTCACTCCTAAGTGCTGACGCCCTGACTCCTACTACCAACCGGACCTTACGGCCCATCAGCGGTAGCTTTAGTGGCGGTCTTGGCAGTGGTGCCGCCTGGGGAACCCAAGGAAGCAGCCCCGTGACCTGGGGATCTGCCACGTATAGTAACAACTTCAACAACAACAATAACCAGTACGGATACGCCTCCAATGCCAACATGGCAAGTCCGCTGCTGTTCAGCTCATACGGCGAGGGCGCCAATAGCTCATGGGGCCATACACCGCCCAACGGCCAAGGCGGTTGATTGACTGTAGCGCAGCCGTAGTAGGCTGCTCGTTGCTGTCTTCTTATCAATCGTCAAGGACTTCGAGATCCCTCTGCCGTCCTTAGCTGTCACTGTGCACCAACAAAGGATCGGCTTGCATGAAGCTCATATATGCTGATTTGTTTCTGCCTGATACCTGTGCAACAGCCAAGGCGTCTATCAAAAGATTCTCGGAACAAGGTCTTGAGGGATCTGGTCCGCCATCTGGAAGTTACTCACGCTTTGGTTCACGTCCTGATGACTTTTTGTAGTGAGGGGAACAAGCAAAGGAGGGGAAAGTGACGAACTCGATATGCTTCACATTTGAGATTACTGTGGTATTTTTGGGGCTTATGTTGACTTTTTGTGTCTATGACATGGCAGAGGGGACAAGGCGAGCCTTTTCATCATGTAGCTTGCTGAAGTCGCATGGCGGCGTGCTGTCCTTTGGGCGAGCGCAGATGTCGAGCCGTCATAGGAGGGGGGCCAGTCGTGACAGTGTTTTGTGCTTTAGGATACTATCATGGAGTTATGCGTATATGTGAGGTCTTTCTTGTCTGAGGTGGCGTGATGATGATGACAGCGGAGATCGTGGTGGTCGTGGCGTGGGGGTGGGTGGGTGACTAAGCAGGGCGGGTGCAAACAGGGCAAACAGAAGCATGCAAGCAAGGCGTAGAAGCGCTGCAGGGTTTCAGCCATCGCACCTTCACACTCGAGCGCGCCTGCTTCGCTGGTTTGCCTTGTTTTCTTGGACTGTGCCTGCTGATGGAGAAGCGGCTGCTGCTCCTTCAGGACGACGCTGGACTCGTTGGGGGTGGCTCATAGCCCGCAATTCCGAAAGGTACTCACCCACTTGTCGCTGTGCTGTCCCGCTCCATGCCACTCCGCTATCGCGAACATCTCGCCCGCCATGTCTGCCGGCGGCCCTGGAGATTTCCGGGAGCCGTCCGCCCTATACAGCTTCACGTCGTTGATGGACTCGCTCTCTAACGGCCTCGCAGGAAGCATTCACCAAAAGGGTAGCAGGTTGCCCACCATTCAGCCTGCGTCGCCGCCGACCAAAGGCGCGCCGCATTCTTCCACATCGCCCAATCAGCCTGCATATTTTCCCATTCCTAGGGGCCACCCACATGCCACAGTCATTGCAAGCTCCGGATCCTCTACCACCGAATCTTTTTCCGAAGTGACGTCGTCATCGTCGCGGGACTCGCTACCCAATCCCCAAGGGCGCAACGCCCCTACCACGCCCCAGAAACAGGCGCGCAGCAACAGGCGGAAGCAGTCGAACAAGTCGGGCGGCAGATGGAGTAGGGGAGGAGGCTCATCAGACGATACCGGGTCTGACCGTAAACCCCCCACGTCACAGCCAGCAGAGCCCACGCACAGTGCCGCCTCGTCCCCCCAGAGCGCGTCTAAGACACGCCAACAACCTTATATTGCTACAAACAACCCATCGTCAAGCCAGACGCGATTCATGGCAACAGCCTTTGGAGGTCCTTCGGGAGATTCGCGGAGGGGAGTAGTCTCTCCTCGTCCCAAGGGTCGCGGTATGAGCCAGTCACACATGTATACTCTAACACTGAATCTGACTGGCCCTATGCAGAAGCGAAGAACACTCTCTGCCGCAATGTCACCATATACGGTCACTGTCGGTACGAGAATAGTAAGTGCCCGTGACCGCATCTGCCAAAGTGTCTGTAGTGACCCTGTCCAGCCTGTCCGTACATACACGACAACCTCAAACTGAATCAGAATGAGAACACCAAAAAGAGGTTCAATGTTGACTCGCCATCTTTTACTCCATTGCAAGCAAACACGAACGGATCTGTGACACCTTCGCCTCGCAGTGCTGCCATCTCTCCCAAGGCGGCTAACGCTGCCGTCTTTACACCCAAATCACAACGTTCCAGTGAGTTTTGAACAGTCGTTGGCTGTACTGTCATTCGTATGCTGATTTCTTTCAGCTGTCACCACTCCGCGTGTGCATGCAAAAGAGCCCACGATTGATTGGCATTCGCAAGACTTTCAAGAATTTGTTCCACAGTCTTTTGATGGTCAGCAGATGGTGCGTGGGGCTTTTATTACATCTGATTTTTTGTCCTCAGAATGATTTGACATGGCGTGCCTAGCACCCATCTGGCTCGAACAAGGATCTCGACTTACAATCAGTCCAGGTTGATCCTAATCTTGGCTACGATCCGTTCAGTACACCCACCAGCATATCCACACTGGGTGGTCCAAGCCACCAGGCCGCTACCATCAACCCTTACGCACAAGACGCTTCGGCGACGTACTTTCAGAACGCCAATGCTTTCCAGAATCCAGCCTATCACTTGTACTGGCCGGTAGGACCTCAGCCTACCGGCTTGCTTGCTTACCAGCGCACTGCTCATGACTTTTTCATACCCGATGCGCTACGAGAAGAATTGCAGAAGAAAGCAGAGGTCGCACGCCAGATTGCCCCGAACAGTACTCTGCCTGTCATTGAGCAATTTCATTCGTTGTTTTGCTTGGATATGTCACCTCAGAAAAACACTGCGCCTTTCGGGTATGCTAGCTGGATTTACAGAGCTGTATCCAGCAAAGATGGAAAAACATACGCACTGCGACGTCTCGAAAACTTCCGACTGACGAGTGAGACTGCTATTCGCTCTGCTCAACCATGGAAACGTGTTTTGAACGGCAATGTCGTTACTATTCATGAAGCATTTACCACTCGAGCCTTTGGCGATAGTTCCTTGATTCTCGTCACAGATTACCATCCGAATTCCAAATCCCTTGCTGACGAGCACTTCAAGCCCGTGCAGCGATTTCATGGAAGACAGCCAACCTCATCGCATGTACCAGAGCAAGTTTTATGGGGCTACACTGTCCAAATTGCGTCAGCGTTGAAGGCAATACATGGGTCAGGATTGGCTGCAAGATTGATCACACCTTCGAAAATCCTACTCACTTCAAAAAACCGCATACGGTTAAATGCCTGTGGCATCATGGATATTGTTCAGTTTGATAATGCGCGATCTGTGCCTGAGCTTCAGGCAGACGACTTTGTTCAACTTGGGCGGTTGATACTTTGCATCGCGAACAACAACCCAACAGCTCACTTACAGATGCAGAAGTCCATGGACTACATTACAAGAAGTTATACGGCCCGCCTCAAGGAATGTGTTCAATGGTTGCTCAACCCCCAACCACCAACTGGAACGCCATCATCTCCCACCTCTCCAGCACCTCTGCAAAAGGACATTGATACTTTCCTTGGTGGGATTGCTGATCAGTTTGCATCTGTTTTTGATAGTGAGCTTCATGCCCAGGACAGCCTCACAGTCCACCTTGGTAAAGAGTTGGAATCATCACGATTGGTCCGCCTGTTGATCAAGCTCAATATGATCAATGAGCGGCCAGAGCTAGACGCGTCCCAAAGTATGCCAGGGAACAGTGGCACAAATCCATCGTCGGTATGGGCCGAAACTGGCGAGCGCTATTATCTTAAACTCTTCCGCGATTACGTTTTCCACCAAGTGGATGCAAATGGACACCCCGTTACGGATCTGGCGCATATCCTGGACTGTCTTAACAAACTAGATGCCGGTACAGATGAGAGAATAGGACTAATCAGCAGGGACGAGCAAAACGTGCTGATTGTGAGCTACCGAGAAGTGAAACGAGCACTGGAATCATCGTTCCAGGATTTAGTACGGGCAGGGCGGAAATAGGATTTCACCAGGTCCAGTTCACTCGGATAGCCTCGTTACTAACGCAGGCCATCTGCAAGCTGTCCCAGTGCGGGTGTTAGGGACAAGCATTCATGCAAGATGACATTGTCATTATTGAGATTGTTGATAGCCCACAGGCTTCTTCAAAGAGAATGAATGTAGGTGTTTGACGGGCCAGGGGCTTGTTATCAAGGGTGAAGATGTGGGGGGGTTTTGCACGAGCTACGCAGTGTTGTATTGAGGGATGGAATATTAGGAAACAGGACAGATACAAATTATTGACAACACAATCAGACGTTTTTTAAAACTTCATTCGTTCTCAGAATGATCACTGGATGGAACCTTGGCCGCTAATGCAAAAGACTAGAGATGGTGGTCTGATATTTGGTAACTAGAACGTGACGGCGTGACAATAACGGCAGTAAAGCATGACCTGGCAGGCGTATGTAATATACCCATCCTCTCACCACTGCTGAAGCCCAGAACCATATCTCCTTCCTTTCCTCAAGCACAACGAACCTATGATCAAGGATGCTTGGTCGGCACCGCCTCGCCAGTATCGCGCCGTGGGGCTCGGCGAATTTAGCACAACTTAGCGCGAGATTTGCTGTCCCTCAATGTCCGAAACTCCGCCCCACACTAAGCACTTTCTCCCCGCTACGACTCCAACCATCGCCTTTCCTAAGAAAAACAGCAACCATAACAACAACCACAACAATGCCTGGAAATTACGAGCTACTGTGCCTTGAGAACCCGCTCCTGGATATCCAGGGCGTTGGGTAAGTCAGACACCCTCCCCTAGACAGCTTGTTGCCATGATACATCCCTGTCGTCGGGGTGGAAGAGCACCGCAATGAGCTTACATTGAGAACTTGCATTGACAGCCCGCAGTGATCAAGCTCTTCTGGATAAGTATGGTCTCAAACCCAACGACGCTATCCTCGCCGACCCAGAGAAGCACATGGGATTGTACGAGGACTTGATCCAGAACTACAAGGCCGTCCTCATCGCCGGTGGTGCTGCGCAGAACACTGCCCGAGGTGCTGCATACGTCCTTGAGCCCAACTCAGTCGTCTACATTGGCTGCATTGGCAAGGACAAGTACGGCGAGACTCTCGAGAAGATCTCTGCCGATGCTGGTGTCAAGACCGAGTACCTCTACGATGAGAAGACCCCCACCGGTCGCTGTGGTGTTGTCATCACTGGCCACAACCGCTCACTGTGCACCGACCTCGCTGCTGCCAACAACTACAAGCTTGAGCATCTGAAGCAGGACCACGTCTGGAAGCAGGTTGAGAACGCCAAGGTATTCTATGTTGGCGGCTTCCACTTGACCGTCTGCGTACCCGCCATTAAGGCGCTTGCCGAGGAGGCTGCATCAAAGAACAAGGTACGGACACGTTTCCAGTCGGCCTTATAGAAGTACCGAATACTGACTGTTTGACAGCAATTCATTCTCAACCTCTCCGCTCCATTCATCTCACAATTCTTCAAGGATCCTCTCGATGAGGTCATCCCGTACGTCGACATCCTGATCGGCAATGAGACCGAAGCCGCAGCGTTCGCTGAGTCTCATGGCTTTGAGACCAAGGACGTTAAGGAGATTGCAAAGAAGATTGCCAGCTTGCCCAAGAAGAACACCAGCAGACCAAGGACAGTCGTCTTCACCCAAGGCACTGACCCCACCATCGCCGTCACTGCCAAGGAGGGTGGTGAACCTGAGGTCAAGGAGGTTGCCGTACATGCCATCAGCAGCGACAAGATCAACGACACCAACGGTGCCGGTGATGCATTCGCTGGTGGTTTCGTCGCTGGTATTGTCCAGGGCAAGCCTCTTGAGAAGGCTATTGACATGGGCCAGTGGCTTGCGAAACTCAGCATTCAGGAGCTCGGTCCCTCGTACCCGCAGCCCAAGCAGACTTACAGCGGCTAAGCGTTTTTCACATAATGTAAACGCGGAAGCTCGTGTATTTCAACAATCTACGAGAGAGAGAAGTAGCATGCTACCACAAGGTAGAAGCGTGCTTGCTGTCTCCAGGCCTCCGCATGACGGGGCATCTAGATTTCGGTATGTATTGTCATTGCATTATGACGATGTGTTTGTTTCGGCGCAGGGCGATTATAAAAGTAAAATATGGCCTTTCAACAGCCAAAGATAGATACCCTCAGCGGTTAAGCTGCTAGATAACGAAGAAAATGAGATGAACCAGTCAGTGATTGACTGAGGTTGCTGCATTATCATGGAGATGTTCTACTTTTGTGCAATTATGAAATTTATGATTGTGTGATTCATGTACAGCATTAACAACGGGTCGTTGCTGATCTTCAGATACCATTCATCCAAGTCTCCACGCTAAATGATCAAGTAACAAAACGCCACACCATGCCTCGTTAGATACATTATGCGTCCTATTCCTCGTTGTCATCGTCGTCGTCTTCTTCTTCTTCTTCAAGGTCTGTACGCTCAACGATGAGATTACCACTCCGCCCAATGCGCTGCTTGATCGAGCCCCCAGCCTTCAAATCATAAACTTCTCTCGGCATGGGTGACACAAGCTGAAACTTGTATTCGTGCTCGAAATCCTTTGGCTCTTCAACCTTTTCTCCAGCCTCGTTTCCAGACTGCAAGATGTCATAACATTCGACGAAAGCGTAGAGTTCCTCAATGTCCGCGTCTGCTGCAAACTTGCGCACTACACGTTGAGCATCAGGCATGCGCAGACTAATTCTCACCACATTGGTTTCGCTGGCATTGGGCTCGGGACGTATGGAGGCTGCGCGCCACTTGCGCCATTGCTGGAGGTTCTGGGCGTAGCGCTCAATGGCTTGTTCGCGCTCGAGGGCCTCCTTTTCTTCTCTTGCTTTGCGCTCTGCCTCTTCCTTCTTCTTGCGCGCCTTTTCACGGTCAGCCGCAAGTGACCGCTCGTATGCACTATTCTGCTGCTCTCTGATACTGCGCGTGGCCTGTTGTTCTGCGCGCTGACTGCGCACGCGATTCAGTGGCTCAGTGTGCTGTTGCATTGCAGTGCGCAGCTTGGCAACATATTGCTGAGGGGGTGTGGGACCCGTGACCCGGGTAGCGATACCCATGGCGGTCGAAGATACCTGCGGTGTGTGTACAATCAATCCCGTAAACGGGAACTTTGTGCATGAGAGCGCGGCGGAGACTTGGTATGCTTCGGAATCCTGGACATTGCCTGCCCAGAGGATGATGTTGTTATCGGGATTTCGTACAAACTCGACGACTTCAGGTGCGAGAAGCGTATCGCGGATGAAGGAAGATGTTTCGTCGTGCTCTGGGCTGATGAGGACGACCATGAGGAACTGGAGGTTCTTCTTTGCCAGGTCGAAGGCTTGAGCGTATCCGCTCTCGAAGAACGGCAAATTGTGGCTTCCATATTCCTCCTCGAATTCGCGGATAAATCGGGCAGCCGTGTCTCGTGGGTTCAAGGGCCGGCGCCCGCTTGTGCTGCGTTGCGACGCAGGCGTGTTGATGTTACTGGCTGTAAGCCTCCCCCATACACGAGGTAGGAAAGGAAATATCCATCCTAACAACCGTAAGCTCTTTGAGAACAAAGAGTATACGAGCGAGAAGGGCGCGAAAAAGATTGCAAGGACCAGCGGAACTTGAGTGCTGACCTGGCTTTCTGGCTGCGGGACGACCCTAGGTGCTGGCTCTATCATTGGTCTCCTTCCACTACTTGTTGACGATCGAGGCGCTCCGAAGCCATTCAACAGTGTTTCTTGCCGCCGGGTATCTCGTGGGGGTTGTTGTGCGGCAGCAACGGCGACGGGATCTTCGGTAGGTTCGCCATCAAAGAAGCGTGTTACGGCAATGTTGACGTTCCACTGCGCTCGCTGGAGTAGGGGTATCGCGGCGTCGACGGCTTGATCTGTCACAGCAGTGTATTGCTGAAGTGCGGCTTGTTGGTCTGGCGTGAGTGATCCGATGTCTACGCCGGTATCCGCCATCCTGGCGTCGGCGACCTTCTAACCTGGTCCAAGGCTTGGTTCAAAAATCGCGCTCGTGAGATATGGGAGACGAGTTCCGAGTAGACGGGGTGTGAAATCTGAAAGGACTGTGATGCGGTGGGGTGTATGGCGGGTGAAAGCGTAAGTTTATACGTTGCCTGTTCTTCGCAGCGATGATGTACATTGAGGTGGTCGTAGCTTCAGCCCACCAACTACGTACGGAACCCAAAGGTGAGGCTAGTCCCCGACTCTTGTCACGCAAGGTATTGACAACCCAGGTTATTGATTCGCTCAAGTCACACTGTCGGGCTGATCCAGCCCCGGTTTCTAGTCTGAGTAGTAGATTTGTACCCTACAATGAAATATTTTTTTCTTTATTTTCGTCATGGGTCGCCGTTGCTTCTACCATGGTTCGGAGGTTCAAACTGGCTGTACTGACGTTTGGACCGCCTGTACTAAACAGATCGCAGCATATACAACACGCAATGCAGATTTCTCATGTTGTAGATATCATGAACAGATTACAAAGCTTTCAAATACTAGCCTGTTTTGAATGCAAGTAACTTTAGGTATGAAATTCCAATGAACGCCACATCAAATCGGATAGTTGCAGGCAGCCATGGTGGCTGTGAAACAGCCACAGATACACAACGTGGCCATCAAAGCACATACCGAGGTCATCCTCTGTGCAAATAACAAGGGTAACAAGATGCTCTACTTTCCCAATCCGTACTTGTGGCAAAGAAGTCCATTTTGAGGACTTGTTTCCATAGAATGATGCAAAAAGTCGGCTTTCCCGATAGATGCATATACCTTGCCATTGCAGTGATGTACTGGCAATTGAACTTGCAGTTTGCCTGACAATACAATGTGTTTTTGGGGGTCCAAAAAATTCACGAATGTGTCGTGTCATGGGAGTACGATGTGCACTATTCGTATTTCAACAGGAAGGCATTTAGATTTACATGAAATTGGGATTTGATGTGCCAGAATGCAGCTAAAAGACAGGATGCAAACGAGCGACCTGAGCTTTTGCTACTTTGAAAATCCTAGGTGTCAAATTTCACAGTATATAAAGATGTTAATCCTATAAAATCTCAATGTTCACAAAATGAGCACGCCGGGTTGGCGCAGTGGTAACGCGTCGCACTTGTACCATGTACAGCTATGCGAAGATCAGCAGTTCAATTCTGCTACTCGGCAAATTTCATTTTGAATGCGGGTATTTTTTCTTTTTGCTTCATCTTGTCAAGAGAGATCAATGGAATGTAAAGAGTGGTTTTTACAAGATAGCATGATTACCATACTTGGTACGCGCACAATATATACACATGGAACACATTGCTTCTCTATGTTAACCTAATTGTGATCATGAACCGTAGCAAGTGGACATGATGGCAATGCTTAAATAAACAAATTCATATCATCTGATATCTCTGAACCTGCGCCCTTATCGTCTTGTGGGCCAATCCTAGTTATATTGCGTTTTAGCAGTGATTCGCATCGCTCATAAGCATCAAAGTTTTGCAAATTTGCAAAGTGCATGTCCCGACAGATAAATTACGGAGGTCCGACACATGGAATCAGGCGGTTCCGTACTCAAAAATCGTCGCATTTAGTCTTGTCTCGTACACACATGTCTCTATTTGAAAAAAGAAACAAAAAAAGAGTATGTGTGTATCCAGCTCGAAATCCGCCAAGTGGGAACAGCGGATTGAGCGAGGCAAGAGACCGGGATTTGGTTACTACAAGGAAGGCTTTTGCGCATCGAGAAGCCTTTTTTGTCTTTCGCATTCATGAATTTAATGAATGATGTGTTGAGACACAGTAGGCGTGTTGCGATGCGTGTGTGTGCAAAGACACCCCACGGCGGGTGGTGAGGGTTGCCTTTGTAGCTAGAAGGTTGATTGGTAGAAGAGGCAGAGCAGTTTCGCACCGAAAGGTTTTTCTTCATGATTATGTCACGGTGTGGGCTATACCCGGTTCGGCACTAGCTTGTTCCATCCTTTTCTCTGCTAGGCTTCCTCGACACCAGCCACTTCATGCGGCATATTTAGCCATTGCAACCAATGGCATGGCTGCACGGATAGCCGTGCTTTCCACATTCGCTTGAACGCGGGTGCTAGACTCTGGATTGTGCTGCTCGGATTGCGACATGGCTTGCGATAGGTCTGGCATGCTTGATATGGCGCTAGCTTTGAGTTGGCATCCCGTGCATGTTCAAGCCGTGTGTATAATCGAGTGACACATGAGAAATCTGCGAAGCTGATTTGCATCTTGTCCTTTTCATATCCTCCTGCATCCCCCTTCTCAAGGTTGATTGTACATCCTGGGTTTCCACATTCGTCTTCGAGCATGACGGCTCATACTCACAATGCAGCCGCGGAGCACACAGGCGGGCCTCCGGCAACTGGCCAAGACGCAGAGTCAGGCGCAAACGCGGCGGTATCGCAGGAGAAAGATTTGGCAATTAGCCTTGTAGGCGAACACGCGCAGGAAATCGACCCAGCAATCGAGGCTAGAGTTTTGAAAAAAGTAGACTGGTTCTTGATACCGGCCATGATAGTCGGTATTTCTCACTGCCGGTAACTTAAGAGCCATCTGAATCGTTTGATTAACCAAAGAGCTTAGGATATGGGCTGGTATACTACGACAAAGCCATCTTGGGCTCCGCAGTCCTCTTCGGTATGACAAAGGACCTCTCACTCAGCATCACAGACACCAGCACGAGGCCGCCGACAATAAACACATCTCGTCTGTCATGGGCGACATCCCTCTTCTACTTTGGCATGCTAGCAGGTCTCTACCCCATGACTTTTGCGCTACAGCGCTTCAACCTCGGCCGCATACTGGGTGGCGTCGTCATGCTCTGGGCCCTGGTCTGTATGCTAACCGCAGCCGTCACCACGTACAAGGGGCTCTATGCGCAGCGCTTCTTTCTCGGTTTCGTAGAGAGCATCA